GTTTATACTCTGTGGGATTTACCAACACTCCATCCCCAACTTTAGATAGCTTAATTCCAGGTGTAATTGGATTGCTAACAAAGTTGCAATCAACCAGTTTGAACCTTTCCAGAACTTCTTTGATGTACTTCTGTTGGCAAATGAAGATCCCACTTTCTGATTGCATTACCTCAATGCCCAGGAAATATTTCATCCTCTCCAAATCTATCATTTCAAACTCAGATTCCATGGAGTGCTTAAATCCAGCTATCATCTCTTCACAGTTACTTGTATACAACACATCGTCCACATAAATTGATACAATAAGAATACCTGATTCCTTCTTCTCAATGAACAATGTATGTTCATGTGGACACCTCTCAAAACCAGTCTTCTGCAGATAGCCCTCAATTATGCTATACCATGCTCTAGAGGCCTGCTTGAGTCCATACAAGGCCTTTTTGAGTTTATAGACCTTATGTTCCTCCCCAGCAACTTCAAAGCCTTGAGGTTGCTCTAGGTAAACATCCTCTGTAAGCTCTCCATGAAGAAAGGCAGATTTGACATCCAATTGATAAACTGTCATACCATGATAGGCAGCCAAGGCCAGTATGGTTCTGATTGTGTCCCACCTGGCTACAGGAGCAAACACCTCTGTATAGTCAAAATCCCACATCCATGAGATTATGCACAAAGTCCATGTTTGTTGTTAAAGTGATGTTGGATTATGGTCTGTGAACCCCCCACGCATGTGGGATTATTTTGGGGTCAAAATCCGTGGGGTCCACGGATTATAAAATCTTACCCATTTGGTTGAGATTTTGTGGGAGGCAAAGAGGTCGTTTGCTTGTAGGATTTTGGATCAAAATCTCACATCCATGGGATTATGCACAAACTCCATGTTTGTTGTTAAAGTGATGTTGGATTATGGTCTGTGGACCCCACGCATATGGGATTATTTTGGGGTCAAAATCTGTGGGGTCCACGGATTATAAAATCTTACCCATTTGGTTGGGATTTTGTGGGAGGCTAAAATCCATGATGGTAAATGACAAGTCTATCCTTAATTCTTTATCTCTTTCCAATATTCCTATATGGAACCTAAACGACACAAATCATTAAGGATACAAATATAAATTCATCTTATAATTAATAAATCCCAAGGACAAAAGTCCAATATGAAATCCAACAAACAAACAAGAACTTCTTAAACTTCAACACAAATCAAAAGTGACAAAATCCCACATAATCCTTCAATCATAAAATCCAAGGTTTTACCTAAATCCAACATTTTTTAAAATCCTACAAGCAAACGACCTTAGGCCTTGTTTGCTTCAGGGTTTTCATCATGGATTTGATGCACAAAACCCAAATCTCGTGAAAATTCTATAATTGTAGGGTACATCAACTAGTTTAATGATGTCTGATAAGTTGTATTTGCCTATTTGGAGTAAGTGGGTATTGGTTAACAAACTAACAATGATTGAAGCACTTTGTTTGAAACTGAAGATTAGTTTATGCTCAATATTTCAAATATTCTATTGATTTCATGTTTGTTTGCATATATGATAGCTTTGAGCTCTTGAAATCTTGGAGAGGTACGAAGAAATTCTAAACGACTTTGTTTATATGGAAATAATAATATACAAATAATTATAAACAAGGGCAACAAGGTGAATGGTATCTCATACCCACTAATATATTTCAGCAAAATCCATCATGAAATCCAACAAGCAAACAAGGTTTTGGTCCAAATCCATAATGGACCAATTCCATCATAAATCCTTGGTTTTATAAAACCCAGGTTTTAACCAAATCCTTCATTTTTCAAATCCATAAAGCAAACGAGTTAATTAAAACGAAGCAATTAGTCTGGCCCCCTGAAAGCAATGGATCGGAGGAACCTTTGCTGTATTATGATTTATGACCTTCGTGGCTTTCTCTAGTGAAATGCTTATTTCATTCAATTTCTCGATTTGTGGGTGCTTATGATATGTCACTGAAACTGGACAAACGTTTTATGTTTGGTCACTCTTCTTTAATCTCCGTTAACCGTCAGTTTTCTTTTGGACGTGGCTAATAGAAACGCTGATTCACTACCCACCATGACCCTCTTCCTCTCCTTCCCCTCCATTTTAAAGGTTAGACCACCTATTGATTCCATGAAAATCATTTTACATACCGTTTGGTATAAATGAATTCCATAAGTTTTGTGGAATTCATTTTGAAATGAAACATTTTTGTGTTTGGTATTTAAAAGAATTCATTTTCAATTCTAAATTTTGAATTCTATGGAATTGAAACTAGTTATAGCAATTCCGAGGAATTGAGATGGAATTTCCAAATGAATTCCACAAGTATTTACTAATTATAATAGAATGATATAATTATCCTCTTTTATTAACTAAATTACTTATACATATGACATACCAAACACAGAATTTCATTTGACAATGAATTCTGCACGACAATTCATTTTATTTCTAAGAATTTGAACATGACATACCAAACACAAGATTTCATTTGACAATGAATTCTACAGGGTAATTAATTTTAAAATGAAATGAATTCTTGATTCATTTGGTACCAAATGGTCTGTAAAAGAATTCATTTTCAATTCTAAATTTTGAATTCTGCGGAATTGGAGCTAGTTATAGCAATTCCGAGGAATTGAGATGAAATTTCCAAATGAATTCCACAAGAATTTACTAATTATAACAAAATTACATAATCATCCTCATTTATTAACTAAACTAATTCTACATGTATTATTTGATGCCAGTTCATGCAGTATGAGGAACGTCGGCAAGAATTTGATTGCAGCGCTAGTATCATATTCTGGTTATTTCATATTTATGCTTTGAATATATCAATATGTCGAGAAGTCACAACTAGAGTGTAGGATTCATTGACAAAATATCGAAAGAACTAATGAATAGAATAGAAACACACAAGAACACTTTGATATTCTGTGTATGGGATCAAAAGCATTTTTTAGAAGATGGATTTTCAATGAATATTGTTTCTAGCGAAAATTAATGAGGGCGTAGTTGGAAACTTTTAATTCAATTCAATTACAAACGTACGCCAAGCATGGTTTGGGAATTCAATTCTTTTTATTTCTTAAATTTGAATATTACATACCAAACACAAGAATTCATTTGACAATGAATTCTATATGGTAATTCATTTTAAAATGAAATGAATTCTAGATTCATTTGGTACCAAACGGTATGTTAAAGTTTGATTTTGGTTAGACCGAATCTAATCAATTGACCCGTAAAGATTTAACAACCTTCATTTTTATTATTGTATTGGCGGGCGGGTGGACGCGCTGGTAGGGGTGGGCATCCGGTTCGGTAAACCCGAACCAGGCCAAATTTGAACCGAATCGAAACCGAAATTGTGTTGTTCGGTTCGGAATTCAAAAGAGAAATGACCCTAATTCGGAAACCAGGGTTCTTCCAACCGAACCGATGTTCCGAACTTCGAACCGAAAAACCAAAAAGTATGGATTGGGCTCAATCTCAACTCACCCCCAGCCCAAATAAACTCAACTCACCCCCCAGCCCAAATAACCAAACACTCAACCCTAAACCTAATGAATTGAACGAGAGAGGCAGCAGCTGCAACTCTCTTCTCATCTCTCACAAGCAGTGCTGCGGGCAGGGGCAGCCTCCACACACCAGCTATCCATCATCCTTGCAATTCGAACTATCGACAACATCAATCTTTCACCGCCGTCCTTCGTCGTCATCCGCCGGGATTGAACTTTCTTCGTCGCTTTCTCTTCCCCGCCGCAGCACCCTCTTCTCCACCTGAAGTCCTGAATTGAAAATAGAAACAGAGACTAAGACGATGCTATTGAATATTTGAAGCTCGAGTCTCGAAAGAGATAAAGTATGCCAAAAAATGACATGCATGCTTAGATCTAAAGCCATACGAACCTTCATCGTCGTCCGCCTAAGTTGTCACCATCGCTGTCTTCAATCGTCGTTGCCGACTGCCGTGGTCCGCCGATTTACTTTCTTCCTTTTTGAACTCTTAATGATCTACGCCACTTCGAGACTGGAGAAGGAGGAGAGATCTCTACCGTCAGTCGTCGTGCAGCTCTGGTGTGCTCTGCTTCGATCTCTACCTTGTGCTCGCCGTCGCTACATCGTTTGTTGGTTGGAAAGAGAGAGAGAGAGAGTGCATCTGAGGAGTCAAGGGGAGAAATAAGAAGATGGCCGAAAGAGTTGTCGTTTTTTCCAAATAGGTGTCCACAAAACGCAGGAGTTAAGTGGCCAAAACGCAAACAGCTTCCATTTTCGGGTTTGAAGAAAAAACCGAACCGAGTTATAATTCGGTTCAAAATCGGTTTGGATTATAGCTGGAATTAGGACCCCGATATAAATCTATTCGGTTCGGTTTGAACCGAACCGACCGAATGCCCACCCCTACGGCCTGGAGCCTGGAGGCCAACGAAGCAAATCCCTCAAACGTCGCCGTCATGGAGCGACAGACTCCACCGAGTCGTGTCCCCCCTTCTCCCCCTCCAACTCTATCTGAAAGCTATAACTCTCAACGTTCAAATCAAAGATTCAATGGTGTTGGTTCCACGAATTTCTCCCCCTCTAATTCCCAATTTCGACACGGCTTTCCTCCTCTACACACGCGCCTCCCTGGTTTCCCTCACGCGCCGCCGTTCCCAACCCGCCCACACTCCCCCACCTTTTTGCTTTCTTATCTTAGCGCTTTCCATCATCTGCTTTCTCAAACCCCCCTTCTTTTCCCCTTTCTCTCTTTCCCATTCTCCGGCTCCTTCCGCCCGCTCTTCTTCTGCTTCATCGCTGCCTTTTTGTTAAAAATTTCCCAGAGATCTGAAAACAATTAGAGGAGGTAGAGGAGAGAGTGCAAGGGGGAGCGGGTTACTGGTTCCTTTATGAATCCTCAGCTTCTGTTGATTGTTAGTACAACTGAGAAAGCAGCAGTAACAGTACAAACAGCAGCAGCGGCGGCGGCAGGGAGAAGGGGAGAGGATGGGCGGAGTCACCTCGTCAATTGCCGCGAAATTTGCTTTCTTCCCTCCGACTCCGCCGTCGTACACGGTGGTAGCTGATGATTCTAGCGGTGGCGGCGGCGGCGGCAAGCTGTATATGCCGGAGTTGCCGAGGAGGGATGACGTGGATGTTCTGAAGCTGTCCACTAGGCGAGGGAACGAAATCGTGGCCGTCCATATCAAGCATCGCAGGGCCACGGCTACCCTGCTGTATTCCCACGGGAATGCGGCGGATTTGGGTCAGATGTACGAGCTCTTCGTCGAGCTCAGCAATCGGCTCCGGGTTAACCTCATGGGGTAAAATTCATTTTGCAGCTCCTTACTCCCTTTTTCTCTTCTTATGTCTTGATTTGATGCCATAGAAAAACCTCAGGTTTCAGAATTCCATTGCTGTTGATTCCCTTGCCTAACATCTAATGGATAGCGTTGTGTTCCGTTCAAAGTAGAATTAGTGGGGACGTGGGGTGGTCCAGAACACCATTGAATCATGTTCGTTTGAGTCCTGCTTGTTGGCTGTTAAAAGATCAGGTATTTCTATGTTGATGTGAAATACTTCCCACACAAACAGCCAGTTCATTTGCATACTGGAAATGCCATGACTGTTAATGTTTACAGCCTTACATGCATATAAGGATGTTACATGTGCGAATGGGATTATGGCTGTTGTGTGAACGAAGGAAATTAGGCTTGTTAGAAGTTCCTACTTGAAATATAGTAGGCATAGGTTATAGAAGTTACAACGCCTGTCCTGCTGCAATGGTACTTGTCTCATTTTATTGCAGGATGACCCAATTTCTGGTTTCGTAGTTTTGATGAACATGCTCTAGTAGCTTCTTACTGAGAAAAACAAGTTTGAATTTTAGATAATGTATGATTGTTTTACGAAGCTGTTTCACAAGACCCAGCTTGTATCTGCCGATAGATTTGCTTTATTGCATTCTACCTCTAAGGGTTTAGAAGTTCAAATTGTCATGTATTGAACATAGTTATGCGCTACCACAATATGTCATAGAAGCAGTCTCTTATTAATGGTTAATCTCTTCAACCTCTATCAATTTTGGTACTTGTTCTAGTTTTTTGGTATTTTTTACTTTTGGGACTGAGAACCCAACATAGTGGGTAGAAGTTTAACATTATTGTGAAACTGCAGTTGATGTAGAATGAAGATTAGGAAAAGAAGTTGGAGTAACTAGATGTTGAAATTAGTTAGAGAGGTATGGTTGAACCTGACTTTGAGGTCCCAATTTGAAACTACTGGGACGACTTCTAAGAGCCTGCCATTAAGGAGCAATAATTTAGAAGTATAAGTTATAAGATATACCTTAGGCTTTGGAAACCTCACATATAGGTGTAGCGTGAAAGAAACGTGGGCCTGTTCATTGTATCTTCGTCTAGAAGATTTAGTTGGATGAATTCCGTGAAGAACAATTTTTTATAACATAATTCCATCTATAAGATTAATTTTCTGAAGATACATAATTGGGCTTATCGTGCTAGGAATGATTTGAAATAAACCCACTGGCTGTGATTCTGTGAAAACTGAAATGTGACTTTTTTGGTTGATTTGTATGGATTAGCACATGTTTTACTTTTGGGCTTGCATTTACTGTCACCAACTTTATTAGGGCAACAAATTTCATAATATTTCTGATAATAGGTTGAAGGTTGGGGAGCTTATCATTCTAGTATAGCTTGCCAGTCTCCCATGATAGAAATAACTCTATTTCCATGTTCCTTTTTTTAATGAAGATTAGTGGCATTTATTGCCAAAAATTATAACGGTCATACAAGAGGAAAGGCAAAAAGGAAAAAAAATTCCGTGTTGTACCTTATCCATCGATCATATGTAAAACGTTTGCAGTAAGATTTGGCTTTTTTATCATGTGCTTAGATTATTTAGTTACATGAACAATTGAATGTTATCAACTGGAAGCAATTCATGTAATTTGATTGAATAGTATGAAACTGTTTCCTAGCTCCTAAGTGCCATGTTTGAAGTCTCATGCCTTAATGTAGTTTTGTACAGAAGCTAACTTCTGGATTATGAACATAGATGTTTTAAACCATATTTGTTTAGTTATTTGTTCTTACTTATCAATCTGTTTCTGGACTAATCTGTGCTGTAACGTTTGTTTGATTTCCTTCTTTTCCCAGCTACGATTACTCTGGTTACGGAAGGTCAAGTGGAAAGGTGAGATTTACCTCCTTTTGTTTGTCTATTTACGTTGCTCGTCTCTATGTTCACTCCTTAATATTTGCATTGTGTTATTTCTCCACTTTTGTATCTTCCTCTCTTGCACAGCTAAAATGCAAAGTGAGAGTTAGTAATTGCTTTTTTAATCAATCTATAGCAAGAAGTTCATGTATTCTTGGCTGAATATACTATATTCTTTACTTTTGACAGCCAACAGAATGCAATACATACGCAGACATAGATGCAGCCTACAATTGCCTAAGGGAGCAGTATGGGGTCAAAGATGAAGACCTGATATTGTATGGTCAGTCTGTTGGTAGTGGACCCACAGTCGATCTTGCTTCCCGTTTACCCAATTTGAGAGGTGTGGTTCTTCACAGTCCACTTCTTTCTGGCATGAGGGTGTTATACCAAGTTAAAAGAACCTACTGGTTTGACATCTACAAGGTAAAATATCATTTTATGTATTTTCATGTCTTGGTAACTTCATCAGCATGTGCCGCCTTATATGAAACTTTCATCTTTTTCAGAACATTGACAAAATCGGTTTGGTGAAGTGCCCTGTCCTGATAATCCACGTAAGTATCGTTTCCTCCATCTTCTCACTCCGCTTGATGGAAAATAGAGCTTGATGGAAAATAGATGTCAGCATCATAGGGGGTTGCAGTAAGTTAGCCATATACATTCTGCTTCTTACTGTCCTTTGACGTTGAGATGCATGTTTTTGCGAGTTTATTGGTTGGCTGATTCAGGATAGCTGAATCTTGGAGACAAATATTGGAAGGCTGATGTCAGACAAGTTACTCGTCTATATAATCTGAAAGATCTAATGTTAGCCGTCTTATGATAATTAGAATGACAAAACGCAAGAAAGAATATATTGCTGCTGTGCACTAATATCAAGTACATTGTAAATGTGGGTTGAATTCCTAACGTAATTAGTTGACTTTATTTTCAAACATAGATTGAGAATAGAGTTGGCAAACTGCGTGCTTGATCGTCATATAAGAAGTGTCATCTAAAATTCATTAGCCAGTTTGCCTACATGGTTTCTATAGGTCACAGTAGCTTTTGACCAAACAAGGGTGTGTTTGGTTTGGCTGAACAATAAGCAATTTGAAACAAGTTTGGTTTAAACGTTAATATAAACACACTTCTTCAATATGACTTTTTGGAACCACTATTGACTATTCCACTATGTTTCTCGCAAATTATTAGCATCCAAGACTAAAAGGCACCTCGCCAGTAAAGTTTCGTTTCCAAATTTGTCCCTATGAAGTAATAGCATTTTCTTAAAACTTATACCCATTATAGGGGTTTCCTAAGTGTTGCTGATTCATATTTGGTTATTCCAAACTCTCAGGGAACAGCAGATGAAGTCGTGGATTGCTCCCACGGAAGACAGCTGTGGGATCTCTGTAAGAACAAATACGAACCTCTATGGATAACTGGAGGGGGACACTGCAACCTCGAGCTATATCCAGAATTCATTAAGCATCTCAAGAAGTTTGTAGTCTCACTGGGGAAATCTGCAAAAGCAGCAGCCACTGTTGCGGCTAATGCAGAGCCCGATAAGACGACGGTATCATCAGAGGCAGAGAGTAAGAATAAAGCACCACCGGACACACCTGGAACCGCAGAAGATACTTTTGAATTGGTAGCAGCAGAGCTTCCACCGCCACCTCAAATGTCGAGAAACAGTTTAGACAGTCGGCTGGAGAAGTCCAAGAAGTCGAGCAAGCACGAGAAATCTCGAATGAGCATTGACCGTGTCGATAGATTTATTAGAAGGAAACGAGGCTTGGTCTGGTGAGTTAAGGGTTAACATCCCAACCCCAAGGGAAAGAGACGAGAGCCTCATCGTCAATGACCCTTGCTTTATGCTGCTTGCGTCCCCGAACTTCAGGGTCAGTTTGTGATGTTGCTGTTATGTGCAAGGATATATACCCTAGCTAGACTGAGACCTGTAATTTTATCTATTTTTTTCCTTTCACATGATGTTAAAAATAATGTATGTATTTGGGAAGGATGACTAAGCATGATAAAAGAAAAGGTAAAAGAGAACATAAATCATCTCTGCATATTCTGGTGCTGTAAAAACGACTGTCTCTCCAACTCAACTCAAATGTGATGTAATTTGTACGTCATTCAGGCTCCAATATACGTACATGTTGATTTAAATTAACAGCTATTGGAACCACGAATCAAATTCATTCGTCGAGAGTTATTTAGGAATTCATGGCGTCATGGTTCGCTACATAAGTTCCTACACAACTAAGAACAGCTGGAGGGAATTCCAGATGAACATAACCAGTTGAAAGGGATGCCAGAAGGTTTGCAGGTCCCCTTCCGAAGCTGGTCTGTGTATTGTTCCTCCGCCGTGGAAGCAGCAGTTGTGGATTGGTGGTGGCAATGAGTAAATGTTGCTGTGCAGATTGATAGACAACGGCAATGACGCGCATATTAGTAAGACAGATAAAATGGCAGTACACCTGGAATTCAAACAACCATAGAATCACTTACAAATCTGATCTGAATCCATACTGGTCAGCCATGGAGCAAGTGAAGGGAGAGGGATAAGTTCCGGTTCTGGCATAGTTTTCCATGCCAACCAGCAATTCGAGTAAAGTTTCTGTATCATTGGCTGGCACCATAAAGCCCTTTTCACTTTGACTCTAACAGCTGGAACTCATAGACAAGCCAACAGAAGACCGCATAAGCAAATTCATAGTTGCATTATTGTAGATACCGAACTTCAATTGATTATCATCCATAATTACCAGGGTGAATTGCTGCACACGTCTAGAAAGCAAGTGCAACTGATAGATGCCTCATGATTTCAGGTAAGACATGCTGCAACAACAGAAATAATGGCCTTCTATGGGTGTCAGGAGATCTGACGAAGGTTTTTATAAGCCTTCATTATATTGGCTAGATATTATTCATCAATGCTGGATTGTCTATATTGGCGAAGCTGTCATGCGGCCGTTTTCCTTCATAGGGAGTGTGGGCACCAAACTCTAAGACGGGTAACAGAATGGAATCAAGTTTGCGAATTTGTGAACATTTTAGAACATGTCACACAGGTTTACTGCTGCAGGGAAGCAAATACAGTAACGAAAGAAGGTACCTGCACATGACAACCCTTCATATCCATTGCCATCAGACATTCAACGAATTAACAGCAGCTGCTGAGTGAGAGGGCATTGTTTGCTCCTAGGGTTCAGGAAGAATCACTACCCAGGTCACTGATTGACATATTTTGATATTCCATTCCTTTCCTCAGATTTCTGAAGTTGTTCCTGTGAGACATATCAACACATTAAAACACGGAGGATCTCCAACCCAGCATAACCAGTAACTTCACATTATGAGAGGAAGTGCAGGAAACTAATGCAGAACAGAGGGGTTTTTATTTATTTATTTATGAATAAACAGAGAGGAAATTCCATACAGAAAGCAAGACAGAACCATACCAGCTCAGACCTCATATTTGTGATAGCCTGTCGTCTTTGATGTGCGAAAAACTTCAATGACTGTCAATAAGGCCAGCACAAATCAAAGAAGAAAAGGCACAAAAAAAAAAGAGAAAAAAAAAGAGGATGACATGTCGTATAAATGAAAAATCTGGGAAATCACGAGTTACATAGATGATATGAAAAGAGAGTATCTACTAACCCCAATCCTCTGCATCAGAATTGATCTCTGCAATGCTTCTCGTTTCGTTAGAAGATTCTCAGAATGAAATTTTTGAGGCCGCCTGTAGTTTTTTCCACGGTAGAGTATTATAGCATGACCTTTGCTCAACTTTTCCACTGACACAAGAATCCCACCACTTTCTGCTTCAAGTGATTTAGCCGTATAAATGACCTGTGTAAACGTCCTCTGCATGGTAATAACCTTAACTACTTCTCTGTGTTTCCAGTGCTGATACAACCCTTCCACCACACCGTCAAACACCCCACGCCTGCCTGAATAAAACCAAACCAAATTCTTAACAAAAGAAACAACGATGGCAGGCACCAAGCAAAGAAAAGATCCCCTGATCCCCAACCAGCAAGCTTTTCCGAAGACATGCCCTACTTCTAACATTATCCCCATACTTCAGTGACTGTGAAGTGAGAAATGGACGGGTACAGAAAATCTAGGGACTTCAGAACTGTTCATAGGACATACAGCGAGACGTTGAATGGGGTATCAAAAAGTAAGCATATATTACCAAGAACCAAGCTACTACGCAGCTTTTGTGCAATCTTCCTGAAGCATTCTCTCTCCTCATCTGTGAGTATTTCACGGTCAGCATCATTCTCAGCGGGCACCCACTCAGAATTCAACTTAGTCAATTCTCTCATGGAATTCTCTATTTTCATTTCGAGCTGCAAAATCCAGACATTTTCTTTAAATGACATGAACTCGGTCACAAATAACTGGACTGAATGAATCTGAAAATGAAACCATACAATGAAAAGCTTGCGTTCTTGGATTCTCAATTCCCTTTCAAGGTTTGCCTTCTCAGCTTCTAATTGAAGTTCATTCTCCTTTTTCCCCTTAACCAACCCCCCAAACTTGTTTTGGATATCCCAAAATTCATATAAGGTTCCTGTTTTGCTGCTGTTCAGCGATGGATCCACAACAATGTGGACTGAGTCGGCTGCTTTCTTTCGTGAGCTTTCTTCATCCAGGTGGCATCTCCGTATCTCAGTTTCTCTCTCAGATACCAACGTTGCAACTTCAGAAGGGAGATAGTCTTTACCTCTATATAGTATTATGAAGAACTTATTACGAAGCAACAACACTCCACCTGTCAGACGCTGCATACAGGACATGAGTGTTAAAAAAAGCATTAACTACAGACTAATGTAAAGCAAGAGTGACCCTAAAATTCACAGTCAAACATTGAGCCTAAGACTGCAAACTTCTGTATGAAGCAGTTATTCTTGTTCTTAGGTCGCTGCATGAGTAAATAGAGATTGTAGACAATTCTGAGGTAGAATGTCAACCACTAAACGCGGATGACACAATGTGGTGAGCTTTGCCGGACAGATCAGCTAGAAAGTACAGGAAATCACTTTGCAACTCACAGTATGCTCGACGAAAGAAAAATGAAAACTTTCAAGTCAAATTCACAAAGATCAAGTTAGCAGGTCCAAACCCAGGAGGAAATTACAACAATGTAGGTAACTTCATCTCATAACTTGCCTTAAGCTCATTTGCCATTTGCTCATTGTCAGTATTCGGAACTCCCCACTTTATAGCAATTTTAGCTATGTTACTATTCTGCCACAACTTCAAGATTGCAAAAGCAAGACCCTGAAGCCTTCTATTCCTCCCTGCAACAAAGAAGAAAAGAGTTCCTAGGTAAAATTGAGTATTTTCAATGCTAAAACTCTTCTATGCATGCAATGGTTTGATCTCGCAAACCAGCAAAAAAAATGTCAATTTGCACCGCGGGTCTCACGAACCAACAGATTAGTAAACATGCTTAACTCAGGAGACCCAAAACAATAAAAATCTCAGAGTTGTGAGAAGGTACCAAGAACAAAATGGGTGGGTAAAATACGAGCAAGCTTCCTCAAGCTTGTCAACTCTGTATCTTTCAGCTGAGGCCGACCATAAGGAGGCCAACGCCTTGAAGGAGGCATGTATCCAGGAACCACTTCAGGCAGCAAATCAGCATCCACTGGCAGCGGCTTTGGCATCCACCAGTCAACAAACCGGGGTCCTAAGCCTTCCAATAACCTATCTCCTTCTCTCTGAAACAATGACAAGTCTTCCCCAGGGATCCCATATATGTCATCACCAACCATATTGCTTATACCAGAATTTTTAGTCACTTCGTAATTACATCCTCTATACACAACAAGACTGTCTTTCCATGTCCAAACAACCAAGCCTCCAGTCTTCAACTGATTAAAGAAAACACCGGCCAAGAGACACAGAGAAATGAATTACATTAAGACCAGAAAGTGATCTTAAAAGATTGTGATACCATGTTCTATTGGTAATGTTATACTTATACCAGTTAAATCATGGACGAGTGACCAAGTCTATATCACTATATAACGGTTTTTAAACAGTTCTGTTGTTTCACCTTGAACCATTAACTCGATCAGTTTGATCTCTGATTTCAGAATGCTTGATTAAAACGTGGTAGGAAATGCAAAGCAAGTAATCTGCAAACCTCAACAATCTCCCTTGCCCTGTCCATATTGCGACACAGTGGGAGGCCAATCTTAGCCATGGCGAGCTCATTACTCTCCCAAGCCGACTTTATCTCATCAACCACGCGCTGCGTCACCCCAAGCTTTTTCACCTTCACCCAAATTCTCATCGTAGCAGCTTCGGCTCTCAATCTCTCGAGCAGTTCCTGATCAAGAACCAACTCGGCCTGAGTCACCACTTTATCCTTCTTCAATCTGTAGCGCACGACCTTCTCTTCTCTCACCCAGGGGAGCTTCTTCTTCGCATCGTCGGAATCAGAACTTCCCAGGGAGAAGGAGGAGGAATCCACCACCACCGGCGATTGCTGTTGATTTCCGGGGAGGGTTTCGATGCTTCGAACGATTTTGGACATGGCTTTCTTGCCTCGCACACCGCTTTCTTTCGCGGTGAGCGCCTTGTCGGCCTTTTCTTCTGCGGATTCTTGGGCTTTGCGGGGTTTGGAAGGATTGTTGGAGAGGTTGGCGAGCTCGTGCGGCTGGAGGCGGAGAGGACCTTTAACCCACGGCGGAGTGGGGATTCTGGTGGTGGCAGCATTGGGATGGGAGTGTGAGTCCGGCGAGGGGAGTATGGAGCGGGGATTGTTGTGGTTTGAGGATTTGGAACAATTGGTGAAGCTTTTGGGATTGGAAGAGGAAGAAGAGATGAATGGAGAAGTAGGGGGACGAGGGAGGAAGAAGGAGAAGAGAGTGGTGCTGGAATGGCATTGCATTTGGAGAAGAATGGAGATTTTGGTGAGGGAAACCATGTAACAATAGTTCTTTTCCCAATTACACCAGTTGCTTTGGTGAGATGATATATCTCTTGTGGATGAATGAAACCATGTAACAATAGTTCTTTTATTGTTTTTTTGTTATTAGATAGTAGAAATTTGGTCAATTATAGAAAATCTCAACCAAACTAGAATTTTTATCACTTCAATTGTAATACTATTACATATTGCATATCAAGTTTTTTGAGTTTTGACACTGATGTCGTAGATTATGTAACCGTTTTGAAAGAATCCAACATTGTGTTTGGTACTTTTATAAGATAATATGCTCTAGTATGTTTTGTTTTGAAGAACTCGACCTCGCTATAAAGAAGGGCATTGTAAATCATACAAAGACGTGATACTATAAGAAACTTGGAACTCGTACCATCTAGCATTACACGAAGAAAGATGTGTATACTATCTCTATTCAAGTATTTTCGATCGAACACATAAACTCTTAGGACATGCATGCATCGAGCATCAAGACAAAACCCTCCGTAATGATGATGATGCAAGCAATGAAGCAGTTCTCGGGAGAGGATGATGCCGATCTCGACGAGATGAAGCTATAAGATGAGAAGTGTGGAGTTGACTCAACTATGGTGGAGATGCATCGAGCTAGCATTGATGATGTGGGACTAAAGCAACTGTTAGAAGGTGTATAAAGCATCAAAAGCCGTCAAGAAGCCAATGAAGAACGCTTCAAGGAGATGCATGAGACATTGGGAGAGATCGTAGACAATGGGCAAGAAGGTCATATGAAAGCTGTCACTATTGATGAGGAAGAAGATGAGTTTACCACTCAATCTTTGGAAGGAGAGGAAGGCGAGATGTCACATATTGAAGGTTCATTTATAGCAACCTGCAATTTTCTTCTTTTTGCATTTGGATTCGTTTGTTAGTTTATTATTGTTTGGGATTCGATTGGGCATTTGGGGATAATTTGAGGGATTAATAAGTTGGGGTAGCTATAGAAAATTGTGGGTTTACTATATAAACCATTTTGTTACGTGGGAATGGAAGTTAAGCAAAGATTAAATACTAATTGTTTCTCTAATCCCTCTTCCTCTCTCCCTCGCTTGTCGAACACACACACACACACAAAATCTCTCTCTCTACTACTGCTATCGCAGCTTTCCCCTCCTTCATTCCCTATCAATTCTTGTTTTTCTTTCTCTATTTCCCTTCCACAAGCCAAAGGAGAAGATCAACACCTTAGTGATTTGCTCATTTCCCTCAAATCTCTAGAAATAGATAGAACCAGAAATCCGGGTTTCTATCATTCATGGATGAAGAAGGTTGCAGTATTGAAGATTACGCAGACATTCAAAGTTTCTTGGATTCTTAAGAAGACGTTGAAGGCTTCCATCATTTTCTCTGTCTTACATCCACAAGCAATCTATCTACCGATGCATCCTCAACTATAGAAGATATCCAGGAGGGAGTGATCGAGTTTGATGATTCCCCTTCAACTCTTAGTCAAAGTTTAGCACCACTCTTGGAAAGCCAAAATGATGATCAGGAGAAAGATGAAGAGGCAACTTCACACAAGGATGATCAACCTATGGAGGAGTCTAAAGAAGAAAATCTACCTCAACCTATCCAGTCAAAGGAGTCTCAAGAGGAGCCCAAAGAGGAGCATAAAGACCATAAACCACAAGAGTAGGGATGGAAATTTGATGATAGTTTTCTGGTTAAACCGAAAACCGAATCGTATAAATAGGTCTGATTGCAACCAAAAACAGGATTGCTTCAAAATAGTCTAGTCTCTGGTCATGGTGAGGGTCAGAAAAATTGGCCTAATTTTGCTAAGTTAAAACCTGGAAACCAGATAACATTAACCCTTCACAGCCCACCTATTCCAAGCCCACTCCCACTCCAACCCCAGCCCACCCCTAACCTTAACCCAATTCCCAACTTCCCACTTTCATCTCAATCTCTATCCCTTTCCTTCCCACTCCCAGCAGTGGAAAATTCAACCATCTCTCTGCCTCTCTATCTCACCATATCTCTACCTCTCCCAAATCCTCTCACACAGACACCCACAAATCACAAGCAGTAGGACGATGATGCCATACATAAACTCATAGAAGACCCAAGTATTGGAAGTGAAGGATCTCTTCATGACCCCCTACATTCCCTTCTCAAACTTTAATGAATCCGTTTGTAGACTCTAACTTTAAGCAAGATGTGGGAGAGTGGAAATTGAAGAATTCTTCATTTCCAAGGAAGCTCTTGGTGGAGAAGAGGAGCATGTCATTCCCAAAGCTAGAGACCATGAAGAAATACGCAAGATCAAGGTGGAGATCGATCATGGAGTCAAGCGAGATCTCTCTCGACTCCTTTTATTGGATCCCTTGGCTGCTGATAACGCTTAAATTATAGTTTTTTTTATCATTCTCATATTTGATACAACTTCCTCTTTTATCGATTCATCTTTAGTACATTTACTATGTCTTATATGAATATCGTAACTAATGATCAATGTGTCTAAGATAGACCTTGAGCATCACATGACTAAACCATAAAGTAATATAGTTAGACATCCAATGATAAAGGCATCTAATTACTAAAGCATCACATTATATCATAGAAAGAGTATGCATAAAGTATCAATATAATTCACATCCTTAACAACGAATTTGAACTAATTCATAAAGGAGAAGGATGGCACCACCTCGATTTGTTAAATTATTTAATTTCACCTAAATCGTTGAAGGAAGAGATATAGTTATAAATATAATTTGTATCTTACCGCCGCAGAGCACGAGCCAAAAAACCGGTTAAAAGTTTTTTATAAATAAATATAGTATGCAATAATGATGTGTGATACCTGAATTTAGCCTTGTGAGAAATTCATGCTTAATTCGCTTACATACCGTTTGGTATAAATGAATTGCATTATTTTTTTAGGAAGTCATTTCGAAATGAAATCTTTTTGTGTTTATATTTAAACGAATTCATTTATTATTCTAAATTTTGTATTTTACAGAATTGGAACTAGTTATAGCAATTATGAAAAATTGAGATGAAATTTCCAAATGAATTCCACGAGTATTTTACTAATTATAATAGAATGTAATCATGCTCATCTATTAACTATATTACTTCTACATATATTAGTTGGTGTCAATACACATATTATGCGGGCCTAACCCTCTCTTCGCCGGTAGGTTAACTTTATATACATAGTTTCTCCTAAACCATGTATTCCGAGCGAGTCCAAATTCCATTCTTAGGAGATCAAGCTCGCTTGGCTCAAGAGAAAAATGGGTTATATGGAAGATCTTTAGAAGATGGATCTTCAAATTGTTTACTAGTTTTTCCGAACTTATTGTTTAGCTTTGTCTTAATGGTTGGATAATAATTTTGTCACTTGCATTTTCTAGAATATGAATTTTCAATGAATATTGTTTATAGTGGAAATTAATAAGGTGTAGATGAAAACTTTTAATTTAATTCAATTATGAATGCATGCCAAACATGGTTTGGGAATTAATTCCATTTTATTTATAAAAATTTGAATATCACATACCAAATACAGGAATTCATTTTAAAATGAATTGAATTCCTGATTCATTTGATGGAAAAAATCCAAAACTACCACTGTTTAAAAAAAATTACAAAAATACCACCCACTCCAAATAATTTCCAAAAATACCATCCTTTATTTAAAACCGCGCCTCTAAGGAGCGGTTTTTACTAAAACCGCGCTTCCAGGAAGCGTTTTACATAATAACCGCGCCACGGAAAAGCGTTTTTAATTTCCAGAACAAAACGCTTTTGGAAGGAGCGGTTATAGGCTAACCCTACCACAAAACGCTTTAGGAAAGAGCGTTTAAGTGTCGGCATTACAAACCGCCTACCCAAAGGGCGGTTTATAGTGTCAGGACACAAACCGCTTCTCCAAGCGGCGTTTTATAGTGTCAGGACACAAACCGCTGCCCCAAGGCGCGGTTTGTGCCTGGTCACCCGACAGCCAACATGTCGGCATGCAGGGGGTAGGGCACGTAGGGCTTCATGGCAGACCTAAAACCGCTCCCCCCCACCCCCCCCAGCGGTTTTGGTGCAAAATTTGCCTATAAAAGGCGGTTTCAGAGAACTCAATTCTTCACACCTCCTCCTCTTCCTTCTTAAAATTTCAGCTTTAAATTATTTAGTTTTTGCGATTAACGTTGATTCGTAAGTTTGTTTCGTAATTACTTTTCATTGTCCTTTGTGATTTTATGTTAGTAACTTAATTACTTTTCATTGTCCTTTGTGATTTTATGTTAGTAACTTAATTACTTTCCATTGTCATTTGTGATTTTATGTTAGTAACTTAATTACTTTTCATTGTCATTTGTGAATTTATGTTAGTAACTTAATTACTCTTCATTGTCCTTTGTGATTTTATGTTAGTAACTTATTTACTTTCCATTGTCATTTGTGATTTTATGTTAGTAACTTAATTACTTTTCATTGTCATTTGTGATTTTATGTTAGTAACTTAATTACTTTTCATTGTCATTTGTGAATTTATGTTAGTAACTTAATTACTCTTCATTGTCATTTGTGATTTTATGTTAGTAACTTAATTACTTTCCATTGTCATTTGTGATTTTATGTTAGTAACTTAATTACTTTTCATTGCAGATGGCATTCCAAAGGTTCACGCTTGGGTTGCGGTGGAATGGTTACACGAAAGAGACCGAAAAGGGTGTAAGTTACGTCGGTGGAAATTTTTATAAAATGAAGGTCCGTACGAGACCGATGCTTGAAGAGCTCCATCAAATGTGCACTCAGATTACCTGCATGGATGGCACTAGAAGAGTTGATCGAATGGTGTATCGATATCCAAACAGACATGACGGGTCGCTGTGGCATGAGGAATTCCTCCTTACCACTCAGGAGGACGTTGATGCCATGGTCCAATTTTTGACCACCAATAAAATCAAGCAAGCGGAGATGTTCGTTTACACCGAGGTCGTCGAAGGCAGTGTAGGTCATTCTGGAGATGGCCAAACATCTGGTATCCACGGTGGGAGTGTATTATGCAGGAGTATCATCATGGTACTGGAGGAAGTCATCAATCCTTCCCTTCATATGAAGAAGAAGCTCAACAGGCGGATTACAACCAACAAGCAGGCTACCACTACCCACCCGACTACAACTTCTATCAAAGCGGTATTAGTTACCACAACTACCATTACGGAGCTAGTGAAGGTGAAGGTGCCTTTCATGCTGGTAGTCAGATGGAAGAAGAGGTCAATCCAAGTCCAGTTAGTGACCCTGAGGTTGAAGAAGAGGAAGGCGAAGTTAGTGCAGACAGCGACGATCCGTTGGAGGGTGCTGATGATTCCGGTCCAGATTCAGACGCAGATGGTGATGAGGTAGCTCACGACCGTGTACCTATTCCATACTACAATCACATTCAAAGTGAAGATTGGTATGTTGATGCCGACATGGACCCGCCAGATGTGCCAGTATGTGGTCCACTAACTGGCTTTACGAAGGGCCAACAATTTGCAACGAAGAATGAGGTCCGACACGCTATTTCCACTGAAGCAATGACTCAGAGTTTTGAATGGCAAACAACCCATTCCGACACAAAGAGGCTGCTGGTTCGATGCAGAAATGAAAATGAGGGATGCAAAGCTAGGGTTCGGGCTATCAAGAGCAAGAGAGTCGGCCATTGGGTCATATCCCGTGCGGTGAACACACACACATGTGTGTCATCAATAACATCCCAAGGCCATCGACAGTTGAAATCAAGGGTGGTTGCCGCGGCTATCAAACATCTAATTGAGGAGCAGCCCGACCTGAAGGTCAAAACCATCATCGCCCACATTTCTAGTCGTTATGGTTATATCATTAACTACAAGAAAGCATGGCATGGGAAACAGAAAGCAATGGTGGCGTAGAATCCACACAAACAACATCACCATCGATGGGGAGATCGGTTAAGATGGCGATGTCCTTAAGTGTGATGGTGCACTCGCCTTCACGAAAATTGAAGCAGTGTGTCTCCTTTCGCCATCTCTCTACCATCACCGTGATGAGTTGGCGGTCGATCTTGATCCCATTGAAATGCCGAATCGAATCCAATCTTGCCCTTTTTAGAAAGGGCAAGATGACGTCGTTCCATTCAAGCACATTCGTTGTGCCCCTATAGCGGACTATATGGTATGCATCCTAGAAAAAAATTTAAATTTCATTATAAGTTGATGATTTATACATATATAAATATATTATAAGATACAATTTATATATAAATCAAGGTTGTTTTAGAGAAATATACATTATCTAATAAACATTTATTTTAACATAACTAAAATAACTTTCTAAGATGCAATATTAATTAAATCAAGGTTGTTTTAGAGAAATATACATTATCTAATAAATATTTATTTTAACATAACTAAAATAATTTTCTAAGATGCAATATTAATTAAATCAAGGTTGTTTTGGAGAAATATACATTATCTAATTAAATATTAATTTTAACATAACTAAATAATATTATAAGATGCAATATTAATTAAATCAAGGTTCATTTAGAGAAATATACATTATATAATAAACATTAATATTAGCATAAATAAATAAATAATATTAAAAGATGCAATATTAATTAAAGCAAGGTTGTTTTAGAGAAATATACATTATCTAATAAATATTAATATTAACATAACTAAAGTAATATTCGAAATTTAAGTATAAATATTTTTTGTACACATACACATAAAATCAAATATATTATTTTGTTAATCGTATTAATTATGTTCAATAATTTAAAGCAATACAAGTACACTCGTAAGACTCTTAGGAGAGGTATACATCTCCTTAGAAACACAGTCTTTTTGACAGAAAAAGGGGGATCCGAGGATCACTTAGAACCCGATTTTCCCAGGTCATGGGGTGATCATGATGATCGCTTAAGTCCCCATTTCCTTAGACATGCATTTCTTTATAACAGAGTCTCAATAAGTGTTGTATTGTATTGATTTAAATTATTGTAAATAATCGATACGATTAACAATTAAGTAAATTATTGTACAACAAATAAATTACTTTAACAAAATAAAAATTACAAGTGATGATAAATAATATGTACCTTGTGGTCGTTCCAAACGTCTCTTGAACGATGATTTGCTTGATCGTATAAAACTGTCGGATCAATCGGTCCTTGATCAACATAATATCGTTGATTGAAAATATCAACATTCGGCCCAACCTACGATAGCATAACAATAACATAAATCATTAGTATATAAATTAAATAAATCATTATAACAACAACAACAATTGGGGAAAATGAGTACGTACGTTTGATAATCATCATAAAAAAGACCCTCTTCTTGAGCGAAATCGGCCATTCTCTCGGAATCCGGACAGATATTCGACGGTTTTTTAGTGAAAACCAAAGAAAAAGTATTTTGGAGGCAGATCGGACTTAGCCGCAACCAACAAAAAAACTAATTCTAAGGTTGGGTGGGGAGGGGTTGGGTAGAGAGAAGTTAGAGGGAGAGAGGGCAGTGTGGTGGATGGTGTGCAGAAAAGAGAGGGGGAGGGGGGTTTATAGGGTTCAAACTGCGTGGGGGAGGGTCGGTGGAGTAATTTCTCGCCACAAAAAATCACGCATCCAGCACGCGGTTTTAGTTTCCCAACGGTCAAACCGCGCATTAGGTACGCGGTTTTAGTTTCCCTACGGTCAAACCGCGCATCGGGGGAGCGGTTTCATTTTCCCAACGGTCAAACCGCGCCTCGGGGAAGCGGTCTCTGTGGGCGAAACGGATTGCTGACTTGGCACAAGTTTTATCCGTCTAAACGCTCCTCCGATTGGCGGTTTGATGCACCGCCACGTGGCAACACGGTTTAATTAAATGAGCGGTTTTTAATAAATGATGGTATTTTTGGAAATTATTTGGTCTGGGTGGTATTTTTATAATTTTTTTTTAAACGGTGGTAGTTTTGGATTTTTTCCTTCATTTGATACCAAATCTTGTGTTAGTGAACTTGATTCCATTTTGACAAAGTGCCATCTTCCTTAAATTAAAAAAAAAATTAAACCTTATTATTTTAATTTTATTTTGTTCCATAAAGCCTTCGGACATAACCATTTTCCACTTTTTTTTAATTTTTAATCTTATTAGTTTAATTTGATTCTTTTATTAGTTGTTAATTATCATAGTTTATTTTATAAGTTATGTACTTTTAAAATAGATCAATTACGTTCTTCAAATTTTAGATTTATATTTCTAAGTATTCTTTTGATTATATGCATAATTACTTAATTCTTAAAAAAATTAATGGTGTTCATCATTTTGGAAAATGGATGTTAATCGTACTTTTATTCCTAGTTTATTCATTTTTTAACAGAACATTTTGAGTGCTTTTCTTTGTCTCAAATCAATATGATAAAATACAAAAAAAAAATATAATATTTTCTTATATTATTTTGCTTTTTTTTTTTTTCTCTTTATTACGTAATACAATAAATACTCTGATCTCTCAATCGTCAAATCCTGACCCTGCTCCTTGTCTTCTTCCACTTTTAATAAAGAGGGGCCGACATGACTGGAAACGGTATATCAAAGTTTTCCCTCTCAGTTGGTGAGAACTTGAATGAGTCTACTTATGGATAATAGTGAGTATGGCCAATAAACCCAATAAGAAGACAGAAACGCATCAATCAAAGCTTTAAAAGCTTGTGGGGTAGCAGATCAATTTTCTCAGAATCAGAACATGGAGCTCTGTAACTTGTATGTGTCTGAAATGGAGCCTCAGAACATGGAGGCCTGTAAGTAAGTTTGTGTCTGAGATGGAGCCACAACAATGCTGGAGATAGTAATTGATATCAGTGGTTGACACTTGACACTTTGTGTTTTTTTTTCCCCTTCTTTTAAATCTCTTGCAAGTGGCAGCCAGCCAACATCACTCTTCTGGATATTAGCTAAGGATATGACTTGAATGGTTGTGTTGTGTCTGATTGTCTGAATCAAGAAAGATAAGCCCCTGATGTTGACACAGAAAAGAAGGCAATTGTAGCCTGTATACAACAAAAGAACAGAAAACAGAACTGAAGACTTCTATATATGATAGAATTCTGGACTGACCAGCAAACTGAGTCCAAGATGACATCTTGTAGCATATTTTCTGAACCAGGGTTCCCATGGTAACACCTTGATAGAGCATTTAGCTAGAAGTGATCAAATTACACAGATAAATGATTGCCCCACAGCTCAAAACCACAGCAAAAAAACAATGAGTCAGCTAGTGGCTAGCAGCAACGACAACAAGCAGAGGGCTTCTACTTCTGTTTTAAAGCTTTCAAAAGCCATCTCTTCCCCTCCAAAAAAAAAAAAAAAACATAACTTGCTAGGGCCAAACATCTATTTGAAACACCATTTACAAACACATATGAAGAGAGCCACTGAGCCAACCACCATATAGAGAAAGTTCAATCCTATTGCAACCACCCAGCCACCCAATTCCTGAGATCAATTAATTCACCTTCTCGTACTTCTCTTCCTCAGGTTCACATAGGGTTCCTAGCATCCAATCCATCCAAATGGTGTAGTGCCCGTAATTGTGACGGTAAGTAGTGTGGTGAATGGTATGGTAACCAGCACCCATCACAGGCCACAGCTTCCCATGAATGCAGTCGTGAATGTTCGCTGTCCACACGGCTTCGAGGAACAATAGAGCTATATGGGTCCGAAAATGGGTCGGAATTACAAAGAGAGCTAGTGCATGTGGCAATGCTTGCAGGATCCCATCAACTGGATGGAAGGCCAAACCTGAAAAGTATACCAAAAAGGCAGGCAGCAACGACAACAGCAGCCAGTTTGGGATTCTGATCAGTATTTGAATAGCTCATTTGCAACATACAGAATCGTAGAATCGCGAATCTGCCTATAAGTAGTATGAAGGACTGACTGACCAGCAAATGGAGACAGAGTATTCTGCTTGTTGTAGATGTGATGAGTTGCATGAAGTAACTTGTACAGAGGTTTAATATCATGGAGTTCTCTGTGCATCCAGTAAATCCCAAACTCCACAAAAATGAGATATATGGCAAGATAGCAAAAGTAGAGAATCCACCCGACCTCGTATATCCCAGAATAACACTTGGTCCACCCATTTTCGATCAAGTGCTCGGACACAGTTGGAAGAAGAGTGTACCACGGCATGGCTTTCATAGCAACATAGATTTGCATCAGCATTGCTTTATTGGAAGGTATGGCATCTGCAATTAAGATTCTTCACCAGATCAGTACAACATTGTTATTATTGTTATCAACATAGTTCAAGGTGGAGTAGCCTTTTGCCACGGGAAAGGCAGGTTAAGGATTCTAAAATGAAAAGAAAATGACAGTATGGGCAGCATATCCCCAGTAATTGACTTCATATACTGAACAAAACCAGACAATTCAACTTCCCCATGATGAATGTGAGAATTTCCCATGACTCTGTGTCGTGATTACTAGCAAGAAAACCCAACAATGCAGACACAATAATGCTCACAACACTGGAAAGTAAATTTAATTCTGCAATATATGTTCTCTAAACCAAGCACATGATAAGAGAAAACTTGATAATGTCATATCCCCATCCCACTTGTCTGTTAGTCAACTAGCCAGCCACATCATATCCGCCAATAAATATCTCATATATAATGTCGATAAAGCTATAAAGTGGCAATAAAGAAGTCTCTTTCATGTATACAATATGAGCAATCACAGATAACATATCGTGATAGCAGACAGGGAGAACAAGAGCCACATGTAGAATGTTTGGAGCAGGTAGAGGGAGACAAAGAGCAAAACAGAGAAGGGTGAAAACAAGGCAAGGCGCACATAGATTCTTTCCCCCCATTTTCTTTATGTAGAAGAAGAAAAGGCAGTAAAATAGATGGTTGCCAATTTAAAAATCACAACCCACTTTTGACATGACTGTAAAGATTAAAGAACAACCATCCAAAAGTCCCTTTCGCCTAAGAGCCAGCAAACCCAGTTCCGAATTGTGATGCAAGCCACCAAGAACAAACTCAAATGGGGAAATACAACGGAGATCTCAGGTGGGTTTAGACCCAATCCACAAACCCACAACGCATAATTTTGAATTAGTGGGGATTGTTGAAAGGTCAGGGCATAAACCCACTCCAGATCCGGAGATGGGATAGAGAAAAGCGTAGAGAGTTTTAGCGGCGGACCTTTGGGGATGTAGACGTTGCGGTAGAGGTGGTAGATGTAGAAGGACCAGAGGAAGCCGGAGATGAAGTAGAGGATGGTGCCGGCGATGTAGTTACGGAGCCAGGTCTGGAGGAAGTGAGGGAGTGGAGCCCACCAGGTGGCGGGAAGCAGATTCGACAGCACAATGCTGTTGAACATTGACGTATCCTCCACGAATTGCTGGAGATACTCGATGCTCCCCGCCATCGCCATCGCCATCAGCGGCAACTGCCGGTTCTCGTGGAAAGGGATAATTGAGGTTAAAAGAGAGGGAGAGGAGGTTTAGGGGTTGTTTGAAGAGCGGGAGAATTGGAGCGGAGCCAGCTGTGAAAAGACAGAGAGTGTGGAGGTGTGAGCGGAAGAAGAGTGAATGGGGAACTATATATAGTGGAGAAGCGGTAACTGGCGGTGAGCACGGTGGTGAATGGTTTTTGTGGTGGGTGAGCGAAGAGATTAGAGATAGAGACATGAAGTGGGCAAGTGTTTGGGCAGGGGTGCAACGATTCGGTTCGGTCTACCAAATTCATGAGAACTGTGATTTATTAGTGAAAGACATTTTAGAATTGAGAATTATATTATTATTTTATTCGATCCATTTGGTCCAGTCCAAAAATTAATTTTGTACATTTTTTCTTCAATAATTATAAAATTCATAGAATCAAGAACCAGGTCGCATTATACTCGGTACGGACCGGACCATTGCACACCCCCTATGTGTGGGTTCTACTCATAGTTGTCACGCCGGCTTTATGATCGGTACTGTTTGAACGTGAAGTTTGCGAGTGTTTGGGTTCTGGTCCTGATTGTGAGTTTGTCACGTTGGTGGAATGCCGGTCGGTTGAACCTGATTCAACTACTAATAGCTAGTAATGAAACCAGCATTAAAACTATCGATATGAAAGATTTACAACTTCTAAGCAAAACGAAGTCATTTTAATGAATTTTATTAATTAAAAAGTAGTTCATTATTTATTTAATGAGTTTAATAGTTAAATGTTGATATTGTTTGTTGGATTCAATTATAAACATGTAGACGTTAAATGTTGTATTTAAATATAAATTTATTTGAAATGCGGTATTTTCTTTAAATATGAAATGTTAGTATTTGATAATTTGGTTCTGGCAGCCGCTTTAGCTAGGAGTTGCAGTGTCCGTGTGCTTTCGCCCTTTCTTTTTTTGTATTTTCACTATTTTGTGATATGTTATGTTATATCATCATATTTGGGAAAACAAGCATTGGCATCTTTTTGTCTGATGACAAGGAGGAAACGTGAAAGAAGCCAATCGAAGTTTGTCTCCAGCTAATTACCGGGATGGTTTGGTTTGGTATATGCTTTTACCAAAATAACTTTATTAACATGTATTTGTACACAAAGTTCCAAACTTCCAATGGACAAGAGAGCGAATCAGTTCGATTCCTATCCCACAACAACTAAAGCAAGATGTAAGATGCTGATGAAAGGAGAAAACTGGACAATACACTAGTGATGGGAATTTCAACCCGTCCCGTGGGTATTACCCGACCTGACCCGCGATGGGGCGGGTATTACCCGATCTGTAGTAGCGTGGGGCGGGGTATGGGTATCTACTTCCTACCCGCCCCGCTCCGTTCTAGACTCATTTTATCTCAATTTCTTACAATATCTATACATATTTCTCCTATTTTGACTTTTATTCAATTAGTTAGAGTCGATCTTTCAACTTGTTAGGCTTAATTATCCATTCTATTATCAATATTTTTCATTCTTAAAGTGTTTTTCCCTACGTTTTATTGTAAAAAGTAAAATTTACTTGTATTTTTTTTGAACAACATGTAAGAGTGGGTCGACCCGCCCCGCTCCCTACCCGCGCGGGTTTTACCCGCCGCCACCCGTAGTAGCGTGGGGCGGGGCATGGAAATTGAGGTACCCGCCCCGCCCCAGCCCATTGCCATCACTACAATACACGATGAAATTATGGTACTTTTAATGGAAAGAGAAGGTAAGAAGAGGAAACCTCATAAATTGTGGACGGGCACCTCAAATTACTGGTAAATGGTTATTCCGGTAAATGGTTATTCTGTTAATAGTGTAATCTATAATCAAACCGGAATCGTCGAACCGGTGCTAAACGTTTACACCAATAATCGATTGAATGATAAATGGTCGATTCCCGCTAGCCAAATTTAGATAATAACTAACCGATGGTTAAACGGTTAACCGACTAACTGATTATGACCATTCTCATAGATAAAGCAAAAAATAATAGACCTCCATGAGCTGCAAACATAGGCCAAAAATAATGGAGTGTTTGAAGACTTATAAGACCTCTTGTTATCCTAGCTGTAATAGTGACTTAGACTCAAATGGGAATAATTTAAAGGGTCGTGTTATAAATGCGCTGCTACGGATTGGGAAATCGTCAGAATCGATAAAGCAAGAATACGAAAGCGAGAATCGAAAAACACAGACACACGATTTACGTGATTCACTAACACAATGTGTGTTAGCTACGTCCACGGGCGAGAGAGAGCCAGTTTCACTATATCGAGGAGATTACATATTACAGAGGAGTATGAGAAGTATTTATAGTACTTCTCCATGTGGGTCTAAACCTAATCCAATATGGCAAAGGAAACGGTTACAGACCAGGCCCATAACCCGAACCCAAATAACATTGAGCCCATACACCGTGGCTTGGGGCGTTGCCCCCGCACCCCCACCGGGTCTTTGCCCCTGGACCTCACTCGTTGACCGGGGACCCCTGACTACCAGTCGTAGCGGCTGATAGTCCGATTCAAGTCACATAAACAAATCTCCACCTTGACTTGAATCCTCTTCCTCTGAAATCTCTTATGTACTCTGCTCCTTCTCTCTCTCTCCCACCATCAATGCCCCACAGGGTGGAGTCACCCACTCAAGACATTCAGCAAGTCCAAGCAGTGTTGGAACTTGCCATGTGGAACTGGCTTCGTGAACATATCAGCAGGATTATCCGCGGTGCCAACCTTCTTCACCTTAATCCTCTTCTCGGTCCTCAAGAAATGATACCTCACGTCGATGTGCTTAGTCCTCTCATGGTGGACTTGATCCTTGGCCAAGCATATTGCACTCAAACTATCGCAATACACCACTGCCTGATCAATGATGTAGACCCATATCACCAACCAGTCCCTTCAACCATATTCCTTCCTTAGCAGCTACTGTCAACGCCATATACTCTGCCTCAGTAGTAGACAATGTCACCGTCGACTGTAAAGTTGCCTTCCAGCTCACTACAGAACTCCCAAGAGTGAATACATAACCAGTCATCGATCTCCCCGTGTCAACATCTCCAGCATAGTCCGAGTCAGAATACACAGACACCAAGCACTCTGTATCACTTCCGAAGCTAATCCCCACATCAGGTGTACCCTTAAGGTACCGGAAGATCCTCTTCACAGCCTGCCAATGCTCCTTCCCAGGTTGTATCATAAACCTGCTGACAACACTAACAGCATGTGCAAGATCAGGTCTAGTGCATACCATAGCGTACATCAAGCTACCTACTGCACTAGCATATGGGACTCTCGACATGTACTCCTTCTCAGCCTCTGACTGCGGTGCATAAGCTGAGGATAGATGAACATTTGAAGCACTAGGAGTATTTAAGGGCTTTGCTGAAGACACGCCAAACCTCGACAGTATCTTCTGTATGTAGCTCTTCTGTGACAAGAAAAGCTTCTTCTTCGACCTGTCCTTGTAAACCTCCATACCCAAGATCTTCTGAGCATCTCCCAAATCCTTCATCTCAAACTCAGCACTAAGAAGCCCCTTTAACTTCTGGATATCAGACTTCGACCTCGCAGCTATGAGCATATCATCCACATACAGAACAAGATAGATCATCGAACCATCCTCCACCTTGTTGTGATACACACAACAATCATATGGACTTCTGTTGTAGCCCAACTCAAGCATGTAACTGTCAAATCTCTTGTACCACTACCTCGGAGATTGCTTAAGTCCATACAAGGACTTCTTCAGCTTACAAACATAGTCTTCTTTTCCCGGCACCTCGAATCCTTCTGGCTGAGTCATGTAAATTTCTTCCTCCAACTCTCCATGTAGGAAAGTTGTCTTCACGTCTAGCTACTCGAGCTCCAAGTCATAATGTGCCACTATTGCTAGTAGCACTCTGATCGAAGTATGTCTGACCACTGGTGAGAAAATCTCATTGTAGTCAACTCCTTCCCTCTGTGAGAAGCCTCTTGCAACCACCCGAGCTTTAAATTTCATGCCCTCTTTAGAAGTGATTCCTTCCTTCTTCTTGTAGATCCACTTGTTTGTAACAATCTTCCTTCCCTGTGGTCGTTTGACTAGCTCCCAAGTCTGATTCCTGTCATGGGATTCCATCTCATCTCCCATTGTGGCAAGCCACTGATCAACTTCGCCACCCGAAACAACTTCTCTATATGACTGTGGCTCACCTGCATCCACTTCTTCAGCAACCTGAAATGAATACGCCACCATGTCCTTGAAACCATACCTCTCTAGAGGTACTCCTGCAGTCGCTCTCTTTGGTCTATCGGAAGCTATAGACTGTTGAGCTCCTGCACTGGACCTTGAAGTTTCTGGCTCTGTAGAAATATCCTCAAGTTGATATTCTCCACCTTGGTGCTCAAACTCACTCTCATTGAGAGTTTGCAGCTCCACCTGCTTATCAACATTCCTGCTACCTTCAACAACAGTAACCTTCAACATGGGGTTAAGCATAGACTTCTCATCAAATATTACATTTCTACTGAGTATAACTTGATGCTCAGAAGGTGACCAGACTCGAAATCCCTTAACTCCATCTCTGTAACCCACAAATACACCCTTCTTTACCCTTGGGTTCAGTTTACCCTCATCCACATGAAAATAAACAGGACACCCAAAAACTTTCAGTGAGGAGTAATCAGCAGGCTTACCATACCACACTTCATAAGGAGTCTTCAACTCGATACCTGTGTGAGGTCCACGGTTGATCAGGAAGCACACCATGTTCACTGCTTCTGCCCAGAATCTTCTCTCTAGTCCAGCATTAGAGAGCATGCACCGTGCTCTCCCCAACAATGTTTGGTTCATCCTTTCTGCAACCCCATTCTGCTGGGGTGTATCTCTCACAGTCCGACGACGGGCAATCCCTTCATCCTTGAAGAATTCGTTGAACTCAGAATTACAGAACTCCAGACCATTGTCCGTTCGCAGCTTCTTGATCTTCTTCCCGATCTGATTCTCCACCAATGTCTTCCACTGCTTTAACTTTGTGAAAGCCTCACTTTTCTGCTTCATCATGAAAATCCAAGTAAATCTCGAATAATCATCAATAATAGACAGAAAATACCTGCTGCCTCCGATGGATTCAACTCGTGAAGGACCCCAACAGTCGGAGTGGAGGTAATCCAGTATCCCCTTCGTCCAGTGGATACCCTTCTTGAGAAACTTGCTGTGATGTAGCTTCCCAAACACACAATGCTCACATAATTCCAAATTCTGCACCTTGTGCCCGCAAAGAAGATCCCTCTTTGATAGAACTTGCATCCCCCGTTCACTCATATGCCCCAGTCCCAGTCTCATATGCCAGAGAGTGGTCATATCTTTCTGATGAACCCGAGACGATGCAACTGCAGCAGAACCAGATAACACAGACCCTTGTAATGCATACAAGGTCCCACGCTTCACGCCCTTCAGCACCTTCCTTGAACCTTTGTAGACATACACAACTCCACCTTTACCTTTGAAACCGAAACCCTTGTTGTCGAGTAGACTCAAGGAGATCAGGTTCTTTGTCATTCGTGGAACATGACTGACATCATTCACGGTACAGAACGACCATCATGTGCCCGAACCTTTGTGGACCCGATTCCAACAACCTTGCAGACAGCTCCATTTGCCATGACCACGTTACCACCATCTAGGTTGTGAAGCAATCCATGTTCGGAGAAATATTGTATGAGGCTGCAGTATCCAGAAACCACACATCCCCACGATGTTCCTTCTCATCTACAACCAAGGTGAGATCGTCTTCAGAACTGTTGTCCACTTCTGCCACGGCAACTGAACCTTGTTTCTTCTGTTGCCCTCTTCTCTTGGGACAATTGTACTTCCAATGCCCCACTTCCTTACAGTTGTGGCAAACATCACCTGGCTGTGGACCGGGACCCTTGGAATTCTTATTCGAATTTCCTTTACCAGATTTCTTCTTTCCCTTTCCACCTATAACAGCCAAACCCGGTGCCTCACCACCTGTACCAGATCCAGACGCCTTATCCATGATCTCTCTCGTATGAAGAGCAGACCTGACATCATCCAACAACACGCTTTCTTTACCAGCAATAAAAGAATCAACGAAATTCTCATATGAACTCGGCAAAGAAACCAGTAGGATTAGGGCAGCATCCTCGTCATCAACTTGAACATCTATATTACGCAGATCCAGCAAAATAGAGTTAAGCTGTTCGAGATGTTCCCTCAAAGGCGTACCTTCTTGCATCCTCAAGCTGAAAAACCGTTGCTTGAGATGCAACTTGTTGGTTAAGGACTTCGTCATATACACTCTCCAACTTTAACCACAAGCACGCGGCAGTCTTCTCAACAGCGATTTCAATGATGACGTCATCAGAAAACTATAGCATGATGGTTGAGTGGGCCTTCTCCTCCAGGGTATTCCACTCATCGTCATCGACCGCTGCCTTCTTCTGTTTCGCAGACAGCGGCCCCCACAACCCTTGCTGTTTTAATAAAGCCTGCATCATGATCGGCCATATAGCAAAGTTATTCTTCCCCGTGAACTTTTCGATCTTCATGTTCACTGACGTCATTCTTCTGAATCGAAAACCCTAGCCTGATTTCCAGCCGCGTCTCTGATACCACTTGTTATAAACGCGCTGCTACGGATCGGGAAATCGTCGTAATCGATAAAGCAAGAATACGAAAGCGAGAATCGAAAAACACAGACACACGATTTACGTGGTTCACTAACACGATGTGTGTTAGCTACGTCCACCGGCGAGAGAGAGCCAGTTTCACTATATCGAGAAGATTACAGATTACAGAGGAGTATGAGAAGTATTTATAGTACTTCTCCATGTGGGTCTAAACCTAATCCAATATGGCAAAAGAAACGGTTACAGACCAGGCCCAGAACCCGAACCCAAATATCATTGAGCCCATACACCGTGGGCCGGGGGCGTTGCCCCTGGATCCCACTCGTTGACCGGGGACCCTCGACTCACAGTCGTAGCGGCTGATAGTCCGATTCAAGTCACATCAACAGGTCGTTTGGATTAGGGACTATGGGTAGGGAATTTGCCACAATCCCTTCTCATCAGAGATTTCACCACAATTCTTTGTTTGGATAGCTATAAAAAAACGAGAGATTTAAGTGATTAGGAATTTTGAAATTCCTAATGTTAGAGAATTTGAAATGGCTTATTGACCCCAAGTATTTTAAAATCTCTCCTTATCTTGTTGCAACCTTCCAGAAATACCCCCGACTTATTTTTATTTCATTATTCCTCTTCTGCCTAAACCAATAAGCCACGTTTCTCCTTCCGATGAGCGATCTGTAATGGCGGTGGTCTCTCCTCCGGCAACGCTGGACACCGGTGAAGATGAGGGATGTCGACGACGGCCTCCTTCTCGATCGGAAGACAATGAAGAGGAATTTCGCACTTATAGAACCGGACGACGAACTTTTCTCGAACTGAGACATTCTGTTGGCTTCGAACACACCAAGAATCCGACGATGTCTTCTTTTTTGGCCTTCCATCCAGCTTTATAAGGGGAGAATCATACATGCAAAGAATGTCTATGTGAATTGTTTGAAAAAATTACTGACGAAGAATTATGCTCAATCCTAATAGTCTTATGGTACACTTGAAAGGAAAAGAAACAATACAAGCTGATAAATTTCACCCTTATAAAAAAGGCTGACGAGATGGACTTGTTAACGAGCTAATAGAACAAAGGTGGTACTATGTTGGCAAAGAGGGGGCTCTCTCATATGATCAATGTGGTAGCAGTCTCAAGACAACAAGAGCAAAACAAGGGTGGTACCAGGTTGGCATGGAGGAGGATCTCTCATATAATCAATGTGGTAGCAATCTTAAGAAGATAAAATAAGCTCTCCTCTCTCTCTTAACCCCCTCCATGGCAACCTGGTACCACCCTCGTCTTGCTACGACTTGATAGCAAGTACCCTCGTCTTGCTACGACTTATAAGCTCTCCTCTCTCTCAACCCCCTCCATGCAAGACTTGGCAAGACGAAGGTGGTACCAGGTTGGCATGGAGGGGGCTCTCTCATATAATCAATATGGTAGCAGTGTCAAGACAAAAAAAAGAAAGACGAGAGCAATAAAAGCAAAGTATGTGTTGAGTCATTGGGGCTGTCAAGGGTGTCATCGAGACTTCATCATAGAGGCTAAGGCAAATAGATTCAACATCATCTGGTCAGGATAAGGCGACAAGAACCAACACTAACCCTGCCTAACGTCAAGACAATCAAGTACCAACTAGTCACCAAGATAGTACAAGGGTCCTCAAGGCAATGGAAGTGAACACCAAGATGATGATTATCAAGTATTTATCAAAGCGACGATGAGGACCCCGAGGCGGTTGGGGCAACCGGTCAGCTGGCAATTACCAGGAAAGTTACACCAGATGACTATAAATAGGGGGAAAAAGATTGTAAAAGGGTCCAACAACCAAACTCTTAACACCCTATGTCAAAATTTATCATTTTCTCTCTAATGTAGACATAGTTGTAGCTTTATTTTCTAGAGCTCTCACTCACCCTCCATAGGAGTTGGAGTAATTTAACTTAGCTTTTCAGTCATAAAAAAACATCAAACACCCTTGTTCGAACATTGTTTGGAGATGTGTGAACCATGATATTGATCGTGGTTCTAAAGATCAAATGTGCAATTCATTAATATCAACCACTAGAGATTCTCGCCGGAAAACATAAATTGAAATATGACAAATGATAGTAAATAGCAAATTCCTTAATATAAGACTCTAAGAGGATGTGCACATGTAACTTGATGATTTTATCGCTCCATAAAGCCAGAGTAAGTAGGTGCGGACATTGGTGCGGCCAAACCAAACCGAATAGCTTTTGCGATCAAGTCAAACCACAACATAAAACTTACCGTCTAACATGTGAACTAAACTTTTAGCGGCTTGTGATTTGCGATCGGGTAATTCAAAACCGCATATAATTTTTGGATGCAGCGCCACTCTAGGAAGACAATTTATTTATATCGTAAATTTGTAATCAATACAATGGATGCACAACACACTCCTTTGGTTTAGTATGATACTAAAATAAAAAAAGGATGCTTTGTACTGTTTAGTTTTTCCCTTTTTATTCCCATAAAAAAAAACTACGCTACATCATAAATGTACTGCACTTGTTTGGTTTTCAACCATTACTAAATAGGATCTTAAATATTCGTTTTTTGTTAGAATTAGATATTATTAATATAGAAAGTAAATTCAATTTGTCAATTCATTTATGCATAGTATATATTACATTGCTATCGAACATGCGATGCTGTTCAAATAAGGTGTGAAAACTACATATGTTCATCTACTGGTTGAAAACTCTTTATGCAATGAATTGGATCAAAAATTAATCAAGGGACTTGTACATTACGTATTCCATACTTCAGTAGCAAATTTATCAAATATAGAAGTCCAATAGCTGATTTGCTAGTTACCCCAAAGTTCAGTGACCATTTCTGTAATGGACCTTATCTATCTTTCTCTTCTGGCAGAAATCAGAATCGGCAGCCGCATTTCAGTCCGTTTCTGGGATTTCAATTTCAGTCGCAGACACATCGTCGGAGATCTCACCGTCCCGTTTGCCTCCCCACTCCCCGATTTCTTGTCTCGTCTCATCCCATCCATAATCAGGTAAGCGAAATTCTCTCCAACTCCATTCTTTTCTTTGGGTGTTCAATCCTTCATATGGGTTCTTCCCACAACCCGGATAATCCTCTCAACCTTCTTCACATCCCCAATGATGGAATCCATCATTTCCCCCGGAATTCAAACCTTCGGTCAAATAATTATGCCGCCAGGTGCCACCACGGGTGAAACCGATAAGGGTCTTCTTGCTCATGCTCCGAACTGTCGGCCAATTATAATGATCATGCCGGCAATCCTTTCTTTGATGAATTTCCATGGGTGTGACGTTAATATGCTTGTGGGTAATAACGGCAATTCTTGACTGTTAATGCTTCGGGCAGCGACTCGGATTTGAATTTCGGAGGAAGCACATGGCAACCGTCTCATTTTGTTGGCCTTCTTGGTTGAGTCTGTAGTTTTAACTTGGAAGAAAGAGTTTGGCAGTGGTTGGTGTTTATGGAGATATATTTCTGATAATTTCTTGCTGGGGGGTTCTTGGATACTGTTGGGACTGGGGATCGATAAGAAAGATAGGAGACTATGACAATGGCTGCATTGTTTGCTGTTCGGTTCAGAAGTTGTTTGCTTCTATTTGTTCGATAGTTGGATTCATCTTTTCTTATTGTTATACCCACCACAAATGATGTGTTACTCAAGAAGGCAACCAATTCTCTGTTGCAGGTACTCTCCTTTTTGGCGGTCTGGGAGATAATAAATGTCAGATATGGAGGATGTTAAACATCAAGATGGAAATGTGGCCGAGGATAATAACTCTGCCCCGCCTTCTAAAGAGGAGGTTTTGCTCCTCTACTGCTCTGCGTACTCCTCAGACTTAGAGGCTAAGCATTTAGAATTATAGTTTGGTTTTGACTAGTTTCTCCAGCAGCCTCATTGAATGCAAATTCTTTTTTTCTATTGCCCTTTTTCAGGAAGAAGCTATGAAGAAAAAGTATGGTGGCATCTTGCCTAAGAAACCACCACTCATTTCGAAGGTGACACCTTTGTGCCAAATTCGTTATGTATCCTTTTTCTTTTGTTTGTGTTATTCAGAAGTCCCATCAATGTCATTCCTCATCCAATTGGTTGAACTTTTCATGTCAGGATCATGAACGTGCATACTTTGATTCAGCTGATTGGGCACTTGGAAAGGTTTTCAGTTAGTTTATATGTAGTTCTCTTCTTTTGACTAATAATGGAAGTGTATTTTCGTTGGAGCTACTGACATGATGCTACATCATGAATGATAACAGCAAGGTGTTGAGAAGCCCAAAGGACCACTTGAGGCTCTTCGGCCTAAGTTACAGGTACAAATCAGTACTTGACTATTTGCTCCTTCCTCTCTACTTGTTGATGCTTTTCAGTATTTCTTAACTCAGCCGGTAACCTTTCTCTGTGCACACTTACTCGATTGTGGTGAGACTGCTTGAAATGCTTTACTCTTAGTTTCGGATACTTTGGAATTTAGACATACATTCGAGGGTCGAGCTAAGAATTTGCTTACTAATGATGGATGTATTATGGGTTCAAACTTTTGTGTAAATTTATGAAAGTTCAAGCGATCTCCAAAAAAGTTTGCTCAGATACATAGCCGTATGTTGTTTCAAACAAGACGCCTAAGAGACACTAGGATCAGTAGAAGGTACAATCCCGACAGATAGCCATATTTTAATCCATGGCGGGTATTTCTTGGTACGGTTTCCATGAATAAACCATACATGCTACGCATGAAAATTGATCCCTGAAAGCCTTATAAGCCAGTTGAAAGGAATGTAGGAAAAGATTAGAAGCCTACAGCCCAATGCCTGAGCCACAAATTGAAAATGATCTGTGTGACTTCTTTTCCCCAAAAATTGAAAAAACTATGTGTGATTAGTTGCATCCTGCTCCAAAATTTAGTCTTGTGACAATAGATTCTGATGCTTCCTTCATTTTCCTTTCAAATTGTGGCAATATCTTCGAAGAAAGCCCTACATGATTTGAAGACGATTGAGTGTGAGAGGTGTGTAGACTATAGATTAGATGTGCTCATTTCATGTGTTATGTCTACCTGCCATAGAATTCAAATTGTGGCAATATCTTCGAAGAAAGCCGTACATGATTTGAAGACGATTGAGTGTGAGAGGTGTGTAGACTATAGATTAGAAGTGCTCATTTCATGTGTTATGTCTACCTGACATAGAATTCATGTCCGCTGTTACTATTTTCATGAATCCTGGATTGGGAAATTCGTGTGGGACTGTACAGTTGTCGTAATTCAGTTCCACATTTGATATTCAATTGGAACTCATTGTATGGTATGAGTGAAAAATATACTTGTACGCCTGATCACGTATTGTCTTTTCTTTTGGAAATCTGTCGTGGTCGCAGCCCACACAACAGCAAACACGATATCGGAAGTCTCCATATGCACCAGCGGGTGGTGAAGGTACATTTCCTACCAGCAAAGTGCAGCATCAGTTCATAGAAAGTAAAACCTTCTGTGGCTTCGAAACGATAACTTATCAACAATGTGTTTGTCTGTTCTCAATTAGGAGGTGCTACATCTGAGGATGCAGCTTCAAACGAATGAAATGGAAAGCCTGCTATTGATGGCCCTGACATGGTGAGAGAAACTCCTGATTGTCATTCTGGCTGCATGCCTCCTTGCTTGGGTGAATGAAGAAAGTGTCTGATGCTGTCGAGAATAAAGTTGGTTTCATTTTGCTGAATTACTTGTGGAAAGACCCAAAAATGGCTTTACATTTCTATTAAGTCACCAAAGGCTCTTTTCTGTGTCGGTGTACCTCTTTACAACATGCTCTACTATATTTCGGCCACCCTTTTCTTTTGAAGCAATATTGCAGTGTAGAAAAGCTGAATTGCTGGATCTGACATCTCTAAACAACTTGGGACTGAGCTTTTGGAGGTCAAACTGTTCCATAAAGCATAGATATAATCACAGGGTGTTTGAATAGAAGAAGAATTTTGGTAACCAAAATGGCTTGCGTAAAACTTTGAAGTGGTGAAGAGCAGGGGTTATATTTAATTCTAAATTCTATTGATCATAAATATATCATCATAACCAAATTGATCAAACTAATCTAATAACTAAATTAACCAAATTAATATTTAACTGGTTTGATTAATTGGTTAATCGAGTTAGCCAATATAACATAACACTATTTTTATGAGAGAGAAAAAATCACATGCTAATGGGTCGATCTGTAATTTATATAATGAACAAAACATGACAATGAACACAAGTTAATCCTTAAAATAAATAAATGCAACTAACACAATTATCTTACCGTTAGATTAGAAGTAGCTGACTAACAAAAATATATATACCAATGGTACGAGGTTACTGAATTGGCAATCCAATATCGCGTCTAGAAACTTGATAGACGAGAAATCTGAGAGTTACAATCCAGCACACTAATACATGTTTTGTGTGATAAATCCCAATTGATCAAACTCTTAGCATATCTATTATGGACGATGAAGTGAGTCAGATCTTGGTGAAAGAGCAGAGACGGTTGCCGGTAAGCCAAAATTCATCAGATACCAATTCATCACCATGCTTTCTTTCCCTCATTTGATATCTTTTCGATTGTTCGTCGTTAATTGACCGGTATCAAAGATTAACCATCTAATGTTAATTTTCGAACCAATGTAGTTAAAAGCACGATTCTACGTAGAAGTGTTTTGGTGATCTAAAAACATAAAAGGGTAAGCTTTAAAACGCGATTTTGACTACATTATTTAGGAAAATCACAATTTTATGTAAAAACATTTTGATGATTTTGAAACGTAAAAACGTAAGCTCTAAAACTTTAAAGTACAATTTTGACTACAGGCTGCTAGGGACAAGTCCTTATCGTTGTTGTCTAACTTGTATTTGTATTCCTTGTTACTAGTGATTGTTAGTGATCTTATTGGAGTTGTTTTTGTCTCATCTCATGCGTTACCAAGTCAAACAAGTAAGGCAAATTCTTTTTGTCTCTTCTTCCATGGAAGCTTCTCATCGATCCCTCGAGTTCACAAAACCATTATCTGATCCCTCAAAATGGTGGTGTTTGTCTAATATTGGATTTGAAGTCCCTTAAATCTGGGTTGCTTAGGCTTGTTTCTTTCTTGGTAACCTTGTGTTTGTTCTTGATTTTGTCATACATGTTGACTTTTACAAGTATGTATATTAATACTACTTTACATATAAGAAGATCTATCCAATTCTAAATGATCCTTCTTTTATGAAATGCAAAGCCATTTATTGTTTATTTTTCTTCAGATAGTTGTTTTGAATAATTTATGAAAATGCTGAAAATTTTAAAACAACAATATGAAGAATTCAAGCACGATAAAATCGAGTTTGAATTGGCTCGTTTATGATTGGATCATGTTTAAATTTAGATTCAGTTCCAAAAAGAATTATTGACCTTGAATTGGCTCACGTAACGCCTTCATATTAAAATTTATCTACCCAAATAATAGTGAGATTGTTTAACTTTTCACCCGATAGAATTCAAGCACCCATTTCAGTATCTTTTGTAAATTGGTGCTAAGACCTTTTCTTCACCACCATTTCATTAACCACCAAGCTTACTCTGTCTACCAGTATTTACCAACCTTCGCTACCCACTTTCCTCATAACACCTTATACCATTTTACATAGTGTTGGCAATCGGTTCGGTTCAATTATAATCAGAATCTGTTTGAGTCCAACTGAGGGTAGGAGGTGAACTCGGGAAAGAAGGTGAGGAGAGTAAACAATAAGAGGTCTGGAAATGGAGTTATTCTTAGAAAGAGAAAGAGTTGTTTGTAGGACTAGTGAGAGAGTGAAAATCCCATCCCTTCACCCACCGGAGTAAATGTCATATTTATAGGCTACATGGTGGTGGGTGAGTTACATGGTGACAAGACTGCTGTCATGTCAGAACTTTCGGCCATTCCCCTACCTAGGACTAGGAGACTTGTCCATCATTGTACCTAGTACTCTGATGTGACCACTCTTCGAGGGATAGGGTGTCGTTTTCGAGGCAAGCTTGGTCTGGTCAACTCTCGGCTGAATCGCCGTCGTTCGGTCGTTTGGAGTCCATGTCCGCGCGTAAGGTATCCTCGCGCTTAAGCTTCTCTCGTAGGCGCGGCTACGGTTACGTCTTTGCAAGCGCGCCTAACCACTCTAAGGGCGGCGTCGCGCTGGCTTCTTGGCGCGCCTGGACCCGAGCCATATGCCCAACAATTAATCATTTAGTCGGTCATCGGTTAACTGTTAAGCACTTTGTGCTTATCGTTAACCGTATTGTTTATATTAGTCGGTTAACCATAATCATATACTCAGTTCTCAGTTATTTTGTCAGTTAACCAGGTAACCGTTAAAAAAGTGGTTCAGTAAGGTTAAACCAAAATAACTTATCAGTAACCTAACCAATAGAAGACCTTCTTCTTTTTTGAATTATGCATTTTTGTAGATTTTTTTCTACATATGTTATGTTCTTTTTTAAGTTGTTATCATTGGATAAAAAATAATTCAATATATCAATCTATATTCAACTAAATCCAACACAAGTACATAATGACGCCATTCTATCATGAAATTTGATTAAAAAACAAGTAGACATAATAAGAGACCCAACAACAATTATTCAACTCATAAATCCCATCAAATTACATGTAATCTTAAATGTTACTGACTGTTGTCGAGCTAATATTGTGCACAAGTCCAACTTTCTACTATGCTCCTTCTAAAGCCCTTCTTTGAAATTATTCTCATTTGAACCTAAGTCACTTCTACAGCTAGGGTAGACAAGGGATCTTGTAAGTCTTCAAACATCCCATTATTTTTTTGCCTATGCATGACGCTCATCATAAAAAAATCTTCATGACGAGCTGTCTCAAAACCTATTTTCTGACGACCGCTAGTGATATTTAAATTCCTTTTCAAAAGCTATTTTTAGGTACAAATTAAAATTTTTGTATCTATTTTGTTCTATTTACAAAATTTTTGTGAATTTCCTGGAGCACAAATTCAATAAAATAGTCCGTTCGTCACTTGCGGAATCCGCATACCGCACTGCACTGCACGGCAATGGGAAATGACGATACCTAGGCAGTAAATACTAAATTAGTGTTAAATAAGGACGGTACATACTTTGACAAAAATATCTGTAATCGTGGATATCCGTCCGAATCCGGTCTAATCGGATAGGGTAAAACCCGAATTCGAAGGACATTTAGTGGGTACGGGTAAAATCCGAACCCGAATATTGCGGGTAATGGGTGGGCATGAGTTTCTCACTATCCAACACGAACCCGCCCGATTATACACATGCATATGTATTTTGTCTAGAAATAATCATTATTTTTCTCTAACATATTTTATATTTAGCAGATAAATATAATATTTTCATGAAATTGTATAGTTTTACTTAATTTTCTTCATCCTAGTGAATTATTGTCGTACTTTTCCTCTTACGTAATGTGTAAATACGTGTGAATGTTAACATATTGGTTGGAGTTATGAAGATAAATTATTACCCATGGATACCCGAAACCAGAACGGGTATGGACATGATTTTGATTTTCTACCCGTTTTGCATATGGGTGTGAGTATGGGTAAAACCCGAACTACTATGGGTAAGGTAACGGATATGCACTATCTGCGCCCAACCCGACCCATTGCTATCCCTAACTTTACTTATATTGGGTATTGGGAAAGGAATTTCAACGGGCCCCGTAATAGGAATTGCAGAGATGTTTTCTTTCAGACGAGAATTAGGAATTTCAACGAGTTCGAAGAATTTGTTGCACCTTAATCGGTGTTAATGAAACTGATAACGGACTACTAATATAACTATGTTATTTTGGTCTTTGACTAATAATATTTTTTTTTAAGATTCAAGACCAATCAAAATCGCAATTCTAACCATTCCGAATCTCATCTATCCCAAACAATCCTCCATCAAAAGTCCCAAATGTCTTGGCGAGTCGGGAGCCAAAGTCACCCCTCTCAAGCTCCCATTTGAAGTAAACGGAGTGAACATATCAATCCTTACCGGTATTTGTTTCTTTGGTGTTTGTGGATGATGACAATCTTGATATGGTTGTGCTTGATGTCTAGCTAAGTGGTGCATGCTAATTTGATGAAGACGTTTGATTATTTTTTATTTTATGTTTTTTAATTTGAATTATGAATTCATGATGGATGATATATTGATTCTACTTTTGTAATTATTATTTTAGGTTAACAATGTAGTATTATAGTTAAATTGCTTTTATGAAATCTGTAAATTAAACCATCCTCCAATAATATATAGTAGAGTTTTGTCTACTTTTTTCTATTTCAAATTTCCTGCAAAGAGAGTGAAAGTAGAAATGACATTTTTGTCTTTACAATTAATTATTTATTTCATATAAAAAATTTCGATATTAGGATTTGAACCCGAGTCTCTTTAAACAAAGACAACAATCGCAACCAATTACACTAAAAAAAATATATATATATATTTTTTAATACAAAACATACATGAAGTGACACTATGAAAATCAAAGGACTTTTTCATCATGATTTGCGAACCCACTAAGTCTACCGTATGTATTTTTATGGTGCTTAATTGATACTGCACTTTTCATAGTGGAGTTTCATGTAGTTTCTCAATCTAAAATCACTACCTTCTCTTTAATTTTCGCTAATAGTAAATTGGTAATTAGCCAACATGGAAGAAACTAATTCTATTACTACGTGTTATGTCCTTGCATTTTTCAATTTATATTCAAATTTGTACTTTTTTTTTATCTTTGTTCTTATCTCTTTCTAACTTCCTCTTAAATTCCCTGCATCGTGCAATAGTTTGCGCCCCTTTCACATCACAGTACAAGGCTGCCTTTGAAAATCAATATTCCGGTCTCTTGGCACTACGATTTTATTCTTGGGGATTTAAACTGGGCAAGTAAAAGATTTCAACTCCGATATCAATACATGGCGAATAAAATGGAGTTCAATAAATGGAGGTGCAGAAGGATGATTAAAAATAAAAATTTTGGTTGAAACATACGCCTCTTGAAATTGAAGATAGAGTGAATAAAAATTTTATTGTATAAGGGAGAGTGGTGGCTATTGGATCTTTAGGTTTATGGTTTTTGAAGCTATCGCAACCTAATCCTATCATAAAACGAGGAATCATCGATTGATTTACTGAAGTAGGTCGGTTGATTCTTTATTCAGCCTACTGGAACTGATAGAGAAAGAGTGTCTAATTTTGTTCCTTATTACTTTGATCAAGTCTATTATTATTATATTGGAGGTAACTCTAATTTTGGCGTTTGCTCTCAAGTTGTGATGGTCCCACTTAGCTGAGTTGTTAGCATATAGTTGACTTGAATCAACAACTCTCCATTTCTTTTTGATTAATGACATATTGTTCCTAAAAGGAGAGCATTGAACCTTTATGTTGGATTGCAAGGTTTAAGATTTAGGCCATGTTTGGAGGATGTGATTGTCTAAATTCATGTATTGGTTCAATTACTGTATTATGATTTGAGGTATTGATTGAATGTATGTATTAGACAAATCCCTTGTTTGGATGTGTTAAAGATTGTGTATTGGTTGTAAAAAGAAATTACACTTTTTGAGATCAATGACATTAATGCCCTCCCCTTTTTGGATTGAAGAGGGCGTTCAGGTAAAGCTATATGGTTTGGAATGTGGATGTTTTGTTGATGAACCTGAGAATTGATTACAGTTTGATAATAATGTCATTACATATTACTAATAATAAACCAACAAGTTACATTATTAAAAACAAGCTACAGTTTAATAATAGGACACCTAAAACAAGAGCAGTTCAATTACATATTAAACCATCCCAGCCAACAACACCAGCCAGCAACATCATTAAAAACAAAAGCTACCTTCAGGCTTCTACTAATGCCATTTCAGATTGGCTACAATTATGGAGTGATACCTTACACTTCAGGTTCTCCATTCATACAAAATATATCTTAACCATAATGTAAATTGGCTACAATATATTCCTACAAAGTTCCTTCATATGCATCAGTTGATGAGACGAAAGAGGAAGGCAAGCTTCTCTTCATCTGTGGGAAGTTGGTAGTACAACTGGGCAATTCTATCCTCCTTGACAAGAATCAAGGCAGCTGATATAACTTGATCTTGTGACAAACCTTCCAACTGTGACAGTTCCTCAAACAAGGTCTCTCTCCTAATCATCAAAGGATCTTCATGGCAAAAGCTATTCGCCATCCTCTCAATGTTCATGTTAGCCTTCTCCATGAGTGGATGTATTTTTACGATTTCAGAAGCCACAACAGCACTGCTAGTTGAACTCCTATCGATCTTTGACCTCTTGTTGCTAACAGATGCATTTGTTGCCTTAGAACCAGCAGGTTTTGGATCCTCCAGCAACTCCCTATGGTTAATACCTTCATTGATCATCTCCTCCAGCACACGTTGGCTTGTTTCATCGTTGAGCATAATGGGGTCTTCACTCATGCCCCTTCGAAAACGAGCCTCCACTTCTGCCTCCATATCAGCTGCAGACCCAGCTTGACTACCAACTGCCCTGTCCTTGCCAAATACTCTGGCAAGCTGGTCATAATACACAAAACTTGTCTTGTTCAGGCCAGAAAAGTGGGAATGGCTCTGCAAAATGACAAAAGTGGAAGGAAGCTGGTCATCAAAGTTGTACATAGGACTGTAAATAGGTAGTTGTAAGATAGAGTAAACTGTTACCTTAACCCAGTTCTTAAAAACATCATCATCAGCAACAATGATCTTCTTAGATTCATCCCATCCAAACCCACTGCAGCTCCCATTCTGGACGTCATATATGGCATTGTACTTATTCTTGAACCAACGGTGCCTTGATCTCACATTCAAGTTAAATCCTGGAATTTTTTTCACCATCATAGCTTCAAGCTTCTTGAAACCCCCATTCTTCAAGTTCCCAGACTCAACCTGCCTAGATTGAACCAGGTCCAGCATGCACTCGATGAAGACAACATCATGCTTCTCCGTCCATTTGTTGTACTCCCTCAACCTTCCTTGTGCAACATCATTCATTTCACCATCAGCAACTTCATTTTCGGCCATTCTCCAGTTGTTACGCTGCAGCCAGATCAAGAACAGTTAAGTTAAACGTGAGTAATGAACGAAAAGAATGAACACACCAGCACCATTATGAAAACCTGCAAAAACAAATCTAGTGATAGGAACTAACCAGGAAGGCAGTATAACAGCCTGCAAAATGGAAGATATTATTTGAGTCCCTGAACAGCCCACTAACCCCTTTTTATGCAGAAGTAACATTGAATACAACCAACAACCGAATAACAACTCATCATAAATGAGCATATCCTTCTGTAATCTTTCATATACTGTTTAACCACTTATGCAATCATAAATGAGACCACCCACACACAGTACTTTCAACACATCCTCCATAAAGACAGCAACATTAGGTTCAAATCAAATTACATCATCATCAACATTAGGTTGAATATGGAGTATCAGATCCTCCTCCACATCTTCAGTTTCTTCATCTGGGTCTTCATCAACGTACAAACGCTCAAACACATCAGCACCATTCTCTCCACGAATGAAGTTGTGCAACAGACAACAGGCATTGACGATTTTTGTGACCATTTTGGTTGAAAACCAAGTGGTTTCTCTCAATATTGCCCAACGCATCTTCAGTATGCCAAAAGCTCGTTCTACACCATTCCTTGCTGTTGAATGCCTCATATTAAAAATTTCTTCAGGACTTCTTGGTCGTCTTCCACCCCACTCTTTTAGATGATAACGTTGACCTCGAAAAGGAGATAGGAACCCTTCGCAATTGCTGTAACCAGCATCACATAAGTAGTAGTAACCTGTCGAGAAAGCATTATTACACCATAAGTCAAATTGAAAACACCATGAACTTCCAACTTATGTAGACAAGAAAGCATTTTAACAAACCTCTAGGAACCTTCAAACCATTGGGCCTAATAAGTGCATCTCTCAAAACCCTCCCATCATGAGCCGACCCCTCCCAACCAGCCAAACAATAAATGAACTCCATATTTTGATCAACAACACCTAGGACATTCATTCCAATCGTTCCCTTACGAGTACGGTATCTTTCTTGATTCTCTTTCGTTGCACGTACATTGACAATTGTACCATCTAGAGCCCCTAGGCAATTCTGTAAGAAAAGCATCAGGGACTATCAAATGCATCAAGGAACATAACATTCATATACTTGGTAACAAAATCAGAAGAAAATACCTTGAAGTGCTTCCAGTTCGGATCGTCAGAATTATGGAGAACCGGCTTGGGTTTACGAAGTAGGATAGAGTGAAGTTTCAAAACCGAACGCATGACCAATTTGATCACCCTACAATTTGTTTCTCCTGAACGGCGGAAGGTAGCTTGCAGTTGACGATTCTTCTCATTATGGGCTATGGTGTAGAGGAAGATCGCAACCATTTCATCTATCTCAATGTTCCAACTACACCTAAGTCCTCCCTCATCTCTAAGAAGCATACAAAGCTTCTGAAAAGTCCTACAATTCATTCGAACAAGCATGGTGCAAGATATGTCGCCATGAGAAACGATACACCGCATAAAAGAATTCCTAGCTAATTGTCTAGCAATTGGTGTCTCCCAAGATGAAACATGTTCTACGGCCTGCTCGTGTTCAGATTCTAATGCCTCATAATATCGTAGAAGGAGATTGATGAAATTGAACAAGAGCTCCAAATATGCGGACACTGCCGCAATGACGGCTTTTTTCCTCTGTTTGGGGCACCTTGCCATAACCTACAAATGGATGTCAAGTTACAAAATCGAAAAGATGAAGGATTACATTGGACAATCACAAATGGGAACTGAGTAGGATTGAGGTACATACCTGTTTGTTTTAACCAACTACGACCGAGCTCCTTTACGGATATACCTGTTCGATTGTAGCCCTTGCACTTTGATTCCCGGCAAGTCGTCTGATGTCGGGATGTACAAAAGGAGGCCGGCGACGAGGCGTTGATGATAAGAAGAGGTTTCCAGGTCCGTTAACCTAGATGAGGCCGGCGACGAGGCAGGCTATTGTCAAACCAGGGTTTTTTTTTGTTCTTTCACGTTTTCTATTGTCAAACCAGGCCTCGAATGTGAGGAGAGATAAGAAGATGCTGGCAAGGGCAAATTGTGGAATAAATGAAATTTATAGGGACACTAATGGAACAAAAAAGCCAGCCACAATACTTGGTTCACAATCTCACATATTTGTAGAGATTGGTAAATCATTCAAAATGAGGGAATATATGAGGGCCCCCAAAAGTAAATACAAGTATTCAATCTCTAATTGAAACAAAAAAACGACTGAATCCCATGATTTCATGTATTGATTAAATACATCAATGAAAATCACATCCTCCAAACATGGCCTTAGTTTCAAACTATCTATGATTCGTGAGGAAATTTTTCAGTGAACTTTTTTACTCTATCTTTCTTGACAATCAACTAACCAATAACATTTTACTGGGGACTTAATTATCATTTTGAAAATGAGATCAATGATATATTTTTATATTTCTCAAAATATTCGATCTATATATTTTTTTCTTTTTATGTATCATTTCGATGGAAGGATTGTTAATAAAATTAAACAGGTTGATAGAATTAAACGTAACATGAAAATATAAATAATAAAATATGAATATTCCGGCCAACAGGCCGGGTTATAAGCCAATTAAAATAGAGGACAGAGTTACGTAAGCAAATATTATCAAACCACCCTTCGTTATACTTGTATTAGTTTCTGATCATCAAATCTTCATTAGATGGCAACATAACATTATTATAGTCTTTTTTTCCAGATTTTGCAGATCTGGAGTTTTCACCTCCCTCAGCAAATATTCTGTGGCCCAGGCCAAGCTACTTTGACCTTGCTGGAAATTTGGTTTTCTCTTCTGCCCTTTCGTGTTCTTTATCAGGCGAGTCATTATAACTGATGATGCAGTAAGAAACAGTTAAGTATTATTATTATATTTAAAAACTTACGTGTAGCGGACGCTAAAGTATTGCCATCAATAATTGATTATATATATTGTATTTTACCTAGGATCATGTGCAAATAAAAGAAATTATATACATTGATCTCAATGTAGCCACTAGCCACACAGTTGGCCGTGAAAACTGAAAAAGATTAAAAAAAATAAATAATAGTGAATTAGTGATGCAATGATATTATCATATCCAAGTATATACTGAAAACAAGAGGCATAATTTCATTCAATGATCCCTTTAACCTTTATTTGATTGTGAAATCACATACATGCTGCTTCATGGTGATTAATGCAGAGGAATTGGTTTTGTATATGTAGCCTAATGTGTAATCAAAGAAGTGATTATGGCAATCACATACATGATGTTTCAACAACTATTGTGGATAGTTGTATTCTCTCAGCGATACAGTGCATCGATACTTTCTTGTGTTGTTGTTCTTAATTATTTAATACAATCCGTTCGCTTACAAAAAAATCGATGTCGTCTGCATTTTCTCTTAGTTCTTCCATCCACATAAACGAGTGTCCAACCCATTCATTTCTATAAGATGAATGTGAAACCGGATTATTCTTCCTCAATAATGAATCTTAATTAATTAATTAATAAATAAATAATATCCAGCTAGTACGTACCTCTACAAATCATTCCAGCAACTTAGTAATAAACAGTCTTGCCGCAGAAGGAAACGAAAAATACAGCAAATCTCCATCGATTTTTTTTTTTTGTCTTTTTTTCCTTTCTAACCCGAAAAATACAGCAAACCTACGCAATTACAGTTAACTACTTAATTAACAATAAATAGTAAAAGGGTTGAAAAAATGTTCAGGAAAAAAAAAAGTGTTGCAGAAGGAACGAAGTAAAAAAATGAGGTACTGATATTTAATAATGGCCGAAATGATGAGTGAAGATGGAGACGAGGTAAAGCAGACAAGTGCCGGAGAGGCAGGTCACTCCGACGGTGGACGAAACCAACGCCGCCAGCCGGAAAACCTGGTAGACCAATTCAAACGTCCCCGCCTTCTCCGACCGCCGCCGCGATTTCATGACGAGCTGTTCATCACCACCGTAATTCCACCCGTAATTCTTATTATCATTATCATTACGTCCTTGCTCGACACGGCTGCAGGTCGCCGACGTGGACTGCGGCGGCGGCGGAGGCGACCTCGTCATCATTCGCAACGACGTCGACCGGAGAACGGCGGAACACGTCAGCTCAAGCCGCTCCTTGATCTGCACCGCCTCGATCCTGTCCCTCAGCACGCCCAGATTCGCGTCCACGGCGTCGCTCGACCCTGCACGCGTTAAGAATTATATGTTATGTGATAAAAAAAAATCACAATAGTCGTGGTTAAAAGTTTGGTGGCTATTGTTTCTGGTCGCAAAAAGTTTGGTGGCTATTGTTTTCTGGTGGCAAAAAAGTCTATTTTTCGTTGTGGTGGTGGGATTGGAAATGTGTATAGCGACGAGAAGAGAGAGGAGTTTGAGCGAGTCATATCAATCGGTTACCTTGGTCCGGGAATCTGCTGTGGGCCCTGACAGTGAGAGACCGGCGGCGTGGGGCGGCCGCGTCGCGGCGGAGTTGTCGGAAGCTGGGAGAATCGACGGTGAAAGAGGCGAGGGGAGAGTTTGTTGCGGAAGAAGTAGAAGCCATGTGGGGAAGCATTGTTATTAATGGGCCGGGGGTTTAATTAATTCCTCGATTTTGAGATTAAGAGGGAGGAAGGTGTGGTTTGGAATGTTGGATTAGATGGGGGAGAATACTTATATATATATATTTTTTGAAGGCAGGAGAGGGATGATTAACTTATTGTAATTAAGTGATTAATTTAAACTGAGATTAATGGTACATGGCCGGGATAAATTGTGGGTGAAGCGAGGAGGTGTTGTTGCAGGTGGGGTGAAGACAACAAGGAAGGTGAGCGGCATGTGATATACACATCCCTTCTATTCCTTTTTGGAAGTATTGTGCAAGGGAAAGGTCTTCACGCGGCAAACATAGAATTGGTCCAAATTGTCCCTATGTGATGCCGTTTCATTTCTAATAATAATATTCTTCTAGTTTTTTATTATCTATATTGATTTAGCCTCTGATTTGGTTTTGAAACTCATCTTATATCTCTATTTATTAACATATTCTATTTGAGCCTCGACGCCTCGTCAATACGTCCGCACCTTCTTTGTCTGGCGCCTGCCTACACACACGAGCACAGAGGGGGGCATCTGGGCCCGTTAGCCCTCCGACGATCAAGTCAGTCACTCCCTAGAGAGAGAAGTGCTTAGAGAAAGAGTTATAGTGAGAGAGTCCAACCTGTGTAAATGCTACCAACTGCCCCTATTTATACTCACCGAGCTCGAGGTGGATCTCCTCCACGTCATCGTCACATTAAATGCTTTGTACCTTCACTCTTATCAGAAGCCTCCACCACCTTGTCAAGGCTTGGCAGGCGCCCATAGGCGGGGGACCACTTGCCAGCCTGGACTTCTTTAGCCCTTAGTGCTCTGTCTCCAAGCCTGTGTTACCTGGCATGAAGTGGGCTTTGTGGGCTTCCTCTCCTGGCCCACCGCCTTGGGCTACCGGCAATTGAATGAGCTCTTTCTTGCGCCTTCTTTTGGGCCCCTTTTAGTGGTATCCCCAACATATTCCCTCAAACAAAATCATACTCATATGGACTTGAAGTTTGCACATATCCGAATATCATGTGCTCAACAAATGAGGATCGGCGAGATTCGAAACACAAGACCTCTCGATTTTTGAAGGCTCTGATGCTATAATATCCAGAACCAATTGATCCCAATCAAGTATGGATATTATACCATTTGCTAACATATGTAAAACTTTCCACCATCTATTTATTTTCTTTTGCTTTGTTTAATTTTTTTTTTTTTGTTAAAAATCAGTTGGATGTACAAAATTGCAGGTAATTCGAGGATGTAATTGCAAAAATTTTTAAATTGGCAGTAGGGGGTCACACATGTGTATTTGGAGTTGCAATTACATCGATCAATGTGGATGGACTACAATTAAGAGGTTCTTAAAATCACTCCACAAACACAAAAATTATTATTACTAATTTGTAATTAACCATCGTGTGTAGTTTTGAATTGCTAATATATGTATTTAAATCATGGTTCAAGCGGCACAATACCGCATACGTTTAGGTGTGCCTACGTTGGAGGTAATGACAAATTCTTTGTTTAGGTCCTAGGCAACAAATAAGACATTCATAACGTCGAAGCAGGACTAGGTGACACCTAATTCTCATTAAGGTCTTTTAGGTGTGATTAGGTTATCGGAAGCACACTTAAGAAAAGTGGACCAATTTGAAAGGGGAAAAAAAAAAAACAGCCCCAAAATGAAACCATCTCTTCTAACTACTCTAGACGCCTTTGGTCCTTCCTCCAGATGGAAATCACAAATCGCAATCATAATTCAATGAACATTCAAGATATATCTTGAATTAGAAGGTTAAAATAAGGTATGGATTGAAAATGATCGGAAAATTGTAGAGGAATTGTGAAATATGATCTTCAAATTCAATTAGTTATCTGGCTGCTAATGGTTAGAGGATGCAATGTTGTATCTAATCCATCGATCCAATCCGTTCGCTAAAATATCCAATTAATCCAAATCCAATTGCATTTGTGGATTCATGGATGTTTAGAAATACAGTTCAAAACCTCTATTTTTTTTATATTTTACACTTTGATATCTAAACTTTATTGTTTAATGAAAAATATTATTGAAATTTTATATTTTGGCACCTAAAATTTTTATTACAACATTTTAAGACCTTAACTTTTCAAACTTTTTAATGTTGGTCCCTTGTTTAGATGTCACTTAGATATATGAACTGAATCCACCAATCAATTTGATCACATCCATGAATCCACTAATTTATTTGGTCCAAATCCATGAATTCATATGTCCACCGTTGGAAATCCACAACCTACTTATTTAGACTATATATTAGAGTCATGTTGGGCGACTAAATATCAAAAGAGTTTACATGTTGAATATGTGGGTCAATTAATCTCTATTCCTCGGGTGAAATCCTTACAAAGCTTTATTGTTTGTTTAATCCAAATCGAAAACGATGCCGGTCCAAAACCTCACCTTAATGTGACCCATTAGAATACTTGTATATATATAATTAGGTCACTGTAGACACATGATTATTGATTAACATGCCATTCCAAGCGTTAACTTGTCTTTACTGACGACTAAACATTGTCTAATATTTAATTATATCAGTCGCAGACGCAGCAGTAGATGAGATAAGATGAGATTAGATGAGATAACCTTGACCAGCGACCGTGGAAGCGAATTTTAATGCCGCCACAAATAAATTAGTCCGTAGTAGTCCGAAAAATTATACAAAAAATATACAGTTTTAACGTGCAAAATATAAGCAATAACACATCTATTCTATGTATAATCCATCATGAATTCATAATTCAAATTCAATTTGAATCACATAAGATAAAAGTTAATCATACATCATCATTGACACCTAATTGGTTATCACTATCGGTTTGGTTAGTGGCTAATCACTCACACTTAGTCCATTAGTGGTTAAAACTTAAAAGTAGTCTACAGAATATCGTACCACTAAACTCTTATAAGTTTATCGATTTAATCGATAAGTTGATAATCGCTTATCGACCCTAACATTATTATATTTATTAAGGTATGACCAACAATAGATATCTGTCCTTCATGGAAATAAAATATTTTTTCAGGTAATTTGTCTTCATTTACAGGAATTCGTGCTCCAAATATAATGTAATGTAATGTTTATAGAAATGGATTTTTTTTATTTGTTTAGTTATGTAAACTCATAAATCGATAAATTGTTTCGTAATAACAAAATGTGCGAGAGGACAGACTTTCAGTAACGAGTCAAAATTTTACAATAAATGAGATTCATGCTTCAAATGTCTTAAAATGGTGATGACATTTGTTTCATTGATTTTTGTACTCATACAAAATCATATACCTGCAAATCGTGATAAAACATACAAGAGAATAAAATTTAGTCTTTAGTCCAAATTGTACAATAAAAGGGATTCACGCTCCAATTGTCTTGAAGTTGATTATGTTTTATTTATTTGTTTAGTCATATAAACTCATAAACCAATAAATTGTGTTGTAATGACAAAATATGTGGGAGGATAAACTTATAATCTCGAGTCCAGACTGTACAATAAGTGAGATCATACTCAGAATGTCTTGTAAAGATTATAGACATAGATTTCACTGATTGATTTCCAACTAGGAATATCGAAACCATCTCTATTTCCAGAAATCCACACCGACGTCGGTGCAAGCTTTGTCAACGTCCATCTTCGTCTTCATGCACACGAGTATTACCTGCCCAATCTACACTTGATGCGGAACCGCGCCCCATTGCCATCACTAGGTCAGAGTGGATATTAAATTATGCAAACAGAACTCGATGGGATGGCTGCTAAGGTTAGTGTGTTGAGATGACTGGGTCAGATTGGGCTGCTAAGATAAAAACCAATAAGGAAATAACAGCCAGCCAATCAAAACCATAGGTATGAACAAACACGAAAAAGAAAAACTCTCTACTGCAAATTAATTAAATCACCACCAACCAGCACGTCAAATACAGTAACGTCAAGTACAGTAATTGTATTACATGATCTTCCAGAAACGGCGAAACAAAAGCCCCCCAGATTTCCTCAGTCAAAGGCAGTCAAGTCATGCAACAACGCTGCAGTTGCCCTAATCCCCCAAAACCTATATATTAACCTTCCCCACTAGTACCAAGTCCAGCACAGAACAGGAAGACGAAGAAGAAGAAGCTTCAGCTTCGGACGAATGCCACAGTGGCAACCCTCGATCCCACCGATCCACCAAACATGAACGTAGGATACGTCCGAACGTGATCCACGTATCTGAATTGACAGGTAGCTGCTGATGCTGGTACTTCCTGCTCCTTTTCTGGAGATGCCTCCCCTCTCCTTTGATTGAAGTTCTCCACTTCTTGCATCAATTCATCTTTGGTGTTGTTACATGAGGTAATGACCTGCCATCAAAAGAATCATCGATAGGCAAGTTTGAGCCTCAAGTTTCAGTCCCTTTCCTTTTCTTTCTCTAGACAAAAGAAACATGGCTAGCTGAGGCCACCGCAGATGGGGAATAGAGGAAAGAGAAGAATGGGAGGCTCACCAACAGACCACCAGAAGCAACCAGCTTTGACACCGAGTCCCAGTACATGACCCTGGATGAAAAATCCCAAGGAAAAGAATCGAGATCAGCACCGGAAATTTTCTGGGAGAAAGTGGAAAGTCTGGTGACTGCCACGGAATGAAATAACGAATTTCCTTCAAGACAACTGTGAAAGATTCTAATAGAATGGTGAGGATCAATTCCTGACCTCTTTATCGGGCCATCTGGATGCAATCCTATCGCGTCTAATGTCCCTTTATCAATGACAACACGAAACTGCCTCTCTAACTTTGTTTCCAGGACATCATCGACCTAAGAGCAAAACAATTAGGGACCTCAGGGAATTCAAAAAACCATCCACAAGTAGTTTTCAAACAAGAGAATATGCATGCATTGCCCTGGTTGAGAAAACACGTACATAAGCAGCGATTCGAAATTCAAACCAAAAAAAATATGATTTGGCAATAACAATTTCTCCTACTAGAGGATGTAGGAAGCTCAGAGATCTGAACAGGGGGAAAGGAAGATTCAAATATCTACGTAATTGGCATGTTCAGCTTCGGAGCAGCCTGATCACTAAGGCATAGTGTAACCGCCAACTAGTTCAACTGGAGCTGCACTGAAAATCTTCTACCGCTTTGAAATTAAATTAGCTATAAGAGCGTCTACTCAGCATTCACAGTAAAAAAAACCAAGCCTCCTTGTCTGTGCATGTGTGTGTGAGGATCATTCCATGGAAGCAAAAGTTTGCATTGAGGCCAATTCATACATGAAGGACGAAGAGGTTTCCCTGATGGGGAATCACGAAGTAGTTTCAGCAACAACTTGAATTTTAGGTTTGGACATTATAGGTTAACATTTGAGATCCATTTATACATCAAAAGGGAAAACTGTGCAAATACAACAGTCATGAATCACTTCCTGTATCAGTCAGAATATCTCCACGGAGAGAACCAATGCACATGAAAGCAGTTATATCCAAATCACAAGATTTCTCAGCGAAATATAAAGATATATGCTCCCTTAGGAACTAGCTCAGATCCTTACTCTTCAGTTTAAAATATGCCAATGAAGATGGGGAGATTTCTAAGAAATCATGCCTTCATCGCCAGCATATCGAAATATGCAATTTACTAATCATTTAGCCAACTGGACATGTTTCCCATCAATATCAGGAGGAAACATGAGAACAACACCAAATACAGTGCAATAAAGAAAGCAAAAATGATTACGTAAGACCAGTTCTTTACGTATAAGCTGCTTAATCTTTCTTGGATGAACCCAATGAAAACAGAGCTATACAAAGTAATCATGTTACCACAAGTATAGAGATGGAAAATACAATTTTGAAAAAGAAATCAAAACGGAAAACTGTCTGACATATATTTCCCACTTTACATTCTGCCAACGAAAAAGAAAGTAGGATCCAATTTGCTTGCGCAAACATATCACACAGGAAGTGATGTATGTAATTTCCAGATCATAACCAAAGAGGTAAATAACATGCTTGACGTACCAGGAAATTGATATAGGAAAACCCATCACGATCAGCCAGATTTCGTGCAAGTTCGATTGCCCCCTCACTATAATCAACCCCAGTTAAATCAGAGAACCTGAGAACATAAGATGCAAACACAACTTTTGATTTGTTACTCTGGTTGAACACATATTCCTATCTTAAGAAACTTAGAGAGTACGCAAACAGCTTATCAGAGAAACAGACAAGAAAAACAGCTGTTCTTACATGAGAAATCACACGCCCATACTCCAAATAGTTACTGAAGGAAGCAATGGATTTTTATTGTTATCTTTTTTCCTAGGAGAAGAAAGCAGTGGTTGCAGCGATATGTAATGTAGTACTTAATCCCTCTGTATATAGGCCCCACTTCACTCCTCATCTAACAGCCAAGCAGACCTAATTTCTTTACCTAAAACCTTGAAGACCGAGAAGCCTAATGAATCAATTATTTTGTATCAAACATTTTTTTTCGTATGCCTACCTTATTCCACTACGATATTGAAGGACAGTCTCTGTAATGCAAAAGCTCCATAATTGGCATTGAAACTTAAATGCCCCACCTCGTTCAATCAGAGCTAACATCCTTTTTGACCTCCTAACTAGACCAACGCATTTGACAGGAAATCTATTATGGCTCTAGATTGAGTTCCACAAATTTGAGCATCTATTTCTTGTTTAGTACCAACCGGTATATCAACAGGATTTCAAGTACTTAAACTTAAATAGTTTCATGCCAACATTATCATATATGACACCCTAATTCCAGTAACACCAGAACTACAAGCAAAATCACAAAGAGTACCCCTGCTTAGCAAGTTCCTGGAGGAGCAAACCATTGCCAGTCCCAATGTCAAGCACACTCCAAGTAGACAAATGCTTATCACCATCTTCAACAGATGAAGATTTGGTATCGTTAACATGGTTTGTGCTGTGACCCTGGGAGATGTCATTGCACAAGCTTTTCGTCCAAGAAGCAACAACATCCATGACATCACCCCCAAACCTACATGTGTATCAAAATTTAAAGTAACAAGAGAGTCATTAGTGCCATATATTCCATCACATGAACAAGTATACAGACCCAAATTGCATTTCCGTTAATAAAAAAAAAATCCAAGACACTACCTTAGGGTCAAGTTATGTCGCTCAATTGAATAATAGATACCATCTCAAATTTCAACCAAGCCGACAATAATAAAAGGCTAACCTTCTTCATAAAAAAAGTAAATGGCTGACCTTATTAAATATCTATAATTCTATATGCACAGATAACTGCTTACCATACTTCACCAGCATGGCCATGTTCGCGGAAATTTGATAACTCGTCTGCATACGCAGAATCCCAGTAACTCTGAAGCCCAAGCGTTGATGTCACAACTTCAGCATCTGGCTCTTCCTTGTCAGAACTGCACACGAAAAAGGGGTAAAAGTTTCAATTACTGCAGGCCGAAGCTCTGAGATCATCCCAAGATATTCAAAGTCAAGCAAAAGTGACACAAACACAAAGGTTAAGCCCTGATCTCATTTTATCTAAGCGTGCTTTTTAAGCATCTCAATTCTTGGATACAGGTATTCCAGTAGTGATGATAGAATCCCCATCAAACTAATTCTAAGCAGCAACCTTCAGACATTTTTAGTTTCCATTCTTTTATGCTATATATACGCAAAACGTAAAGCAGAGCAAGTACCATTGTCTTTAAAACTGAACAACTTGCAAATATACTCTCACATTGAAGATTTACTGACAAAGTTCTAGGTCTCTTTCGAAACGCTGAAGAATCGCAAGCCAACACAGTGGCGCAAAATCACAATGCAGAACCATCTCTGGTACAATCATTTATCAAAGGAGATCAAAGCAAGCATAGGACAGACTAGAAATATTCTCACAGTCGTGGAGCGCAAAAAACGAAAAGAAATCCAGATGGAGGGATACCTGTAATCTGAGGCCGCACGGAAGTTGGATGCGCAGAGAGCATCGGTCGCATCGGCATGGCGCTGCTCGTCGTCGAGGGTGCTTCCATAGTCGCTCTTAATGGACCAAGAGTCGGCGGCAACGGACCTGTCGTCGTCGGAGACCAGATCAGTGGCGACGGCCGATGCAGCTCGGATTTGCTGCTGAGAGATGTCGGATTCTTCCGGCGGCATACGTATTCCGGCCATACGCAAAACCCTAAATACTGGGGGAAGATTTTTAAAATCGACGAGGGGATTTTGGTAGCTTTCGCGGCAGAGTGGGTGGAGAAGAGAAAGTACCGAGTATTTCTGGGGAAACAAGATTTTGACTCGTCAAAATCCACGATTCGTTCTTATTACTTTCTTCTGGGTTCTGAAATCAGAATTGTCGTTTGTTCGTTTTTTTCTTTTTCTTTTTTAATCAACGAGTTGGGCTGGGCTAGCCTAAACACCACGGCCCTTATGAGTTATGACCCACATGACCCGTTAGGTTCCATTAGAACTCTAGGGTGCAAATCGGTACTATCCGATACCAGATAGATGACGAATTACATTCTAAAATCAATACCAAATTTATTCTCTAAACAAGTATGATTTCTCAATCTCTAAAAATTTCGTATGCTATGTCAATCGGTATTTGTAATTAATAATTAAATATATATAAATTAGAGTATGTAATCTAATTTTCGGTAAAAACAAGTATACTCCAGGTGATCTGGCTGTTAGTTGTACTTCGATGAGTTCCGACAAATGAACAATGAATTATTGTTTTCTATTAAGTTGAACTTCGAGTTTGGATTTAGAAAATCAAACCTGAGATTTATCCATTAGAGATTAAGATATGGTATTATACCCCAAACTCGATTTAATTCGTAGTCTATATAGAGATATGTCGGAACTTGGAATCCCGATTTGAAATCATTCCCCAACTAAATCATGTATCATTTGAGGGATGGCCATCTACATTTAGCAAGTGTGGTTGGTGCCCTCTTATTGTAGATCTTCCATTGGTTAAGGTAATACGAATTGTGGTACGTCAACATGTCACTGGGGAGTCAATTCTCTATCCAGATAGTAAGCTAGTTCAAGGTTAAAAAACACAATTTTATGATAACTTAGAAGTGTAAAAAGCATAAGCTTTTAAAGAAAGCACGATTTTGATATTGGTGCCAGAAATTCTAATACTACCAATAGCCTTGACTTTGAGGATGCCATTCCGGCAAAGCGGATCTCTTGAGCAACAGCCTGGTACTGCTGACTGAGAAGGAGAAACCAAAAAACTTGGTAGTAGGATTCATCTTTTCAGTTGCGAGAAACTAAGACGGTTCCATTAACCTACTAGGACACAACTGTGCGACTTGACTGTTCACCACACAAAATGAGTCAACCAAACCCGCCCATATTACCCTTCCAACTTCCTGTCAAAATGAAAGGAGACGCTTCTCTGTAGATATTCAGGAAAGTATCTGGCCAAAAGCCATCGAGTAAGCCCTAGACAGGAAAAAAGATAACTTTTATCTGAAGACGACAGCTTATGGTTCCTCCTTCTCTGCAGAGTGATCAGGAGATGATGGAAGTGGCGGTTCATCAGTTGCTTCTGTTTCAATGGCTTGATCATTTTGATCCTCAATGGGTTGATCATTTGCAGGCTGCTGTTCCTCAGCAGCACCTTCTCCATTTTCAGGATAGAAGTTGATGGGGAATTTCGTCACACGAGGTTTGTCAGACAAGATGTTTCTCTGAACCTTATCGAGCAACACCTTAGGTGGAGGTTCCTCTCTTAGCTGCTCATCTTCATAGTCATTGTTCACATAGTAGCCAACTCGAACGAACTCCTGACCCACATAAGAGCAGGTCAGCAAAAGGACTGTCACCCCTATGATGTCTTCCTCCCGAATTCTGGTTGGGTCAGGAGGATCAGCCTGATAAAAGTATCATCCAAGCAAGAGAATATCAGGATACTGTTTTTGTGAAACAGAGAAAAGGAAAATAGGTCACACTTACCTGCAAGACAAAGCGATAGTTCCCAACATTGACTGGTCCCACAAGTACACTCTCTAGTAGTTGATCGTATGTTTCATCCTCAGCAGACCCCACATATGTTAGCTTCCATTCCAGATCTGCATTTTGATGTGAAGTATGGTGTAATTTAGATAAAGAGGTAGAACGAAAAAACCTGGATATAGCAGTCAGATAACACAAAGATGCTATTCTGGATCATCAAGCATAACAAGGGCAGCAACACTACCTTCGGATATAACAGTTAATTTGTTCTATGGTGCAATATTCATGCCTACAAGCACAGCCAATCCTGGGAAAATCTGATAGAGTACAATGTTCCATGAGTCCATCATTCTGGAAACTATGGATCTTATTTCCGAGAGGTACCCTCTAGTGCACTATCTTCATCAGAAGGTTGGTAGTTTTACTTGGGTGAAACATAATACACGGCAATGATACTAAAAAAGTGTGCATAGCCCCCTATCAAAACCATATATCTCCAACTCCATATAGCAGCACGACTAATCAACTTCAGAGAATGAATTGATTTGGCTGGAACAAGACTACCTAGTAGCTACCCACCCTCAATAAACCTAACCATGACATATAAATCTAAAAAGTACCATATGATTCAAATACCAAAATAGCAGTGATTTCAACCAATAAAAGAAACCACAGCCATATCCCAATCAATACACCTGATACTAGGTCATACTTCACTCTCATTTAAGCCACGGGTTAGAAAATTTTATCATTCCATTAACAATTTAATACTCAATGGTCCCATTACTTAAGTGCTCGATATTGGGATGTTGAACATTTAAGAGAACCAAACAAGTAACAGAAGTATAGCTTTATCTATGAAATTACCAATCTATCATGGAAAAGATCCTCTACAAGCACAAGGAGTCATTTGAGTTTCATCGGCTTCACACATTAATGAGTAGAGATAAGGATATACACAGACACATAGAGTTTGATTAATATGTGTTATTAACTGAAACAGAAAGCTAGATACTCACATCCAAATTTAAACATCTGCGTAATCAATTGAAACCCAATAGGCACCAATTAAATTCCATTTCATTAACAGCAATTTACCTTTTAAAAAGTACACAGATGATGGCATGGGTAGCAGAAAGATGAACACCGTATCAAAGTTAATCGATTAAGGTGAATTGAAAGAAACGGATAGATCAGCTGATGCATTCATTTGTAACTTATGAATTGTGCATAGCACACCGACACTGGGGTATGAGAAAGCTCATATAACAACATTACCCAGTCATAGCAAGTCACTTAAAATGAAAAAGAACACACTTCAGTCAGAATTAGAATCAAATAGAACTATGTGGTATATCAATCGTCAACTTAACATATATGCCAATCTTACAATCTCGTACCAAGACATTCCATGATCAAAACAAAAACAAGGTTGAAATGAGAAATGACCTCCACCAACTATAAAGATGAAAGCTACCACGTTAACAGTTAATCCGACTAGTCCTAGAGTCTTCAAAACACAAGATAAACCCATTCCAACAGTGCTCTCACTTCTCAGCATAATAATGAAACCGTATGACCACACCCATAATACTACCAACGAGTTACTTCTAATCCATCATAATACATAAGCATTCAAGCACATAGATTACCAAGCCTGTTATCGATAAACATCAATTCTACCGAAGCAAGACAATAAACCCTTAAAAATCCTAACTTGCACTCAGGTTTAGAAGCAAACAACGCGACGAAATCACGAAATTGGACTAACCAGGTTAACATTGCGGAAGAGGAAAAGAGTAGGGGAGGTGGAGAGATAGAGAGGGAGAGGAAGCGTACCATCTTTAAGAGGAGTCAAGCACTCGTAGGAGATCTCGAACTGAAAAGGCGAAGAGAAGGGGGCAGGATTATCCAAGACAGCGACGTTGGTGATGTTCACAGCGCTCATCGTCCCACCACAGCCTATAATCCAATTACAAACTTCGCCGCTACCGAATATTCATCTACAAAAGCTTCCTTAACTACCCGGAATATGAAACCCTAGAAACTAGTCGCAGCTGTTGGGAAGAAGGGATCAAATTCCGGGCATTGAAAGCGAGCGGATGAAGGAGAAGGCGAAATTGGGAATGGTAACGGGCTGGGGAAACAATTGGAATTGAGGGGGTTTAGGGTTTTCTGCAGGGGAATGAAGGTGTTCGCGAGGGTGTTAAAAGGAAGCGAGAGGAAAATGGTTGGAGGATTGCAAATGGCGGGAGAATTGGAAAAATGGGGAGCGGGAAGAGAAAGGGGAAATTTCGCAGACATCTAGGGCTGATGTGGAAAAACTATTCTAAACATGAAGCGGTTTCAAATAGTGCAGTCCCCGAAGCATAGTAATTCTAATTACTAATTAGCATTTAGCAGGCTTCCTTTTCAAAGAGAAAACAGAAAAGTAATTGACAGTGAGGCTAATTAGGGATGATCAAAATGGTTGCATAAAATCAAACCAAATATAATCCAATAAACTCAAAGTAGATAGGTTTGAAAGGACACTAAATGTTTGAAGAATTCGTCTCGAAAGTAATTTGATAAACTTCAAATTAGATTGTTTTGAACATAATTTTGACAATATTATGAGTAATAGGTGATCCAATATTCCAATTATATGGTAATTTCATCTTCTTTTTTTTTTTTGAACAGTTGGTAATTTCTCTAAAGAAGGCTATTTTACATTTTTAAGCGTATTCAGTATTTATAAATACACCATACTCGTAAATAAACCAGCACTTGTAGGAGAGCGCAATGGTTGCCGCAAAATAAAAGGTTCGGGGCTTAGCCGAACAGCCATTGATGCAATTCTTGTTGGTACTTGGTAGTAAAAAAATATTCAAATGAATTAAGATTTTAATTTGTATACATAATTAGTTGTATAGTTGATTTTTAGTTTGACAAGTTCTTTGGATGAACCAGACATAAACAAGAAACCGTGCTATTTAATCGAAATTGTTGCTCGAGGCATCACCTTAATCCGCAAGGCGTAAAGTACAAACAGACCTGAACACCGCACATTACAGATTCACTGGACTGCTTAATAGGTAATACATGCGTCTTAACCGGAAGACTACACAGAGACTAAACGCAGATCCTTCTACAATAAACTCCTGAACTCCGATGACTTCTCGTGCCAGCTTCACAATGCTGACATCCTGGTTTCAGATCAGGATCCAACACACAAAAGGATAACCACAAAGCCAGAGAAGAACATTTCCACTGTACAAGTTGGAAGATGATACACAATCTAACTCCCACTAGTCAAGTCCATTTTGCGCGGTTGAGCATTGAACATCCGAGCGATATCAGCAGCACTACTGCAGTCTTCTGGGTTCCTATCCCCCACTGATCGGACGAATCTAGGGAACCTGATTGAGATGCCGCGTGTCTGATGAACCAAACCTACCCCGGCTTGATGAACTGGGGATATTGTCAGGTCAGCACCTCTGATTTCCCACACAAGCTCTGCTGAAAACCACATGTCCGGTACTTCCAGGGTTCGATAATACGGTGGCTTTTTGGTTAGTGTTCTATCGCCGGTAAAGAACTCTTTCATCTGCAACCAACCCCACCACATTGTGCAATTACTTACAACCTAGATTCATACTTTGCAAAATAGACTAACCTAGTACAAGGAACTACGATGCTGACTTCTGAAATAATAAGTTTCTGGTGGGACTTTGCATTGCCTGCAATTTTCTAGCATTTTACTGTAAAAGAAAAGCAATTCATTTCCGTTGCGCTCTTATGTTAAGGATCAATATCTATTATGAATTATGGATATTAGTCTCGATGACAATGTACAATGATGCTTCAGTCACAATAAACAAGTAAAAGAGAATATAGGAATCCACACTATACCTCTTTGTAGAAGGCATCTGAGAAACCAGACATGACACGGCAAACGGATTGGAACTCTTCAGTCTCAGGGTTGTAGCACGCCATGAGGAATGGACTGTACCTGCAGTTGCATGCACAATCCAGCTGTGTCATTGGATGCCTAGAAAAATATTGAGCAGACATAGCAGCAAAGGTTCCTTCATTTCCAGAATGACACCAGTTCCTTAAACACTAATAGGGTATCATTCATTCATTTTTGTCCTCACTATATTCTGCTGACTTGCGTCTCGATGTGCACCAAAAATCAATAAGATGAAGATGATGAATGGAACTTTTTTGTGATTAATTTCTTTTTACTAAAACAGTACGGGACATATACCTGAGAAAGATGATGTACCTAATATTAGGGAAATAAAAACAACCAGAAAACAGACCATTGCCAAGCAAACAAATCAATGCTATCACTTATTACCATCCTGCTTTCCTTCCGTTTCCATGCCAAGCACCAATCGGTACTAAATCAAGTGAGTCACCCAAACCTTCCACATAATCCCGTTTCACCTACAAAAGGAAATTATGCCAGCATGTTACACATCAGTGACCTTACTGTACAATTAAAAGTGAAATTCCTGGACATTGTTTCCTAGGGCTCTCTAAAGCCCTGCTGGTTTTGAATGAATGGTAAGGATGCATTTGAATCTAGTTCGCCAAAGTAAAAAGGTCAAGTAGATATCAATGTCCTGGAATGGTGATCTCCACGTAATGAAGGTAGCCTCAGTAGACCATCTAAGACCACCTCATGTAAAATAATAAGAGACTGCCTACCTTCAACCAGCTGTCAGCACGTTTTGATGGAGAATATCCAGCATCGACATCTAGAGTTTTCACCATGATTCCTTCACACGAACATTGCCATGCATCTTCAAGGAAAGTGTTCATCCTGTTTAAGATTGATTCATTGCCCAAACAAGCATCATTTGGCTCAACCTAGGAATCAATATTCAAAACCAAGTATGAGATTTGCAGCTTCCTACTTGGCTTAAACTACTACCATATTTATCTCATACCGTCATTTCTTCTGCATATCGAAAATAACCTGGCCTCTCATCAGGAAATAAATCTCTCAAGTCTAGTGTCAAATCAGAAACCAGTTATCAATACCAACGATTAGAAACATAAATTATCAAATACGAAAGAGAAATACAAGCAGTGTGACAATGCAGGACATGAAAGCACATACATACATTTCCGCCTTTGACGCAGAGGAAATTTCAACAGCCTGAAATCAAGAAGCATCGTGAGAAAGGGAACCAAGATGCAGGCTCCTTTTTCTATAAATGAGTGAAGTTAAAGCTTAAACTAATTGGGCAATTAATATATGATAGTGAGAGTATTCATTATAGAGCCTAACCAGAACCTATGAACATTGACAATACCAATTAATAAGTTGACATTTGTGAATTGTTCTGCATGACAATTAAGCAAGGAAACAATTTCTAGGTGATAGAAGGTTCAGAAACTTACTGTTTTCCATTAGCAAACATGATGTCGAAGACAAACACGCAGATCTCCACCTGCATGAATATAGAAACCGTGTTTACAGGGTATACATCAATCGCCAGAAAGTAACTATAAACAATCATGTTCACATGTATCTTGATGACCAATTGGTATGCATTAACAACTGGATATCCGAACCGAGAATAGAGCAACCTTAATACTATCCAATGTAATTGAGGATTCTTTGCTCCCCCTTTCTCTAGAAGACAGTTCTTGGAAGGACATGAGCTTGCATCCATTTTTCCTATCAACTGCAACAACCTGAAGTGAAACATGAAGAAATAGCTTAGCCAGCAAACCGTTGTCTGGTTCACGAACAGTTCCTAACCATTTGCCGCAACACAAACAAAGCTAGTCACTCCATCCAGCATACTTCCCGGCCAAAACATTAGCTAGCTTATAATATTACTCATGGTATAAAAGAGTTTCAAACATAACTCCAAAAATCTCCAATTTCAATGCACTACCTGCCAACACATCTAAAAGGGAACAGAAGGATGAAACTGAACTCCTTAACAACCAAACATTACATGAAGCACACAACAGGACAATACAATGCTTGTAACCTCCTGTTTTTAGTTAAACATGAACAACTTCCATACAAAACAGAGAGTGCAAACTGGCATTGAGTTAAATCTTTTCAAAACAACATGAGACCGAAGTTCTCAATTGTGCTACTAAATTCACTCTTCCTTGAAATAATCAAATCTTACCTCTGCATCAATTATGAAAGTATCCTCTGTTCGATTACAGGATTCATCCACAATATTGATTAGATCTGGAAATTTTGATGTCGTTTCATCTCCATTTCGTGAAAAGACACGGATAGTTCCATTGGATAGTCTGTGAATTTGAGCACGTTGACCATCATACCTGAAATTATAAAGCACAATTACTAGCGGTGTCTCCACCTCATTCTGTAATCATATTGACAAGTAACCCCAAGCAAGATGCCTCGATGAGTGGCCTGCGGTTGAGAACATGGAGAGTGGGTTATACAATGATAGTCACAAAGATCGCCTGGAATAGCGAAGCAAGTAGCTCGACTTCTATGAAAAGCCATATGATAACAGTAAGGCTGTAGCAGGATTCATTTAACAGCTTAGGCTGCATGTGGAAGGTAACAATTTATCATTGAACTATCCAGAGGTGTTGTTGATCCAGCTCCACCCCTCGTGTACCGCTTTTAAGCCACTTGACCTGCAGAGTCTGACCATCCTGGCTCTGAATCAATCATATTTTCATCCATGCCCTTAAGGTAACCATTTATCCTTACCCAGCTGCAAGCTGCTTGGATCTTATCCTCTGATGTGATTGGAATAGCGTAACAACCATTTAACATTTTTCTGTTCAGTATTCACTGATAAGGAATAATTTCCAAGAGCAGCCTGATGGATGTGGTAGTAGAAATGAGTCCGAAGGAAAAATGCATGCCTAAATTGCATTGCATGTTGATATATTGACCTAGCTATCAAATTTCACCTTGAAAGACCTCAATGATTGTCAGCACAGAGACCAATCATGTCAAACAAACAGATTGAGGAACAGCACTGGAAAAGAAACTCTTCAAGATCACTTACTTGAATTCGCATGAAAATGCCTTATTTTCAAATAACTTGAGCACTTGAGAAACTCCATTTGTAATTCTGCATCATGAAAGGCTTCAGCTATCATTTCCGGCAACGGGTTTTTAACACATATCACATACTCAAAGAGATGGCAAAATTCAATACTTGGCGAGCATGGGTTTAATAGGTATCCCAGGATCCATAGACAAAGTAGACGAGGAAAAGCCAATGCTATTCTTGACGAGTGAAGGAACTAGCATGTCCTGTTACATTTACATTATATGTTTGAGAAACCATTAAGCGGCACTAAAATCCCAAAAGCACAACGAGTTCAATGGAACATAGTAGACAATTACCAGGTTAGGAAGTATATTATAAGCTTCAACTACTGCTGTAGAAAGGCCCTAAAGAATGAGCAGGGTGAGAATACAGCTTCTGGAAGTCAAGCAAGTCAACTGAAAAATTAGGATAAAGAGCATTAGGTTTACCTGAAGGATCTCTTTTATGTGTGAAGCACTATGTTTGTCTGAGGAGCTAGGGAAGGAATTCATTGCAACTGCTTGGGCCAGAGCAGGTAGTATAGTTTTCATCATTGCTCCAATACGTAAGTTCCTTACCTATTACAGAACTTACAATAAACATATATTGTCCAGAAAAGATAACATAGTTGATGATCCAGTTCAGTATAAGCATCCAAGTCATATAGTAATCTAGATATATCCAAGTCCAAATGATTCCAGAAAGAAAGAGAAAAACATAAAAATACAACCCCACCGCCCCACCCCCCCTGTATAGCACGCCAGCAACAAAACCTAGATGCATTCCAAGAATCAGCTAAAACATCTCACCAAAGTTCTCACAAGAAACTTCATTTCTTTCTCCTGGCAAGCGCACATCAAATTCACAATGAGGCTCTTCTTTCGACCAGTACTTTTACTGCCTGTTTGTGAACTGATGAGACGAATAGCAAGTAAGGGGGAAAAGAATAACAGGTTAAAGTCAGTGGTAGACAGATAGACAACAAAGAACAATACTCGCCAAAAGGGAACAACTAAATACGGAAACGTGTAGGTAGGGCACAAACATAAATGAAACCAACATAAGGCACATTCATCCAATTCAAGCAAACAATCACACTGAACATATTATCTTTAGCCAACATATAATGAACTGCATTTCACCTCATCAAAGACTAAGTCGTGTATAAACTATAGTAATTCACTACAAGGTCAAACATGTCACATGCTACTTTTCACCTCATCAAAGAAAGTCGTTTATAAACTATAGTAATTCACTACAAGGTCAAACATGTCACATGCTACTTTTTTGTCCTTAACAATCACGTAGGGGTGTGGTAAAGTAGTAGAAGAAGCTACAGCTGATCATCCAAACTCCATAATTTGGAGACCACCCCTAAGTGTAAGACAAGCATAAAAATGGCTCTGCCACTATTGCATTCTTTTGTCATCTAAAGATAGAACTGTACCCATAATGAGCATCATCGCATCAGAACTTGTGTCCGAAGAAACTAGTAGTGACAGCCAGTGAGTTGAATGCCTCGACAATATTGATCTATAATGAACAATACTGTATTTCACGAGTCATACCTTATCTTGTGAAGACTAGAAAAAACATCTCGAATCAGAAGGGGAGAAGTAGGAGCAAGTAGTTTCTGTCTCTTTTTTGTTTGCCAACATCTCTGAGCCACATCACCTTCAGAAAACAGACACTAATTACCCCACAGCAGACTAACCAGCAAATAATGAAAGACCCTGTTTTGAGTGAATAAATATGCAAAAATCAATATGGCTTACCAAGATCCCCAACGTTATTATACATCTCCCTTATTTCAGATGCACTAGGTCCACATGCCTCTGTTAATGCAGACGTGACCAAGCTGCCCCCAATATTTAATTCCTGCACCAAAGCAAACTCAATTGTAATTTGCATTAGAAATTGAAAACAAATGGCCTATTAGTATGTCAAAAGCAAGTTAAAGTTTAAGTTCATAGGTAACTAAAGGAAAATTAATGCTGAATTAAAGGGACCAAAAGCGGAGTCCACTCAGCGACAAAGTATAGAGGAAGAAAAGTTCATATCATCAAGACACTTCTACTAGTGTCCATACATTATCATACTTCTCCAAATCCTATGGATTATCAATCCATACAGCTTTTGACAGACAACAATTATGATAAGTATACAGAGGATAACAAAGAGATATAACTGTCTTAAAAGCAACAGATGGAAAGGACATAAATTTGTTTAAAATATGAAAACAAATAACCAAACTAACCACATTTTCATGGTCAGCGGCAATTTTGTCTGTGCAAAGATAGACAGCAGCCAACAGATCATCGGGAGACAAAGCCAGTATACTGCATACCCAAAAAGAAATTGCCAAGGAAGTTAACCGTATCAGCAAACAACAGAGGTAACTAGATTGAGAAGGTAGATATAGGCAAATGAGCACCCGCCTTCTGAACATATTACACAGCATAGAAGTGGCCTTAATCTTCCCCTTTTCAGCTTCAACCAAATCAAAGGTTCGTGCAAGGTGAATATATGGCACAGGTTGGCCAACATTCCAGCAAGCTGCAGAAATGTATGTCAACATTAAGCATCAGCTTCGGCTATCAAAAAGTTAAGAGAGACTTTTTCCCAATCTGCTATAGATGAAGGGGCAAACCATGCTTTATGGGGTCATATTTTTCTGGGGGAAGTGACATAAGAGTAGCATCTGAACATGGTACTGCTGGTTCCTTTACTGATAGAGCAAATCCGACTCCTGCTTCTTGCAGCGACTTGTTACCCTGGGCATAAGACCGCTCATTAGTAACACTCTGGGGCTGAACCAATTTGTCAGACACTGCCAACGTCTCAACATCCTTACCAGGAATACTCTCAGGTTTACCATAATGTATATCCAATGCCTTATTAATGTCCCCCTTAGTCCTCTCCAGAATGGTGGCAGCATAGCTTCTAAATGATTCATCAACACCAGTTATCTGAACAAACTGGCCTACCTCCTGTCCATACAAGTTTGGAGCATCATCAACCAACAAGTTCCCGTTTCCAGGGACTTCTTCAGAAATTGTTTGTTTCTTACTGTCTTCAGAAGTATTAGGCAAACTTTTACTAAAGAATCTAGTGATGGTGGATTGCTTTGAACCACTAGATTGGACCTTAGAAGTACTTTTAGCTTTTTTCCCGGCCTTGACATCCATTTTCCTCTTCCTTTTTCCAGGTGACGAGCCACTACTTAATGACTTCACATTAGATGGCTTGAATTTTTGACTGAAAGCAATGACTGAACTCCCTCGGTTAATTGTGTTGCAGGTGGACTCAGGCGTTAGAAGTACATCAGGTGAATTCTGTGTATCAGTCTGGGACGAAGAGACGGAAGCCTTGCTAGAAACTACCTGCTCATGGAATTCTGTTTCACACTCATAGAAATTGGAAACAGCGTCAACTATATTTCTCCCTGATCTGCCAAGCAAATGTAACATTTGGTCATGGGTAACCCATACAGGCAAACAGTCACTCAATTCCTTTATTAGTCTCTGTGTTTCCTCTTCAGTTAGCACAACTACATCTAGTGAATCAGACCCTTTCTGATTTTCCAAGGTATTTGAAATGGATAGCGGAACTGCATTTTCAACAGCTATAGGATCAGAAGGCTCCACATCTAGCTGTCCTTCCTCATTCAACAAAGATAAACCATCAGTTTCAAAACCTTTTTCACTCTCAGTAGAACCACGAAGGAAATTCATCAAGAAATCTTTCTTGTTGGCAGTCTCATCAACTAACCCTGAAAAATGTTTTTGCATTTTATGAACTTGTTTGCTGTCAAGGTTCTCAACATCCACACCAACTGTAGGAATAACACGTTTAGGTCTCAAAAGCTTCACATACTCTCTGAGTTCATCATAATTTGAATGTTCACTGTATGGCACAAGATGAACCTCGCACGAATCCTTAGCCCTCACCGCAAACTTATTATGCTTAACTTCATAAGTCCATCCAGTAGGAACAAAACCAACCACTCTAGAGTACCCTCTTTCTGCCATAATCTCTGCCATCTTGACGAAATTTGGACGAAAATAAGGCCAAGTCTCACCTAACACATTCCAACCAACGACATGGACATCACTCTGGAGCACATCCTCTGTAAACCCCTCAGTCTCCCCATACCCCAAAACCCTTAAAACCTCCATTTTCTTGCCATCAACAAGCACTTTCGTTTGGCACCTCCTTGCAGTCTCAAGCAAAATCCTTTCCTTGCCAATAACATAAGTGGCAATAAGAAACAAGACCCTCTTATCCAAACACTCCTTCCGTACACTATCTATCACGCTAACTACATAATCAACAGCCTCATCTTGAGCCGGAAACACATATTTAGGGTTGCAATAAGTAGTATCCAAGAAAACAGCGTCACAACCAATAAATCCACGCAATAGAGCATCCTCACTCATGGAACTGATGTACCTGAAATCGCCAGTATGAACGTACATTTCAAAACCCGTTGTTGAACTCTTAGCCGGCACCTTGAACAAGAACTGAACCGCGCCAGGGCAGTGATTGGCGTCCACGAGAGTGACTTCGGAACCATCGACGAGCACCGTCTCACGCAACGGCAAGGGGAAGACGAACTGCTTAGGGATCTTCAGAACTCTGGTGACGAGATCGGCGGTGATTTGAGAACAGAAAATGATGCCGTGTGACCAGTTAGGGTAAAGGCCCGAGTAGTGATCGGAATGGAAGTGGGAGAGGAAGTATGCGGCGGCCGGGGCGGGGACGGTGGCGGCGTGGCGGAAGGCATCGATGAGGAAGCGGGTGCCTGGGATGAATTTGGAAGGAGGGAGAGAAGAAGGGAGAGGGGCGGCGGGAAGTGGATCGCTCGGAGGGATTGCAACGGTGCGGGAAGAGAGCGCACGACGATGGAGGAGGAGAGAGTCTAGGGATTTTGGAGATTGGGAAGAAGAAGAAGAAGACATGACTGAAATGTGGTGAAGACGGAGTTCCGATGGATGAAGAACTTATGCTAACTGCACATATGGTTGTGGAATTAGAAGACCGCCATTTCTGAAGGGAACCTTATATATACGGCACGGTGGGGTTCGGCGCCAAGACGAGAATTTGTGGCGCATGATCGGTTCTCCGAATCGGAGTTGAAATGTAAAAGGGAATTTCACTCTGCTGCTAGGATTGGCTAGTCTGGTAAGTTTTGATTCATATTTCCCGGTAAATTACACGATTGCCCATTTGCTTCAAGGATTTGGTACATAGATTTGGTATAAAAAAACAACTATCAAGGATTTAGGTACAATCCGTTGTTTGCTTGCACCTTTTTGGAGACCAAATCTGTGGGGCCCACAGATTTTAAGGGTCCAAATCCGTGGACCCCACGGACTTATAAATCCCACATATTGATGTGGGATTTGGAATATGACATAAATCCTTGATGACATTTTACCCATATACCTTCATGCACTTTTAATATTCCAAGGTTGCCCTCAAATTTAACTATTATACATTATAATTAACAATAAATGAATAATATAAACGTTCAATTAATGTGCAAACATGAGTTAGATTTTTTATATCATTTCTTGTGTTCTAGTTTTCTTTGACCTTTTCATGGAACGTGTAATTCTTTGTTCTCCCGATTCTAATATATGTTGTTATATGTTACTTTTGAAAAGGAGGACAAAGAATTGGTAATTGATTATGTTACGTTAAAAGTTAAAACGGAATTTTCTCGTTTATTATTATTGTCCATGTGGCAACATTATGCTTATTAGTATGTATTGTCCTTGTTTTGTGTACATATCATAAACATGTCAAACATATAGAAAATGATAGTAAGGTAACTTTGAAGTTTTGTCCTTGTTTTGTGTACATATCATAAACATGTCAAACATATAGAAAAGGGCAGTAATGTAATTTTTGAGATCAAGTAGTAAATCTCACACCTTTAAATCCATGATAAAAACATCCCAACAAACAAAGGATTGTTACAAATCCATGATGCCTCAAATCCTTGATAAATCCTTGGGTTTTTAAATTACAAAACCCTCGTTTATAAATCCATGAAGCAAACGACCCCTAAGTTTATTGATGAATTCGTATTTGGGATTTGGGAATAACATTTTATTTTACTTACTCACTTTAAAATTCAATATATCGTTTGTCATCAGTGTCTAATTCTGTTAGTTTCGTCCTACGTACCAAGCAACTATAATTTTCTACTACTAAATTGATGACGTGACAGTTAATTTTTCCATCTATGTCGTGCACTTCTCTTCGCCACCTCACGAACATCACGTGGTGAGATTGATTGTCGATGCTGATGTTGGGAGTGTCGCAGCTCTACCAACAGGCCTTTAAGTTATCATTTATAACGATCAAACAGAAATGTAAAGAAGACAATATTTTTTTTACGTGTTATAATTAACATCATCCCTCAAATTCCGCCGACCTATGAATCGAACACTAAACCCCACATGCTCCGCTAGGCGCCGCAGGACCTCATGGAAGATGGCACCCGCTCTACTGTCATGCACATGAGCTTGATTGAGCCTATTGATAACCACTTGCGCACCCCCCCCCCCCCAAAACTCACCACCGAAAAACCCTTTTGTAGGCACCACAGAATTGCTTCGCGGTCCCAGAGCTCCACTACCATGGGATCATCTATCACCGGCAAATGAATGGCTGCTGCGGAGATTACCTCCCCCCATGATCCAGGAGTATCATCCCCTAGTCGAATGGCACACATGCCTCGTCGCCTCATCCCACTTGCAGACTATAGTACCAGGGCTGACAAGCTGCGCCACACCATTACCAGACCCAGAGGTGCACACCAACCGGTCCTTAGGCAGAGATATCCCTCAAATTTATCTTGGGTACCTAACAACAATTTGGAAGATAAGTACTAGTAACGACAAGAAGATATTGCCCTAGTCAGGATGTCACTTGTCTCTATGTGTTCCTTCCGCTAGCAACTAACAAATATAGTGCACATAGCACATTTATGTGTTTTGTTCGGTCATGGAGCATTGGGTTTCTCGCTATCTAAATAGCACTTGTGTTATCTCCATATATGCGCATAGCCATTATGCACGAAACACTTAGCTCAATAAACAAGTGTTGAATCCAACTGTTTCTGAAGGAACATATGGCATTGATTTGTACTCGATCTCTGTAAGAGATTTAGACACCCTCTCCTGCTTGCGACAATGTCATGATACGAATGACTGTCCAAACCGTATACACCATCCATATGTGGATAAACGCAATCAAAATCGTGATTTTACCTAAAAAAAAATTTTTGAGGTGAAATCGAAATCGTAAGATTTTAAGGTTCATATTAAAATAAACACTTAAAACACCAATTAACCGGATTTGTGGGCATGATACTATACCCTAACCCTTGATGAGTGAACCCTAGGTCTTAGTTATCTTAATCATAGAGCTTAACCCCTAAGATTGTGCATGTAATTTGTTGCATAGATTTTAACGAATCATGACCATTGATTTTTGTTTATAATTAAACTCTTTATATATATATAGAGTTTAATGTATTTTTAAGTGTAATTAACACCTTTGTTTGACCAAAATATGTAAATTGTTAAAAAAATTAAGGGGAAGTATGAACAAATGTAAGAGAAAATAAGGTATGGAAACATGCATTATAAGAGAGAATAAACATTGTCTTTCTTTATCGTCTTCATTTGTACAATCAGGTACTATATTATGGCTTCGTCAAGTTTCTATCAAAATGAAAAAAACAACTTTTGAAGCATTTTGATATTTAATACTTGTTTTCGTTGATAGATACAAACATTAGAAAAAGATAGCATTTGATAACCAAAACATAAAATTATATAGTTGGGTTTTCAAATTCAATTGATTATTAAATGTTGATTATCTAAACTTCCTTCATTATATTTTTTTAATTTTTTATTAATTATCTGTGTGTTTAATTTATTTTTTATCGAAATATAACATATATTAAGTTTTAATAAAAATAAAAATAAAAATTAATTGATCAGATTTAATCAAATATATTTTTTGAAGCATTACAATATATGTCACTCTCCAAACATAAGTATACTACTGCTACATATATATTGGAAAATACAATTATTGAATAAAAAAGAAAACATTAAAAGAAGATAGAGATAGCTACATAAATTATCATTAAAATAAAAAGAAAATATTAAAAAAAGATAGATAGCTCTACATTAATTGATCACTAACTAACTTTTTTGTTTGTAAAAAAATTGTCCACCATGGCACCTTGTAAATTCTCCAAATGCTTATGTGGCAACAAACTACTTTTGAATTGCTATAATATTATGTATAGATAGATAGATAGATAGATAGATAGATAGATAGATTTGGGATTTGGGAATAACATTTTATTTTACTTACTCACTTTAAAATTCAATATAACGTTTGTCATCCGTGTCTAATTCTGTTAGTTTCGTCCTACGTACCAGACAATTATAATTTTTTACTGCTAAATTGATGACGTGACAGTTAAGTTTTCCATCTATGTCGTGCACTTCTCTACGCCACCTCACGAACATCACGTGGTGAGATTGATTGTCGATGCTGATGTTGGGAGTGTCGCAGCTCTACCAACATACCTTTAAGTTATCATTTATAACGATCAAACAGAAATGTAAAGAAGACAATATTTTTTTTACGTGTTATAATTAACATCATCCCTCAAATTCCGCCGACCTACGAATCGAACACTAAACCCCACATGCTCCGCCAAGCGCCGCATGACCTCATGGAAGATGGCACCCGCTCTACTGTCATGCACATGAGCTTGATTGAGCCTATTGATAACCACTTGCGCATCCCCCCAAATCTCACCACCGAAAAACCCTTTTGTAGGCACCACAGAATTGCTTCGCGGTCCAAGAGCTCCACTACCATGGGATCATCTATCACCGGCAAATGAACGGCTGCTGCGGAGATTACCTCCCCCCATGATCCAGGAGTATCATCCCCTAGTCGAATGGCACCCATGCCTCGTCGCCTCATCCCACCTGCAGACTATAGTACCAGGGCTGACAAGCTGCGCCACACCATTACCAGACCCAGAGGTGCACACCAACCGGTCCTTAGGCAGAGATATCCCTCAAATTTATCTTGAGTACCTAACAACAATTTGGAAGATAAGTACTAGTAACGACAAGAAGACATTGCCCTAGTCAGGATGTCAGTTGTCTCTATGTGTTCCTTCCGCTAGCAACTAACAAATATAGTGCACATAGCACATTTATGTGTTTTGTTCGGTCATGGAGCATTGGGTTTCTCGCTATCTAAATAGCACTTGTGTTATCTCCATATATGCGCATAGCCATTATGCACGAAACACTTAGCTCAATAAACAAGTGTTGAATCCAACTGTTTATGAACGAACATATGGCATTGATTTGTACTCGATCTCTGTAAGAGATTTAGACACCCTCTCCTGCTTGCGACAATGTCATGATACGAATGACTGTCCAAACCGTATACACCATCCATATGTGGATAAACGCAATCAAAATCGTGATTTTACCTAAAAAAAATTTTTGAGGTGAAATCGAAATCGTAAGATTTTAAGGTTCATGTTAAAATAAACACTTAAAACACCAAATAGTAATAACAATGCATATCCTGAATAAAAGTCAACACATATAACCTAGTTACTTTCCAAGATAAGTTTGTATACTAAATAAACACAACTAAATCCATTAATTTATTCATGAACATAACATAAACACACAAATAAGAAACCTAAAAGCTCATAAAAATCACTTAATTTAGTTTATAGTTAAGAGTATAGATTACATAATGTCGTTAGGATTAATATTAGCATCCCTCACACATCATCATCCTTACCTCACTCTTAGAATCCTTGTCTAGTCACTTGAAGTACTATCACCATTAACCATATTTCCTTGAGCACCATCATCTGAGAAATGTAACTCATTGATTGATGCAGTCCTTACTTAATCGCTAAAAGGTCGGGGATAGTTGTGTTGAAGGATTGGTAGATGAGCGAAAGCTTGTAATGGAATGGAGATTTGGATAATTGTGAGGGCGGTGAGAACTAACTACGAGCTAATTGGGATGGTGGAAGAAATCATTGATGGAAGGAATTGGACATCGGCGTGCGGAAGAGGATGACACGAGGAAAAGAACGAAAATAAAGTCAGGGTCGCCTATCGGGTTAGGGTTATATTGTTGATTATGTTGGGTCGGGGGAAGTAAATTGGACTCGATTCATGGGCAAAACTTGAACTGACCCACCTAATTTTGCTCCAATAGACATGAACCTTGAAATCTAACAAAATCGTAAAAATCGTATATTTTAAGAATTTTAGAATTTTAAATCTGGATATTAAGGTTCAAGATTTTGTAGTAAAATCAGATCGGAACCCTCAAGAAGCTCACCACTAGACCTGCTTTACTTAAAGTTATGCTCCATCCACAAAACTTAGTAGGCTCCAATCAAGGGCGTAGTCAGGATTTCGTTTAAGGTGGGTACACTTAGACAAAAACACATGATAAAAATAGCTTTTTGATTTTTTTAATCATTCATGATGTAATTTTATATTTGAAAATTTGGGATAAATTAAAATATAGTAGTTGGAACTATCAAGAATGCCACTCTCTTTGTAAAACGAATTATTCATGATTTAGTTAGTCCTTCGCTTCCAAATGGTGTTTTTTTTTTTGTCAAGAAACGTTTAGTATCGACAACTCAAGATGTTGAGAGATGTTTAATAATGAATCTTATACCAAAAATTATCCATGATTTAGTTAGTCGTTCACTTTCGAATGATGTCATTAATAAAAAAATCATTTAATATCAATAACTCGAGTTGTTGAAACAGGTTCAATAATATATCTTATACCATTAACTAAATACACCCTCGTAAGAAAGTTAGTAAATTAAGGGAATGATCATTGTTACTATGCACAAAACCGGCCTGTAAAATAGTGTTATGAAACTTCTCAGATCAGGATCTAGGAACCTGTTGTAAGTTGTAACCCATACACCGATTGATTCAGTTTGCAAATAAGCTTTGGGTTCCCTTTAGAATATCCACACTTCGTCCTCTTAACTTTTTTTGTTGGGAATTAATTTGAATCATTATTTTATATAGTGATTTTGTAGTTTGGAATTATGTACCTTATCTTTTTCTCTCATTTATTATCTTATCTTTCATGCACCCATGATTTTATAAATAAAACCAACTCATACAAAATGAAAACAAGTTTGCTATTCATAACAGAAAAGAAAGAAATCAAATTTGCTTCCTAGTTCCTACAAAAAGAAAAAAACCAAGTTCGCCATGCCCAGGGTCGATTCGGTCAATAGCCAACCCGTAATTAGAATCCAAACTCAAGTTTGCTGCAGACAGTCCAGACTCCAGATTTTCAATACACTACCTAGAGAGGGACAAAATGGTAACATCATCCTAGCCACCGATTCGCACTATCTTTATTACTCAACGCAAAAATCGCCCACACTCACCCGAACACGCGCCCGAGTCCAACATTCACCGCTGCCGCTTCTTTACTCTTTCACTCATGGCGGAGCAGAATCCATTGAACCCACCAAATCCAGGCCACGACTCCCTCGTCGATGGCAATGTCCTGGCCGCCAAATCCTTCGCCCGGTGCGGCGTCAAGCACATGTTCGGTGTCGTCGGCATCCCGGTCACCTCCTTCGCCAATCGCGCCGTCTCATTCGGAGTCCGCTTCTTTGCCTTCCACAACGAGCAGTCGGCTGGCTACGCCGCCTCCGCCTACGGTTACCTCACCGGACGCCCGGGCTTGCTGCTCACTGTCTCCGGTCCAGGCTGCGTCCACGGACTGGCCGGTTTGTCGAACGCCATGGCCAATACGTGGCCCATGGTTATGATCTCCGGCTCTTGCGATCAGAGCGACGCCGGCAGGGGAGATTTTCAGGAGCTCGATCAATTAGAAGCTGTGAAGCCCTTCTCCAAGTTCTCGGTAAGAGCGAAGGATATAAAAGACATACCTAATTGTGTTGTGCAGGTGCTCGATTGGGCTGTTTCCGGCCGCCCCGGTGGCTGCTACTTGGATCTCCCAACCGATGTGCTTCACCAGACTTTGACGGAATCGGAGGCCGAGGAATTGTTGGCTTCTGCGATAGATGGCGCCGACAGGAAATTGATTGGAACAGAGGTTGCGAAGTCGGAAATTGAAAGAGCAGCGGAGTTGCTAAAGAAGGCCGAGCGGCCGTTGATTGTGTTTGGTAAAGGCGCTGCTTACGCAAGAGCGGAGACCGAGCTGAAGAAGCTGGTCGAGAGAACTGGAATCCCGTTCCTGCCGACGCCGATGGGGAAAGGTTTGCTCCCGGATACGCACGAGCTTGCAGCAAGTGCCGCGAGGTCGCTCGCAATTGGGAAATGCGACGTTGCGCTTGTGGTTGGGGCGAGGCTCAACTGGTTGCTGCATTTTGGGGAACCGCCCAAATGGTCCAAGGATGTGAAGTTCATATTGGTCGATGTGTCTAAAGACGAGATTGAGCTAAGGAAGCCCCACGTAGGTGTAGTTGGCGATGCCAAAAGGGCACTGGAGTTGCTCAATGTGCAGATCAAGGATGACCCTTTCTGTTTCGCGAGGAATCATCCGTGGGTGGAAGGGATATCCAAGAAGGCAAAGGATAATGTATCCAGGATGGAGTCTCAGCTGGCGAAGGATGTGGTGCCGTTTAATTTCTTGACGCCGATGAGGATTATCAGAGATGCAATTTCGGGTATGGGGAGTCCTGCTCCGATTGTGGTTTCGGAAGGTGCTAATACAATGGATGTGGGGAGATCAGTGTTGGTTCAGAGTGAGCCAAGGACTCGATTGGATGCCGGAACTTGGGGGACAATGGGAGTTGGGTTGGGTTATTGCATTGCTGCTGCAGTTGCTGAGCCTGATCGGCTTGTGGTTGCAGTTGAAGGCGACTCCGGATTTGGGTTCAGTGCTATGGAAGTTGAGGTAGAAGCTCTCAGTCACCATTCATTTTCTCATTGCTTCTGGTTTCTTTACTAATGTGCGACCCTACTATTTACCTTTGCTGCCTATCAAATGTGCATGTCTCTGTGTTTATATGAAATGACATACTTGACTGGTGTAATTCAATATTGCTTGGAAAGTCTGTTTAGGAGTTTGATATGTGTTATTAGATTCATGTGCTTAATAACGCTATGATTTGTTTCTATAGTTACTGTGACTTGATAGCCCAGATGGTTGTGGAGTGACCTTGCAGAGATAAACCAGCTCCTTCTTGGCAAATGCTGGTTGCTCATATCTTAGGACATCGTGTCCTCTGACATTCAGTTAACGAATTAATAATAAGAGGGATTGTGTGTTTTTTTATACTCTTTCTGCTTGCAGAGACACCATTAAGGGGTTCAATGAAAGTGAAAATAGAACATTTTCGCATTCGCATTCATTTTCTTGGAGTGTTGTTTGTGAACTTTGGTCAAGAAATTGTGCACCTAGCTCTTCTTTGCAATATATCTTTTGATCGTGCTAAGATGGTAGGTACCTCAAATGATTGATTTCTCCTTCTTGACATTGGCTAAGCTGCTGTAGATTTTGAGTTTCTCACATTTTCCCCTTGTCCGACTTCATAACTTGCGTATCTTGACTGCCGCTTGGACTTAAACATCTTGTGTCTTGATTATCTCCAGACATTGGTACGCTACCAGTTGCCTGTGGTGGTGATAGTTTTCAACAACGGCGGTGTATATGGAGGAGACAGGAGAAGCCCTGATGAAATAAAAGGCCCCTTCAAAGATGACCCAGCACCCACTTCTTTCGTCCCTGGAGCTGCGTATCATCTTCTAATTGAAGCCTTTGGGGGCAAAGGTTATCTTGTAGGAACCCCTGATGAACTCCGGTCTGCACTCACAGAATCTTTCTCTGCAAGAAAACCTGCAGTTATCAATGTCACAATAGATCCTTTTGCCGGTGCGGAAAGTGGGAGGATGCAGCACAAGAACTAAGGTATATAGCCTTCCCCCAACCTGTTTCTGTCTGTATTCCCTCTATTTTGTATCTGTGGGCAAGCTGGCCTTTGTGTGTTCCCTTTCACTAATGCTGTAAAATTTCATCTGATGCTATGTTCCCTGTTAGGTTCTTTTGTTTGTACGCAGTTTGGTGTTTTCGGGCGGTATGCCAACTAATTTGGTGGTTCAACGTGCAAGGTGGATGGAATATTAGCTTTGGTGGGTGTTTTCTGTAAGGTTTCTAAATACGCCCTTACTCCTTACGTTCGAAAGACTGATTCCTTGTTACACACAGCTGAACTCGTCTTCTTTGTCTTCTCCTCTCTCCGAGTTTACAAGTACAGGATCGTCGGGGATAATATGTGTTTTGTTATTTGAATGTAACCTTGTTCGGGATTAGATTATTTTTCACAGCATTGGCGTGTATTCACTATTGTCAGAAGAGCCTTGGTCTGGTTTGCTGCCTATCAGAGCTCATGAGAGCTAATAGAAGCTTGTTGGATCTTTGAGAGGTGTCCAAGTTAGCTCATGATATCTTAATGGAGCTAAATGGAGCTTGTTGTAAGCTAAAAAGACTAGGGTCGTTTAGTGGGGGCATGTATTATATCACGAGTGTATTTTGTAGTCTCTATGGTGATACGCGATCTAGGGCGGTTAGTGTATTGACTATGAAGAATGTTCTCGCTAGTTGTGGAGGTTCGGTTTACTGTTATCGGTTAACCGTTGGTTTTAACTGAAACCGACAGATCTCCACCCCTAGTTCTCGCCATGATACTTGAAACCATTCGATATGTTTGGATATCGCGCCTGCTGTTATTTGTCGTGTGTTCTTAAACTCTGCAACTGTATCTTACTGTTTAAAAGTTTTTTATCGGTGAATTGTATCGTTATACATGAAAACCTCTACGTAAAAGGACTTGGCATTATCCATTATGAAAGAAAGGAAGTAGTCTTAAGATATCCAAGTAGGTTCATCTTGTCCTCGTCATGATATTCAAGGCTAGTCGATATATTTGAATACCGTGCTTGCTACTATTTGTCGTGAGTTAAACTCTAAAATTGTGTCTCGCTGTTTAAAAGTTTTCAATGAGTGAACTATATCTTTATACATGAAAACCTTTAAGTAGAAGAACTTGGCATTATTCATTATAAAAGGAAGTAATCTTAGGATTTCTTGTGCTCAATTCATTTCACATGTGCATAAAACTCTTACTAACCTATCATTTAGAGCATCCACATTAATACAATGGTAAAAGTAATTGCATTTGTACTCTTTATTGCTAACTCAATTTTTTTTCAATCCACATCAAATCAATTTCATTCACCTACATCAATGCAATTAACTTGTACTTGCATATGTAATTAAATATCATATTCAAATGATACAAAATAATATAAAAAAGAAAATAATATAAAATTAAAAATCTCTATTTTTGTAGGGCTTTTTGACTTGCATATGGAATTGCATTTGTTGCAAGCTTGTAAATATGCAATTGGTAGTCACATCAATGCAATTGGTGTTACAATTGCAAACAGCCATTACATGTCATCTTGCAATTTAAAATGCAATACCAATGTGGATGTTCTTAGCGTCACATGCACGAGTACAATTCGATTAATGAAACCAGTGGAAGATCCATTTCTCGATAACAAAAATTTGGGCATTTTCAATTTATCATTGGTACATTTTTTATGTACTAGTATCATTTAGTAGCTCCTGGAGCTACCGCGGATTGAGCTTGATTGCTATGAGGGCTCCCCCTAAGCATTGCCAAATTGGAATAATGATAGAACTGCCAAATTTAATTGTCGAAAGCTAACCAACTTGATATCTAGCTAACAAAAATGTGCTGTGATTTGTCAAGATAATTGATTCCTGAAACGGGAGGAACAACAATAATGGAATGGCCCATCCCTTCGATACTTTCCCCCCGATCTTGTCTGCCTATCTTCTTCTGTGTCTTCACCATTATCTTGCTTTTTTAATCTTTTGCCATACATTATTGTCGGGTAATTAATCAAAATGATCACAAAAGTTTGACATAATAATAAATTAATAAATGTTCTAAAACTTTAGAAACCAGTAATTTCGTGTGTTTCCATTCATATTTCTAACCAAACTGTTTAGGTGGTAGGTTTAAGTGTTGGTAATGTGTTTAATCTTAGTAATTTTTGCAGCGAGTCAGCAATCATCCTCTACATTTTTTTTTGTTTTATCCCAAAATTAAGTGGACAGTTTGAATGAGAATATAGATGCAAAGTGAAGAAATAACCGTTTGGATTATAAGGCAATACTTATAAGGGTGGTGCAACGGTTCGCTCCGGTTCAAATTAATGAGTACCGCAATCCATTAGCGAAAGATATCTTAGGACCAAGTACCGGACCATCATTGCATTCCGTCCATTTGGTCTGGTTTGTTCCGGTCCAAATATCAGCTCGGTCCATCATTTCTTTAGTAATTGTAAAATTTATGTGAATCAAGAACCAGACCGCATTATACTCGGTCCGGTGCGGTCCGATCTCGGATCAGTTCAAATGAATCTTTTTAGTATGTTTTAAATGTTTGTAACCACTTTATTACCAGTTAAAACCTACTCCAGAAAGTCTATCCCTGGATCAACGTGCATTCAATTAAGAGCTGCTGCTGCTGTCTCCTTATCTTCTAAGTCCCAATTTTACTATCCCCTGTCCTGTCCTTTAGTTATTTACTCTGTATTTGCCCCCACCACTCTGCCCCAATTTCCTGCCTGCCCACCACAACTTTACGTTTCCAAAACGTTCACTCTCACAATTAATAGTCTCGTTCCCGATTCCCCACTTCCCACCCTCTTCCTCTTCCTCTTCCTCTTCCTTCTCCTCTTTATGCCCAGAGAAAAGCTCTGAAGTCTTTGAACCAGTTCCTTTTTCGCCCCTGTTTTCCCACCCAGAGAAACAAACACCCGCTGGAAGTAACATGGATCAGTCTCCGTTGCTGGAGAAGCTACAGCCGTCACACGATGACGACGAAGTAGCACATCAGACCAATCCCAGCAGCAGAAGAGCGACAGGGCGGCGGAGGAAAATGGATATCTTGCTCGACCAGCTCAAGAAGGTGACCCGAATGGCCGCTCCCATGGTCGTCGTCTCGGTAACCCAGTACCTCGTCCAGGTCGTCTCGCTCATGATGTCCGGACACCTCGGCGAGCTCTCCCTCTCCGGCGTCGCCATCGCCACTTCCTTCACCAACGTCACCGGCTTCGCCCTCCTGGTACGTATAAGTTATATGCATCAATTCTTTCCCTAAAGATTTCGAATAGCTGTCCCGAATTCAAGTCGATAATGTTTCCTCGCCAGTTCGGATTGGCGGGAGCGCTGGAAACGCTGTGCGGGCAAGCGTACGGGGCGGAGCAGTACTGGAAATGCGGGACCTACACTTACGCATCCATCATCTCCCTCGTCCCGATCTGCGTCCCCGTCTCGATCCTCTGGTACTACATCGACGACATCCTCGTTTCGATCGGGCAGGACCCGGAGATCTCGCACGTCGCCGGGCAGTACGCCGTCTGCCTGATCCCTGCTCTGTTCGGCGACGCGGTTCTGCAGCCGCTGAACAGGTACTTCCAGTCCCAAGGGCTGACGCTCCCCATGTTGTTGAGCTCCGTGGCCGCGCTCTGCGGGCACGTGCCGGTCTGTTGGGCTCTGGTGTACAAGTTTGGGCTCGGGAATGTTGGGGCCGCTCTGGCGATTGGGCTGGCCTACTGGTTCAATGCCGGGTTGCTGGTTGTGTACATGAGGTGGGCTGGTTCGTGCGAGAAGACACGTGGGATGTGTTGGGATGATTTGGGGGCGAGTGTGATGCAGTTCTGGAGGTTCGCTGTCCCTTCTGCCGTCATGGTCTGGTTAGTATATTTCTATACTCTGGGTAGACCGTAGTTCGGTCGGTATATATGATTAAAACCGGTCAGGATATCGCAGGTTCATAGGTCGAACCTTTAAAAATCGGCCGTCGCGATAATTTGAATTTGTGTTATGTTAATATTGTAGTTTGGAATGGTGGACGTTTGAGCTGCTAGTCCTGCTGGCGGGATTGCTACCCGATGCAGCGCTTGAGACTTCAGTGCTTTCCATTTGGTAACCAATTTTCTCGGTTTTTTTTTTTTTGCAAAATTGCTTAATTGAATGATTACTACTTAACTAAATGGTGCTTTTTCTGATTCGACTTGCAGCCTTACAACTACATCGCTTCACTACTATGTGCAATATGGAATTGGAGCGGCGGCCAGGTTAATTTTATACTATATATATTAAAAAAAAAAAAATCAACCTATGTCACACTCTTATTCCGGACTTTGAAATTACGAAAATGGACTAAAAATATGGGGGAAAAAACTTTGTGTCTCCAACAGCACTGGGGTGTCGAACGAGCTGGGGGCAGGGAATCCGGAGAAAGCCAAAGCAGTGATCCAATCCGCGGTGGGGATTTCGATTCTGGAGGCGGCAATCGTCAGCACCACGCTCTTCTGCTGCCGCAGCTTCTTCGGCTACGTTTTCAGCAACGACAAGGCCGTGGTGGCGTACGTGGCCGACGTGGCTCCGCTGCTCTGTCTCTCCGTCGTCGTAGACAGCTTCCTTGCAGTACTCTCCGGTACGTACGCTACTTCGCGCAGACAGGGTGACAATTAATCAATGAATCATATGTCTATCAATAACGAATTACGTACCGGAAATGTGGGGATGCAGGAGTGGCGAGGGGGAGCGGGTGGCAGCACATAGGAGCGTATGTGAATCTAGGGGCGTACTACGGCGTCGGGATGCCGGTGGCGGTGCTGATGTGCTTCGTCTTCCATCTCGAAGGGAAAGGCCTGTGGGTTGGGATACTGACTGCATCCACTCTCCAAGCTGTTTTGCTTGCTTTCATCACTGCCTTCACCAATTGGGATCGACAGGTTCTTTGTTTCTTTCCGTCAAATCATCCCTGAATTTAGTCACTGCTCTACTGATTAGCTATTAGTTAACAAAATACTGTGTTGTTTTCTATTGCAGGCAGAGAAAGCCAGAGAGAGGATATTTGATGGGAATATAATTTTGCCAGCATAATTGAGGCGTGACAGAAAAAAAAAAAGCATAAAAGAGAGATGCTCAGAAATAATAGTCTACACCTTTACCCAGGCAGCATGAGGATGATTTGATTTATGGGAAAATTGATTGGATTTTGAGTGAAAATCACTCAGAGCAATCAACTGGAACATAATCTGGTTCTAACAACTAGTTGGTTTCGATAGCCAGTTGTTGATAAATTTATTAGGACCGATGGATCGAAGAAGATTCACAATTTCACTCCACCACAGGGGAGGATCTTGATTCTCAAGTCGATTGACAAATATGTACTTTGATTATTTCCGAATTGATTCGATCAACGAGTATAGCACCGTGCTCGACGTGTATGGCAATATCATGTATGTTTTATTCAAAAAAACAAAACAAAAAAATTATAGTTCTAGCCAGTTAGGCTTAAGGTTGTTGGGATCATTTAATGGTTGCGCCTAAAACTTACTACACTAAATTAGGACAAATATAACTAGTCTAGAACTATAGTATATAGTGACTATCAATGTGGTATTCCACGGGGTCTGTAGTATGTACATATACTTCTACTATGAGCTATCTTACAATCTAGCTAGTCGATTTAATGTTCGCTACTTCTAATTAAACAAAAGCAATCAAAGTAAGAAAATAGGTTAGTTCAAAGATTGGAAAAACACTCACCCCCTCACCTTAGGATTGAGTATTATCCGATATGATCCGCGCTAGGCAGAGTAACATTCGAGCGAAAGTAGCAATGGGGCGGACATATGTACTACTTTCAATTGAACATCTCCCAACAAATTAAGTTATTGTGCCAATTAGTTCTTGACATGGTATTAGGAGTGTACATGTGGGTTGGGTGATTCAGCTCTAGTTGTTTTAGTCACCCGCGACCCATACACTTCGATTTTGAAAACACTAAATCCAAACCCACCCAAGAAGTAAGAACCTTACGGTTTGTTTATAATTGGGTTGGGTCGGTGGACTATACATTTGAGTAAAAGTCCATCTCAACACGAAAATGCAATTATTTTTGCACCATAAAAAGATTATATAACCAATTACATTTCGAGTAAATAAACAGAATTGAAAATCATCAAGAAGTTGTTGTCCTTAACTCGTTGAAGTAGAGTTTTTTTCAATCTATGTCTAGTATTTTTCATTAACATTTACTAAAATATTTTAAAGAGGTTATTCATTATAAGCTAACACATCTATAATGTATTATACTTATAAAAAATTATGCATAAGAAATGACAAAGTGTGAAACATATCCTATATTAAATATATGTCCAAAATTTCTTACCACCATCTCTCGTAATCCATCCCTGGTCAGAGCGAACAACTAATGGTGGAATCTCCTTGTTCAGCAGAGTTTCAGGTACATGAAAACCCTTTTTCTATCCCTTTTCCCTCTTCGTCTTCTTCATTCAGCGACGCTAGTTCTTGTTGTCCTGCTTTAATTGAACTTCTATCTAATATGAGTTTTTTTATGTTTGAGTTTATCGAAGAGTCCCTGGAGAAGAAGCGACGGATCGTAGTAGCCAATTTGGGAGAAGTGCAGCACGAATTCAATCATTGACATTCTGGAGGGTTGATAGGCTCCAATTTGTTTTATGGACGAGTAGTGGTTTTGGTAGCATTAATGGGCTCCAATTTGTTTTGTGGACTGGTAGTACTGGTATTGAAATGTGTATTTAGACAATGGTATTACGATTTGTAATTTGGATTTGTAGTGAATAGTGGTTATTCATAGCATTTTGTATACCTGTGTCAATCTCTACCAATTAGCTTCTATCATATAGATTGACACCGGTAGTGGTAGTAGTTTGGACTGGTAGCTTCTATCGGTACATAATTGGTACACGTACCAGTTGAGTGGTACATATACCGCTCCAGTGGTAAACGTACCACTGGAATTAGAGTACCACTACCAAATATTAGTTGAGTGGTACAAGTACCATTCCACGCTATATGTACCACTTTAATGATAGACGTACCACTCCAATGGTACACGTACCAATCCAATGTCACCTGCGTTACAATAATGGAATTGGTTCTATACTTTTCTGTTCATGGTGGTACACGTATCACGAAGTTTGTACTCCAATCTTACAACTAATATGAACTCAGGCCATGAAAATAACGAGAAACCCAATCAAACTAAAAACTAATACGTTTGCATACTCATACTAGTTCATTAGTAGAAAGTAACATCCGTCAAACACAACCAAATTAACTGTGTTTGAATATAGTTTGGCACATACGGTAAACATTCATAAGAACTATAGATGAAACAAACAAGCAATGACTTTTATGTTTTGCTTGTATTTCTCTTCCTCTTGAGATCATTAGTAAATTGTTTTGCTGCATGCTCACTGTCGTATTCTCCTGCAGACTTCAGCCTTTTCTTAATTCTAGTTGTGTCCTTCCTCTGCTTCAGTTTCTTCTCTCTAAAAGCTGGTTCATCATCTTGATCATGAACCACAAGTGCTTCCATGTTGAATCAGCTGGGACTATAATTACCACACCTGTATTTAACAAGAAGAGGCGCCAGAAATCACACTGTTATAATACTACCACATGACAGGCATATTACTTGCACTGTTATATATATATATCAATCGATTGACATAATACTACAACTATCAGTACAATACAACACTACCACTGAGTGGTAGCATTATGGGTAGGGCTGCAAATGAGCCAAGCCGCTCGCGAGCAACTCGGCGTTCGAATCGGAAAAAACTCGTTCGACACTCGACTCGTTATTTAACAAGCCGGCTCGCGAGCCAACTCGTTAGTTAACGAGCCAAGCCTGAGCTAGACCATGCTCAGCTTGATAAGCTCGCGAGCTAGCTTGATTCGGTGGCTTGTCGAGCTAAGCTCGCGAGCTGCCTTGTTTTGAGCTTGTCGAAGGATGAATTACTCTTTTAAACATGAACATTGTCTTATAATACAGATGTGTATGAAATTTAGATGTTATTTCTAGTTTCTAGTGTTCTTTCTATCATTTAAATTCTTATGTTTATACATTTTTCCAGCAAAAATGATTTTAAATCGAGCTCATCTTGAGCCGAGCTTGTACTCAGCTTAACAAGCTATGTTAATGAGCATTTATCGAGCTCTACCGAGTCGAGCTCGAGCTAGATTATTTTTATTCAAGCCGAGCTCGAGCTCGAGCTGGATTATCAAAATTCGAGTTCGAGCCGAGCTCGAGCTGAAAAATTAATAAACGAGCCGAGCTCAAGCTAAGCAAAAACTCGACTCGACTCGGCTCGTTTGCAGCCCTAATTATGGGTACCACTCAACAAACACTATCATTAGGCACATATCACTACCATTGGGACTGGACTACCACAACCAGAGAGGCGTCGTTAGATTGCAATAAGTCTCAGTGGTACATGTACCAGTCGAGTGGTACAAGTACCACTCCCTGCTACATGTACCACTCTAGTGGTAGACGTATCACTCCAGTGGTACATGTATTGCTAGGATTGAACTACCACTACCGAATACCAGTTGCGTGGTAGAAGTACCACTCGAGTTATACAAAAAGCTACAACTACAGCAGAAAGTCGTAATGTCATGAGTAAACCTTACCGAGATTGGTGTCGTCGGCCACAAGGCAAGCATATTACCAGTTCAGTGATACAACAAACCAGTCTAGTGGTACAACTACCATTACATTGGTACGGGTACTAGCCGAGTGGTAAGAGTATTGGTCAACCGGTACACGTACCCCTTGACTGGTACTATCATTACCACTATCATGCCACCCTCAAGTGGTAGCACCACGTGTACCACTGGAAAACTACCAATCAATTGAAAGTTATAACGTCGTGCGTTAACCTTACTGAGATTGTTGTCGTCGGCGAGATTCTCAGTGTCATCGTCGTCGTCTTTGAGCTGATCAACATTCATGGGCATGAAATCATCGTTGTCGAGATTGGCGTTGTTGTCCAGATCCCCATCTACGTCGACAACGACGACGTCCTCCACCATTTGTTCTCATGATCGCCCTCTTTTTCTGGCTATCATTGCCCCTTTTTTCTGTGTGAGGGTTTCTGGGGGGGGGGGGGGAGGTGTTAAAGCCAGGTAAATGGGGAGGTTTTCTTTTGAAAATAGGAGCAAGAAGGGGAAGAATGGAAGGGAATGTGAAGAGACGTTTGTGGTAAAGTGATTACAACTCCCAACAATCACGTTTTAAATCCTTCCCAATTCAATTTAATTATTTTCCTTTTACAGATTGTATAAGGCTTCCCAAAACACCCTTTTTATATTAACAGCAGTTGGGACAAGCTACGGTGCTAATCCTATAGGGGGTTAGCACCGTACTAACTAATTTTTAAATGGTTTAATTTTATTTTTTATTAAATGGCCATAATTAAAGAAAGGGTATAATAGGAAATAAGAAGAAAATTAAAAAAATATGAAATTAATATGATTTACGGAAAGTGGGGGATTGGGTTTTTTAATTGGTTTAATTTTAAGGGATCCATTAATTATTAACTTCCATTTTTTAATTAAATCTGTTTCCGTTAGTGGGCGGATTTTAAGGGATTGGGGATGGTTATTGCTTGGAAATAATTATTAACCCTATTTCTCGGAAAAAAATAATTGTGCTCCATATCAATCTAATATCACGTCTCCCTCTTTAATTGATAGATATTTATTAGTAGCAATATTAATTTAATAGTAGTGATTCCATAGTAATAACATTACATATTTTAACGATATGGCGTAGTGGTTATTACCATTGGTAGTGTTTTCAATAATTTTTTTTTTTGTCATAGTCATTTCATTCCTCGGTTGATTGTTTGTAGTAGCTATTTTCGAGGTGGTAATAGTGTTTCCAATAAAAAGTACTATTCCAATATGGTAGTTGTTAATCGTGATCGTAGCAATATTTTATGATGGTAGTAGTGATTTTACAAAGAGAAATTATCAACATAATAAGATTGAATTCATTATGAACAACGCAAAGAAAAGTACTTGTTACTGCTACACATAAACATCTACTAAAAAAAGTTAAACCAACTACTATATTGAAATGAAACACTACTACAAGAAATACAAATGGGAGAAAACTACTAATCTTCTTCCAAACACTACAACATTGAAACGCTACCACACGAATTGGGAATATGTCAATGTCACTGCTACGAACTGACCCATCGATTCAATACTATCCACAAACGAAAACACTACGAATGAATGGCCATATGCCTTCACTGTAAACTGAACATCGCCGGAAAATAAAAATTAATCCCACTCCGATCAGAACCCAAAACAGAGCTAGGATACAGCAACCTACACGCAACCTCCATTGAAGACAAATCTTGAACAAAAAAATAAATAAAAAACCAGCAGGGACGGCGACATGCAATGGAAAGACAGATCATAAATCCAAAAACAAAAAACCAGAATAGGGAATGGAGCATGCAATGGCGCCTATGAGATGATGGAAGGACGATTGATGAGACTTGACTATTACTTGAGGCGGCTCCGATCTCGGATGAGCAGAGGGCGGCGACAAGGTGGGAACCTCGGAGGACGGCGACGAGGACGGACAAGCGGTGGCTATCGTCGAGTTCGTAGGAGCAGAGGAGGGCGCAGGGAGTATTCGGCGGCGACGAGGTCGGAGGAGCAGAGGGTTGCGTCGCCGAGGATAGTTCAGGCGAACAACGGCCGCAACTCTCGGCTTCGCTGGGTGAAGATGATGCGACGAAATAGAGAGGAAATTGAGAAGAAAGAATCTCCCAAAAAAAACGAAAGTGACTGTTGGGATCCCACCACAATAATCTCGGCTGATTTGAAGCAATGACGTGACGTCAACTAATTACAGACCTTACAAAAATACCCCTCACAATAAAAATCCCTTTTATCAGCCGAAAAAAAAAGGAAATTGATATATGCGGTTAGGACGGTGCTAACGGGGTATGGGGTTAGCATCCCATCTCATCCCACAGCAGTTGGATGATGAAGGGGGATGGACGGTAGGGAGTTGGGAAGCGAATCTCACAACCCCAATAGGGGAAGTGACACTATCCCTTTTATCCATGAATTGATTATGATAAGTGAGCAAATCATTCATCAATAAGGTTCAAGGTTTACAATTTAAACTCTCAATATATTAATTCATACGATTGCTTTAATACTAAGAATCGAGTTGTATTTATCATGTTTTAATAATATCAATCCCAACTATAAAAATCGTGGTCGTTGTTAAGACTTTCATCATTTTTGGTCCGTTGAAACACAAAACACTGAAGAACAGTAAACTGCGTCTACATTTTTTTTTTGTCAACAACAAGTTTATATAATAAACCCAAAAAAGAAGAGAAGTCATACTCTCCTCCTTGGTCAGTGATGACTTATATGACTGACGGATTTGGAAAATGGAAACTCATACAGGTCATATAATTTGACATATCAAATATTCATCCATGCTTCGGTCAAACTTGTATCAATATTTCAAATCATAAGAGAAATTTTGCATCGGCCGCCGCATTTCATATCGCTACCACCAACTAATCGTCCCTTCCTACTCCTTTCCAAGACGGACGATTTCTCACGCTTCAAAGTGTATGTAATTATTTTCCTAAGCCAAACTTAAATGGCGCAGCACAAAAGATTCCGCTGCAAAGAATGACTTCCACAATCAAATACCGTAAACCGATTGATCGATGAGAGAGATTGTTTTGTCACCATATAGTGGATTGTTTCGAAATAAAAAAACGAATAAAATGACTAGAGACTCAAACGGTGAGAAGGAAGACACGATATAGACACAAATGATATAAAACGAAAATAAATCTCCTCCAAGATACCCAACCAACGAGTGAGTAATTCAACAAAAAAAATTTGCGAATCACTGCCCAATGTCACCACAAAAATTTAACGCATTAGACACCGTCGCATAGCATCTCGATGAGAAAGTAATTCAACAGTAAAGACATCCGAGATACCATCATAAAATTTACTAAAAGCAAACAAGATCGAACAATCATGACCTACGAAATCGATTACACTTTCTTGATTTACCTCCACAACATTATAATTATCTTGCAAAGTGAACCGCCAAAAAAGAAACATCCAATATAATGCTAGCAATTTTCTATCCCAAAATATTAAAGTTATGGTTTTTAGTCATAACATCCAATATTATGAATAATAATAAAAAAATAGTATAGTCTTGTAAAATGAAACTGAACAATCTTCAAGTGTATGGTTTTTAGTCATATTGTTATTGTTATTGTTATTTTCAGGAGTCTTCCTTTTCCACGTAAGGAAAATCCCACCAACCAAGTTGTTATAAAATAAAATAAAACAAAACAGAGCCCCAACCAATCCCGCACCCGCCAAAGATGACCATTATCATCACGGAATCCGAGTCCGTCCAAACTCCCAAACCAAGGAATCATCCCAACTCCCAGCCATCAGCATAATCATATATCCTATCATTTCTTCATTTTTGGTATCTTCTCCAACCCATGTGCTTAATCTTTAGTTTACTACTTTACTTTCCTACTTCATATCGAAATGAAACGATACCAGAGATTATATCGAAAAATTCAGTGGTGATAGGATATTCAATTCTAAAACTGTGATTCAACAGTTTTCATATCGTCAAAATTATTTTACCATTTGAGATTCGATATCTAGTAGTATTTTCGATCTGACCGAACGATAGAGTACGGTTTCTAAAATATTGATCATCACATTTTTTTTTCCACGTTGCATATTCATTTTTGTAAAGGTGATTTAGATAATAATAAAAAAAAATTGTAATTAGATGTTACTGAATATAGACTCAAAACTAATGATATCACTAGGCCAAACCTTATTTGCCACATTTCATATTATAATAAACAAACAAATTTTGAAACTATTCATCCTCCCCCTCCTTTATAAACACCCAAAACACAATCTTCCTCACACTCAAAATAACCAGCAACAACAGAATACTAACACCAAGACAAAAAGCAAAGCAGCCATGGCTTCCTCTTCCTTCTCCGCCACCGCCACCGCCACCATTTCTTCTTCCCACCGTCACCAATCCCTCCTCGTCACAAAACCCTTCACCCACAATTCCTTGCTCTTCAAGCAACCCAACAAACTCACCACCACCCCATCCCTCCGCCCTCTCAAACTCCGCGCCTCCTCCTCCTCCGTCGCTCCCCTCGACAAAACCGCCGCCGCCGCCCCGCCGCCGCTCCCGGACTTCGACTTCAACGCCTACATGCTGACCAAGGCCGCCCTAGTCAACGCCGCCCTCGACCAATCCATCCCGCTCACCCGCCCCCTCAAAATCCACGAGGCCATGCGCTACTCCCTCCTCGCCGGCGGCAAGCGCGTCCGCCCCGTCCTCTGCCTGGCCGCCTGCGAGATGGTCGGCGGCGACCAGTCCCTCGCCCTCCCCATGGCCTGCGCCACCGAGATGGTCCACACCATGTCCCTCATCCACGACGACCTCCCCTGCATGGACGACGACGACCTCCGCCGCGGCCTCCCCACCAGCCACAAGAAGTACGGCGAGGACACCGCCATCCTCGCCGGCGACGCCCTCCTCTCCCTCTCCTTCGAGCACGTCGCCGTCCGCACCCCGAGCACCGTCTCCCCGGACCGCGTGGTCCGGGCCATCGCCGAGCTCGGGTCCGCCGTCGGGTCCGCCGGCCTCGTAGCCGGCCAGATCGTCGACATCGCCAGCGAGGGCGACGTGGACGTAACCCTCGAGGTGAGCGCCCACATAAATAAATAAATAAATGTCACTTAATCACTCGATTAAGTGACATTTTGTTACAATATTGTCCGTACCACGACGTTTATTTTGTTGTTGACACTTATAAATTGTAATCCTACTAGGATCTGGAGTACATACACATTCACAAGACGGCAAGGCTGCTGGAGGCGGCCGTGGTTTGCGGCGCGATTCTCGGGGGCGCGGACGACGGGAGCGTGGAGAAGGTGAGGAGGTACGCGCTGCGCGTGGGGCTGCTGTTTCAGGTGGTGGATGATATTTTGGACGTGACCAGGTCGTCGGAGGAGCTGGGGAAGACGGCGGGGAAGGATCTGGCGAGTGATAAGGCCACGTATCCGAAGTTGTTGGGCCTGGATGGGGCCCGGAGGTTTGCTGCGGAGCTGGTGGGCCAGGCCTGTGAGGAGCTGGCCGGGTTTGATCCGGTTAAGGCCGCCCCGCTGTACCATTTCGCTAATTACATTGCGACCAGGCAGAACTAATTTTTTTATTGATTCCAGACTTTTGTTGTTTTCGTTTAATTGTATTAATCTGTCGACTGGTCGATACTCTGCCGGCCGGCCGGCCGGCCGGGGTTGATCTATCATTGGTTAAGTACCGATGATAATAATTAGATTTGTTTGTTTGTTGGTTGTATACTCCGCCATGGTTTTTTTGGCTGTTTTCATAATTAGAAGAGACAGGAGATATATAATGTACTATTTCATGACAATAATCTGGTCATCACAACTTCATTGATGGATTTCCTAATAATATACTTATCAAGAAATGTAATGTAATCAAAACTTAATCGTTGAACCTGATTAATCAATTTAAGTAGTAAGTAATTAGACTAGATTCTGGGGAGAGCAAATTGTGGGGATAGTCCAAACTTATTATGGGATCCATGCTGCTAGCTGGCTGCTCGGAGTAGGTGGCCTGGATGACATTTTTGACCGCTTTCTCTCTTTAATTATTAAATCATTCTTTTGTACGGCTGTTTAGTTATATATTTCTGTTGATTAACTACGCATGATCGGTTAGATTATTAGATCGCAGTCCCAAATGGTGGCAGCGCGACCTTGATTTCTGATTTAAAAGTCAGTCTGAGGTTTTAGGCGAACTAAAAGTTTATTATGTTGGCGTAATTATGGTTGTCTTACTCAGACCTCGATAGAGAAGCGAGCCACTACATTATGCTTCTTCGTACGTCATAAGATAAAATAGAGCGACGTGTCTATCGATAACCTATGTCGTCCGCAACGTAGTAGGCTAGTACATCTGAAAAGAAGATGCCTTCTTGAACAGGTGATCCCTTGAGATATTGAAGGATCCGCGATTAGCATCCATAATATAAAGTAATTAACATATAATTAGTGATTCTGCTCAATAGGAAAAGAAGAGGGGCACTCTATAATACAAAGTAATTAACCTAAGTACACCGAACACTTCCTATATTCATGGCTGGCTAGTCTTTGAGGGCTTTTGGTAAGAACTAGGGTTGGCCATTCGGTTATCGGTTGCCGGTTAACCGGCCGGTTAAACCGATAACCGGCGGTTACCGGTTAACCGGTAATCGAAAAACAATAGCTCGGGCGGTTGGCGGTAGAAGGATTGAGGTGGCCGGTTAACCGGCTAACCGAGGTGAATAACTGCCGGTTAAACCGACTAACCGGCGCTCTCACTCACCTCCTAAAACGACGCCGCGTCTCCTAAGGGCTAAATCCCTAAACCGACAAACCCAGTCCTATCGTCCTCACCATCGCGATTCGAGATTTCCAGTCTCCCTCTCCCTCACTCAGTCACTCACCCCGCCGCCGCCGCCCTCACTCTCCCAGCCGCCGCGCATCTCCCTCACTCTCTCCCTGCCGCGCGCCGCCGCCGGCCCTCTCACTCTCTCCCTGTCGCGCGGCTGCCCCTGCCGTCGCCGACCCTCTCCCTCACTCTCTCCCTGCGGCCGACGCCACCATCTCTGTCCCACCTCCTCGAAGCCAGTCGTCGCCAGCCCGCCATCCCGACGACAAGCTGATGTGAGTGAGACCTCCCACTCCAAGTCTCCAGTCAACGGTCTACCGAGTCAACATGCCCCCGGGCCCTTTCATCTCCACCAACCCTTGCGTCATCGTCCTGCTCGACGGGAAAAGCTTCCCCATCCTCTTCGATCTGTCGAAAGTCGAGAAGAAGGATCTCTTCACTGGAACCTACATGCCCTCCACGGATCTCACCGGCGGGTACCGAATCCTGTCCTACCTCGACCCCTCCGAATCCAATCACGCCAAGCTCAAGCAATTGCTCTTCAATTTGATCAAATCCCGTCGCGAATTCGTCATCCCCGAGTTCAATTCGGCCTTCACCGAGCTTTTCGAGGTGCTGGAGTACGATATCGCGACGAAAGGGAAAGCAGAGTTCGCCGACCCGAACGAGCAGGCCACTTTCAATTTCCTCTCGCGCGCCTTCTTCGGCGTGAGGCCGATCGACACAGCGTTGGGGAAGGACGCGCCGACGGTGATCTCGAAGTGGGTTCTGTTCAATCTCGCACCGATCCTCTCCGTCGGGCTGCCGAAGGAGGTCGAGGAAGCCACGCTCCACTCCGTCCGCCTCCCTTCCACGCTCGTACAGAAGGATTACAACCGCCTCTACGAGTTCTTCGGTTACTTCGGTTAACCGAGCAACTAACCGGTAACCGACCGGTCGGTTACCGGCTAACCGAAGGATTAGATCGGACGGTTGTCGGTAGGCTTTCTCCCTGGTGCGGTTAACCGATAACCGACATTTCGGTTATCGGTTATAACCGAACTAACTGAAATGCCAGCCCTATTGGCCGCGCCTACTAATTCCCCTGAATTAATAGGTCGACACTAAAGAAGAAGCTGGTCAGGTCAATAAAAAATGGTATTATTCTATACAATACCCAATGGAAATGGCAGAGTCAAGAACGTGGGTTGCATAGTTGCATGGGGAATATCTGATGTGCATCGGAATTCTTAAATTTATTTATTTATTTAGCATGGGAAGTGGAAGCAGATCTCATTTCTGCATTATGATAGATACCCAACACGAAGTCTATATATAAAACCAATATACGGGTAGAACATAATTTTTTTTGTATATTATGAGGACAGGTGTTTACACTCACTCAATGTTAATTCTAACTCCCGTTGATGGGAATATTTTGTAATTTGTATTGATGATTTGTTTTTTTAGAAAATGGGACGCTAGAAGGGCACCCTGCCTGGTACTTAAATTAAACGATCTTGGGTGATACCTATAGTGTCATACAGGATCCAAAAATTAAACGATCTTGGGTGATACCCATAGTGTCATACAGGATCCAAAAATTAAACGATCTTGGGTGATACCCATAGTGTCATACAGGATCCAAAAATTAAACGATCTTGGGTGATACCCAGAGTGGAAGGCAAAAAATGCACGATTTCCTCGAGAATAGCCCCCATCCGATTATCTCTAGTATCAGCCGAATAATCTTCTCAATAATCACTTTGGCATCGCCTTTGAACCGCAATTCCGTGAATCCGTGGCCCAGACACCAAAAGATAGCCTCCCAGAGCACGAGCAATTCAACCACCATAGTGTCATCAATCAACAGAATTTGAAACCCATTAACCATGAGGACTTCCCTAGCTGGATTCATAATGACCATCCCGCCTGCCGAATGAGACCCGCTTCTCGTAGCCCCCATCCCACATAAATCCACTATATTCGTCCCCCCGGGTCCAAGTGTTGCATCAAAGGGATGGACGGCTGAGGCACTCGATTTGCCGGCAAACTTACCCACTCATCATATTGCTCGTTAAATTGGCGCATCAAGGCCGATATCCCAAACTGTTTACCCAAAGACAACCCAGTTACGAGACCGTAAGATCCTCCATGGGATGGCAACCACCGCCATGAAAAGGAGATGGTTTATGTATTAATGACAACAACTTCTTTAGAAAAAGCGGAAAAGTATGACGAGGCAACCCTCGGCCCAGATACTCCATACCTGAAAAGTCCCAAAGGGCGCGCGGGCCACCAAACAATAAAGAAACAAGTGTTCCATTGTTTCTGTATCAGCCCAACAAATCGAACATTTGGGAAGCACAAGGACATTCTTCTCAAGATCTAATCCACTCAAAATCATGGGACTAAATCTGGTTATGCATCCTAGCTAGTCCAGACTCCAAAGGCTTTTATAATGACAGATATAATAAAAATGTTAACCCTTTCCTTCAATTTTTGTTTATTAGGGCCTCCATCATAGGTATATTAGTTAAGCCAATAGTATACATGTTGATTTTGTGTTGCATAATTAATTATTATAGGTATGATGATCGACATAAGTATGTGAATGAATACTATGAATAGTCATTGGTCAGACAACTATAGTACTGGAGCATACAATACTATATGAAATTTCTCTATTTAGACAATGAATTAAACCCAATTTGGAGTATGATGCTATCATGACCTCTAATGAATAAAGTTCAAGTCTTGATTCTTTAAACCCAACTTGATTATCAATTTAATAAAAAAAAAATCGATGATTTTGAGTCTTCAAAATGCAACAAAGTACATCCAGTGATTAAATCCTTTGGAGTACGGCATACTCAAGCATTGAGACATTTTATAGGTGGGGAGTGTCATCGTATCCATGATAAATTTGGAGGTACCGCATATCCGGTGTAAAAAAATGTTATCTAGACTTTGAATTGACCGAACATTGGAGTACAGTAGATGGTTCCCCAAGGTAAATCTAGAGTACCACATACCCTTGGTATGAAAATGGTATGTAGACCTCAAATTAATCAAAATTTGGGGCATGATATATATTCTAAATCATAGACCCTAAACACAAAGATGGTGCATATAATTTGTTGGATGTATTTTGACGAATCATGACCATCGATTATAGTTTCAAATTAAATAAATCTTAGCATGTGAGATTTATAAAATTAAGACCTAGCGTTTAAGCTTTAATTGTTATGGTACAATATCAAGTCTCAAAATCCGATCAACTCAACATTTAGATATCCTTTTTTTTACACAGGGTATGTCATATCTTTCGTTTTACTCAAGCAATCAATCATTTTGCGGAAGCAATCCATTTTTTACTCTTGACGGTCGACCGATTTCCTAAAGCGATTAACCAAATTCTCCGACTTGAGTCCCTCTATGTTATGTTTTAATTTATAGTTTTTGCCAAGTAATCAAATCTAAATAGGCAGCTTTGACTAAACAATCGACGGTAAGTGTAGAGAATTATCATCCCTCATTCCTTCGTGCTACGATCTATGGCCAATATGTCACGTTTTAAAGATCTGTGACCATTTTATTACCACTCCACACCCGGCAATTAAATTACACATTTCAGTCACCCATTTTATATATTAGTGCATGGAGCAAATTGAAGCGAAGTATTCAACACGAATTGTCAGCATCAATGCACCATAGTCCACGTTTGACAACACTTGCTAAATATTTCATACTCTCTCTCTCTCTCTCTCTCTCTCTCACCATTTATTGACAAACCGATGGCAGTTTCCACATCTGATGTCTCCTTCAACCAAAGACTTTCGGCCGCCAACCAGCAATAACATCTTCCTGCAGTGCCCGTGTTTTGACAAAGGAATCCATGGTGAAAATTGCCTGTAAAGAAACAGAATCCTTTAGCACGATCAACAAAAGGAAAATACAGAAACTGAAGTAACAAAGCCGCAATGATACAACAGAAATACAAGATTATCTTTCTGGAGTTTGGTCTCCCAAAATACCTGCATGTAAGACCTGACGTGAGGCAACGAGTCTGGAACAGACCAACTTTTATAATGACTCAAAGCAATCTCTAAATGATATAGCTTCGGGCCGAGGGACAGATCAGCTGCAGACACCTTTTCCCCGTTGATGTAAGGACCCTGCAGAAGTTAAATGGGTGTCAGATCCATTGCTGGACAACACCTTAAGCACCTCAGCAACCTGATTACGTTTCGGTTGCTTTCGTTATCCGGCGGCATGGGATTACCGCGGCCTAATGCTCTCCAGGCAATTAACCACCCATTCTAAGAGAAAAGGAAAGTCAACTCACATTGTCTTTGATATATTCGTCAAAAGAAGTTAGCTCATTCAGTAATGCCTGCTCTGTTCCATCTCCAGGGTCTTTGCTTTTAAGGAATCCAATGAAGGTGGAGAATATCTTTGAGCCACTGCATCAACAAAATTAGAACATCCTTTAGCAAACATAAATGGAGGTGAAAGGAACTGGCATGCGCAGCGTAGTCAAAATCCAAAGAACCATTAAGTGACACAATCTCGAGTTCAACAATAGAGATGGGATTCGTATTGCAGCTTAAGCAAACCACATACACATCATGGTAAATGTGAGGATAACATAGAGGCGAACATTTCAAAAGTAGAAACACGTCCATCAGATATAAGTTGATCATAAGTTTAAATGTCAACTGCATAGGGCATAAGACCATCTAAGTTCCAGAAATCGGATGAAGTTGTACATTATCTTGAAACTACAGAAAGAGATCAAACCGTCACTTGTTTGAACTCAACCACCCATTGAACTGATGCCTGACTTTCAGAATTTCCACAGTTCAATGAAGGTAGAGAGACAACTATAATTCCTCCATTCCAGTTCTCAACTAACTTCGTCGACCACAAAGACTTCTTTCAACAAACAGTTCAAAAGCAAAATGAATGAAAAACAGAATAAGAGTGCTAATTAGGTTTTCAGAAATCATCAACTAACACTCATATCAAACAGGCCTTCAATTTACTGAAACAGTGCTAGATTATGACTTTGAACGCTAGGCATCGAAAAGGGTACTTCTAACAACTGGAAATGGTACTTACACAGAAGATTTCTCAGGTGGTGCTGCCAATGGTGGATCAGGGAATTTCTCTTCTAACGACTGGGTAATTACATCTGAATCCGGAACCCATTTATCGTCGAAGTTTACCACAGGGACTTTACCCTCTGGACTTAGCTTCAAGAACCTACAGAACAACAGAAACAGAATGAACATAGTTCACTGCCTATTACGAATCAGATACCCAATAAAACAAATGTTCCATCATTCTACTCAGGTTCCAGTAAATTAGTTTCTCAAGCTCACTATACTACCATTTTGTTTCCTACGCTCTATAAAAAAGTCGCATAGGAAGACTTCAAACCATTCTGGCGCAAGGAACAAGAAATGGATTCAAGCAATCACCATTCTGGCTTGTTGCTCAAATCTACCAACTTCATGTCATAAGGAAGATTCTTTTCCTCCATGGTCAGCAATACCCTCTGACAGAATGGGCCTACAAAAAAAAAAAGTTCAGAACTTTCAATTCAATTGCTGAAACTCAAAGGTCCCCTCAAATATAACTTGCGCTCAAATGCTTGAATTCCGGCACAGCTACTAGTATATATACACTAATCGCGATAACGTCGGAGCGAAATCGACTTACAGTCGCCAAGCTTGTCCGGCACGGTGATGGACGCCTTCACGCAGACTTGGAGAGGGTTCGACGCTACAGTAGACATAGCTACGGTGAGGGTTCTCCGAATTCCGCATCGTCTGGAAACGACCGGAGTGGCGGTGGCGGGAAAAGGGAACTTGAAGCTGAAGCTGTGTTTGACGGTGGAGGAGAGCGCAGAGGCAGCTGCAGCGGCCACCGACGGTTGGATTCTGGCTGACGACATCTTCGGTCAGATAAGCCGAGCTTTCGAGCTGCTGCTCGGGGGAATGATTTTGCGTTCGGAAATCAGAGATGGGGAAAGGCGCCACATTTTGGGCCGGATTACAGTGTGTTACTGTCCACACAGTACTGGGCCGGATTGTCTTTGTTGCTGTCCATAGTACTGGGCCGGATCGTCTTGTTGATGTCCGCAGGCCTACGTTCATGACCTAGAAAATACTAATTCTTGGACCATCAGGTTAAGACAAGGCAGGGGACAAGAGGGCTAAGGTGGGGTTTGGGTTCAAGGACGAGGCATCGATTAGAGGCAAGGTTGTCAACCCGCGGGCCAATTCACTTTGACCCTGATCCAGTAAGAAAAATGGGTCAAACGCACTCGTCGAGTCGACCGCTACAAGGTACCGGGTTGGAGGTCAAATTGTGTCATTTTTTTTCTTTGGTTTATGAAATGCGTTTATTTAGCGATTTTTTTCCGCCTAACTCAATCTTTGGAAACCTTAGTTGAACATTTGAATATTAATGTTATATAAGTGTGTGTGAATTTTCACTATATGTTGGATCTAAGTACGACATGTTACTTTGGTGCAACGTTATATGTTATTACTCATATGTTAGATGAGATTTGATATAATTTATGAGGATAAGTACAATATAATGACTCTTCTCATATTTACGGGCTAAAACGGGTAACCCGTTAACCCTTGACCCACTAGCTCGACCGTGTACGGGTCAACCCGCGGGGTTGACAACCTTGATTAGAGGACTTTGTCGATGTTGAAAATGCTGACGGGCAAAACAACAAACAATGTCAAAGAAGATGTCAACACCAACCTCCCTCTGTGTAAATGTTAACCGCGAGGTGCAGTTCGATTCATCTACGAGAATATCATTTTTCAACTTTCTCCATGCAGCCTTCGAAAATTAATCCAATCCAGTAACTCGAGTTGTCTGGACCTATATTCAAATAATAAATCGTTTTTTCGGCTTTCTCCTTGACACTTGTTTAGACCCTTCCCTCCATATCAGAAGCAAGCAAATAATTGAGGTGAGAAGCTGGAAAAGGTGAGATGAAATGGATCTCAGAGTTTATCACATGTTCTTCTTCTTCTTCTTCTTCATCGTCGATCATGGTGGGTGCCCAAAGGAATCTGAAAGCAGGTGAGGAGAGACGGTACATATATAATACATACAAGGAAAGCACATGAAAGAGGAGATTTCATGGTCCTACAAATGGAACATGCATATCTCTTGATGTGCTTTCAAAAGACTCGGGATTTAGGTAAGAGTACTGAAAGATGGATGCCTGACATGTCTATTTCTTTGTTTACCCCTAAGAATATATTTATTTTTCTTCCTTTTTCTATTGCATTGACTATTTATGAATCAAATTGTGTAATTGCCAATTGGCTAGCCAATAGCTAAATAATCGCAGTTGAATTTGTGGTTGCAAAAATATTTATAAAATGAAGTATATGTTATAAGTGATTATTCGTCTATCAATACTAATACTATATATCTCTCTTTGAGGGTGTTGTTTGGATAGGGGGGTTTAGAGTTGGTATTTGAGATTTGGAATTCCAAATACTGAAGTGTTTTGTTTGGATACTAATTAAATATGGTATTTGGATTTGTACCAGATACATGAGTGAATTTCAAATACAATTATTGGTAAATTTCAAATATACATCAATAATTAGTGATTTGAAATTTCTAATAACAACAATGTAGAGCATCTAATTATATAAAACTCATATATCATGTTGTATGAATCTCATAAAATATATATATGGGCACATTTAATTAAAGTACTGTAAGGTAAAAAGTAACTTTGATTAAAGAACCTTTGATGAGATGGTCAGTATTTTAGTCAATAATAAAGTAATTTTGTTCAAACTCTATTATAGAAGGCTAACATAATATGTTTTGTGATACATAAGAAATACCCAAATTTACGTTGTCAAACCGGTTGAAATTGTATACTTTAGTTTCGCAAGTGATATGGTCTGATCGGTGTATAACAGATCTATATACATTTTTGTGTTCATTTTAACACAGCATGGAAGAAATATGCAAAATCATTAACACCAAATGAACTGTGCACATATATCATCTTACGTTCGTGTTTAAATAAATAGCACATTACAAACAAAATTACAAATCATCATATTTGATCGTAGTATTTAACGTCAACATCCAAACGTTTATACTTGAATCCAACAAATAACATCAACATCTAAATGTTCATAGTTAAATCCAAAAAATTCCTTTCTTTTTGTTAATTCTTCAATAAAAAAAAGACATCATTTTGTTTATAAACCAAAATTTATCATTCCGATCGAACCATTAATTTTTTTTATTTAATCGATTTTGACTACCACTTCTTACCAGCGATCTTCTACCCGGTTTGTCTCCCAAACTTGTTGAATCCGGTTGTGCCGACCGGTATATCAGTTGTTTGATAACCATGTTATTATCCCTATTTTTAATAAGAAGGAGTTATTTTAAGTTTTCTTATATATAATAATAACAATAATAATTTTTAATTTTTATCAGTCTCTAATAATTCTTTTTGTTGCTTAGTTATGAATTTACCATCATCGAAGAGAACTTGTTTTGTATCAGTTCTGCGTTGCTTAATATCTTGGGCCTGTGAACACGTTATGATGTAAGTGCATGTGACAGTAGCTTGGACTGCCGTTGGACAGGTAGATGATAGTTTTGTTAATATGATTATTAATCCCAGCCTGTTTGAATTATTGTTTTTTATTTACAAATTTGAGCAAAGAATCTTTACTTCGTATTCTGAGAAAAATATAAGTCCGACAATGTTTCATACAATACATAATGTCGGAGACTCGGATATGACATGTCAAAATTATGAAATAAACGCTAAAAATTAGTTTGGTTACTACAAGTTAAACAATCGGCTAAAAATTTGACATCGTGAAGTATATGTAAACGGTACATTTTTGGCCCTAAAGAAATGATGGAATGGAGGATTACTTAAATAAATAAAATTTAGCGGACACTTCTAAACCTATCATCCAGCCTCTTGTACACCAAATGTGTATATTACCAAAGAGAGCAACATGAATTCCCAACTCTGCTCATTAATAAAATGAAAATAATTAGGTCCAAATTCATCGAGAGAAAAGATAACAAATACAGCGACAAGACCTAAAAGAAAGGACTAGAAACTTTTTGGATTGTCCTTACTAAGGGTTTGCAATGATTCTGTCCGGTTCGGATCCAAGCAAACTCATTAGAACCACGGTTCAGAGGTGAAAGATATTTTAGAGGTAAGGATCCGACCATCATTACATCTTATCCCGATTTGGTTCGACTTTGGACTTGTTCAGCTGTTAATTCGGTCAACTTTTCTTTAGTATTTAACTAGTTATAAAATACATGTACCCAAAGATCGGACAACATTATATTTGTTTTTTATATGGTCTCGTCCAAACATCAATTTAGTCTCGGTACGAATCAAACCGTTGCACACCTTAGTGTTACTAATGGCAACTCATAAATTCCTTTCATACGCAAGTTATATATCCCATCTATATTTCAATAATTAAAACAAGTAATTGTTAGTTTTACTAAGATGAATAAATGCCTAAATTGTCAACAACAACAAAAAAATGATGAATACGTCCTATAATGCGACGACAAAAAAGTTTTCCTAGCCATCAACGATTGTTAACCATTGGTTTTTGTTACCACAATTATTTGGAAAGTCGTTTTCATTATCCGAATTGTAAAGGAAATGAACAGAAATTCGTGTCGTGATATTAACTAGAGGCATATTGTGCTTGGATTTTGACAATAACAGCAGGCTAGGAATTGCTTCAATGAGCACACCAACACCTGTCATTCCCAATGATTGATTAATATATTGCATATATCTCACAGCAGAGAATTGGTCAAATTATTCCAAAATCGAAAAGCTTTCTCACCAGTTAAATTTTCTGATTTTTAGTGAGAAACTAGGTCTTGGATACATCAAAGAATGGGATTTTAATAGTAAAAATAAATCTTCTCGATTACCAAAAAGAAAATCTTCTCCATTAAAATTGTTATTTTTTTCCCTGAAGTAGAAGGTAGTGCCGGTAAGTACTAGAGATTTCGATCTGTGTGACTTAATAAGTTCCCGAAGATACCAAAGTTAGTAGCGGGTTATGTAAGAATAGGATCATTTCGTAACAAGTAGAATAGTTAGCATAGTAAGTTAGTAACTAGGAATTACCGAATTAGGTAGTTAATTGAGGTGTTTACCCCTAAAAAATAACTGGTACCATTGATTAATTACAAAACACTTAATAATTTTACAAGACCAGGTCAACATTAAACATTAAATGAGATACCGGCTTAATGAGACTCCAAAAAAGTAAGTATAGAGATTAATCTGGAAGGGTACCAATCAGATGAGACGGAGGTGACAAGGTGGCCAATAGGCAGTCAACGTACCAACTTGACGAGCTCTAAAAAGTAAAAACTAAAATTCGTAGACCAAGCCGACGAGACACGTTTGGTAGCAAGGCGGCAGGGTACCAAATAGGGACCTATTCAAAATCTAAGTTTGGAGACCACCTGAGGTAGCGAGCCGATGGGGTACCAAGCCAGCAAGAGCGAAGACAATGATGTATCAAATTACCAAACCTCCCAAAAACTAAGTATGGAATGGAACATGGTACAGATGAGACGGGCTTGGTGGGGCGACAAGGTACCTACTACAGAATTATTTGCCAAGACGGCTTTGTGGGAAGCTGACAAGGTACCAAACCGGCAGCGCAATCATTGGCTTTTCAAGACTAAGTATGAAATCTCGAGAGTGACGACTGGTTAAACAAGGTATCAACCCGACGAGATGGACAAACACGCTTGGCACCAAGACCAGCTTCCCAAGACTAAGTGTGGGGCCTTGGTTGGGATATGAGCTAAGTTCTCGTCCTGTCAAGGTGGACGATGGGCTAACATCCTGCTAGGGTGAACTAGTCCTCTTGGGTCTCTAGTTGGTGGTTAAACCTGGCATTTGGTCCATGGGGCGGAGGAGCTGGCATGGGGATCTCTAGTTGAAGGTCTTCGATGGATGCTTGAGGGGTTGGCTATTTGTATAAAAAAAATCGATTTTGGGGGCATTTAGAGCATCGGGATTCCATTACGAGTGAGGTTTTTTACGCTAGGTTTTTTTCCCCGTCTTTTACTCTAGGCCTCATGGTGGGCGCTAATCAATTATGTCAAGGTTGCAGTCGAACTGATTTTTTTATGTTGGGCACCAGAGTCAGTCGACAACCATCTTTTACCATGAACTACTCTTGGCCTATCATCTCCGATTGTCTCCTACAAAATGTCAAAAAGGACTCGTTGGCTTATCTCAATTGGATCACTCTCTAACACTTAAATTAGAGAGTGGTTATGGATAAGAGGAATATGGACTCGAAAATAAACATAAGGGGGAATGGAAATGAAAAGGAATGTATTCGCTAATCATAGCAGGAGTTCATGAGTCAATGTTTTTCTGTGTACCTTTACCTAGAAATTTGATGGCATTTATCGTGATTGTCGGGCGATCGTAAAAAGGTATGTGTCTTCCTCTGGTGGCTCGAGGGGTAATGGAAGGACCAGTTATGGGACTACGTGACCCCAAGGTGGCTAACTTGGGCCGGGGCACCCAGGGTGCTTGACCCTATGGGTGTTAGGTGATTTGGCCCAAAGGGTGACCATAGTGATCGGATGACTGACCTCATGAGTGACAAGTTTTACTCGGGGTCATCCTCCCCTAAACTATTTAATTTCCGTTATATAAAATATTAAAAATAATTTGAACGTAGACAAAATGGTTTGTGTTGGTCATCTTATTTGTAACTGACAAGGGCTAAGTTTGAGCCAGACAACATCCAAAATTCTAATGGTTTCATAAATCAACATCACTACTTACTTACCTCCATCATCATCGTTGTTATCTTAATTACACTTTTATATAAAAGAGAATTTGATCTAACTCATACATTATATAACTATATTTTATTTTAGGTAAATCGTAGTCACCGTTGTTATTGAAATAAATTTTTGAACAAGGTTTGGACAATTATTATTTTTGGAGTGTTTTTTCCAAGAATCTATTGAAATATTTTCTTCATGACCTTACAATTTTTGAACATTGTGCTAAAATCGATTTCAACTTTTACCTTAATTATATTTTGATAGCAATAGAATGTGTAATTTAATCCATAAATAATGTAAGTGTATTCAGTGACGGAGCCAGCTCACTCCCCCTAAAATTTAAAAAATTCCATAATATCCAAACATGTTCCACAATCTGAATTAGTCCAAATGGTTAGAATGTTGGACCTTTGTATTTTATTAACCATTAGCCTGGATTCTCAGGAAGATTACAAGTTTTTACTCCTTTTTATATCAATTTCACTTCCTCCCCATTGGTCAGGGTTCGATCCAGAAAGCTGCCAAGTTTTTACTCCTTTTCTTATACCACTTCCATTTCCTCCTTACACCCCGTCATTTTTACTTAAATATAGCTAGAAAACCCCATCATTATGGTTATCTTAATTACATTTGATGAAGAAAATGTTTCATCATAAATTATGTCATGATTCTTTATTTTTTGTAGGCAACCGTACTTATTTGTACAAATTTCAAACAAATAATTGCTTTAGCATTTTTTTAGAACATATTGAAATATTTTTCTCGTGGACTTATAGAACGTTTTGCTAAATCAATTTCAATTTTTTATTACATTGCATCTCCTTGTGATCGTAATTGTATTTTGATTACAATAAAAGGTGGAATATAATCCATGAACCTTTAATCACCTATTATTTTTCATAGTTAGATTGTCGATTATTTGTGTAAATATATAAAAAAAAAGTTGTCAATTAATTATGTTTCTTCATTATGTCATGGGGAAAATTTTCGTCAATATACAACAGGAAAAAAAAATCGTCGCCTCCCCCCCCCCCCTAATTTTAAATCCTCGCTCCGTCCCTGAGTGTATTGTATTTTTCTGATTAAAATGTCATTTATTTGAATAAATGTATGAACAAAATTAACTAAACTATCAATTAATTTATGTTTCTTCAATTTTTCATGAGGAAAAAAAATTTGACCGCCCCCCTTACTTTAAATCCTAGTTATTCTCATCTTTGAAAGTGGTTGAAGTAACCCTAAGATAATTGACAACAACTGTCGAGTACAGTATGTTGGCCGCTATTTTTACTAAATAAAACCTTTTATTTTGGCTCCACCAACATCAAAGATTAACCTCATACATCATTAGAAGACAGTAAGAGACGTCAAAGGTAACATAGTCTAGCGGTGAAACCATTGGTTTGGTTGCTCAGGAAGTGGGAGGTCCTGAGTTCGATTGCCAATGGCACCGCTTGTGTGATCCTGGAGGCATCCTTGGTACTGGAGACTAGGCCCCGCTGACACTAATGTGGCATGTGGAGTTGAGGTTCCCGGGTTATAAAAAAAAAACAGTTTGAGACAAATTATATAGGTAAAACTCCCGTTTAGTATCATTTTGTTGCTGTTGTGGTTGCAGTGGTGTTGTGTAAACAGATGTACAACCACAACAGAAAAAAAAAACAGAAAACACAAACCTGTTTAGTTGATAAATCTGAAAAATCATAAAAGCTGGCAACAAGAAACAAAAACGTGTTTAGTTACTACTATAAGAACTAAAACCCAGAAAAGAGAGTTGTCCTCAATATTAGGCACTGCGAATGATGCGGCGGCGGGGAGGGGAAAGGGAGGCGGTGACGCAGAGTCGAGCGGGGCGTCTGCTGGTGCGGCAGGAGGGTGGTCGCGGCGAGAGGGGAAAGGGAGCCGGCGAGAGGGTGGTCGCGCGGGGAGGGGAAAGGGAGGCGGCGATGCCTGGCCGGGCGGGGCGCCTGCTGGAGCGGCGGGAAGGTCATCGCGCGGAAGGGGAAAGGGTGTCGGCGAGAGGTTGGTCGCGCGGGGGCTTCTGCTGGTGGCGGCGGCCGGTGCGCGGGGTGGGGAAAGGGAGGCGGCGGGAGGGTGGGTGAGAGGTTGCGACGAGGCGGCTGGGGGAAAGGGTAGAGGGTAGAGGGTTTGGGGGTGAGCTGCTGGGCGTAGGGTTTGGGAGAAAATGAGAGGGTAGAGGGTTTGGGGGTAAAAAAAAAAGATGAAATTTTGGTTGAGGTGGGATTCGAACTGTGGGTTGGTTTAATGAAAACAGGCCCTCAACCAGTAGGAAACCCGTGTAAAACAACTACAAGAATCAGATCCAAAGCAATAAATTGTTGTTTCTCTAATTTGGGCACTGTTGTGCAAATCTGATTCACAACCACCACAGAAAAAAAAAACAGAAAACACAAACCTGTTTAGTTGATAAATCTGAAAAATCATAAAAGCTGGTAACAAGAAACAAAAACGTGTTTAGTTACTACTATAAGAACTAAAACCCAGAAAAGAGAGTTGTCCTCAATATTAGGCACTGCGAATGATGCGGCGGCGGGGAGGGGAAAGGGAGGCGGTGACGCAGAGTCGAGCGGGGCGTCTGCTGGTGCGGCAGGAGGGTGGTCGCGGCGAGAGGGGAAAGGGAGCCGGCGAGAGGGTGGTCGCGCGGGGAGGGGAAAGGGAGGCGGCGATGCCTGGCCGGGCGGGGCGCCTGCTGGAGCGGCGGGAAGGTCGTCGCGGCGGAAGGGGAAAGGGTGTCGGCGAGAGGTTGGTCGCGCGGGGGCTTCTGCTGGTGGCGGCGGCCGGTGCGCGGGGTGGGGAAAGGGAGGCGGCGGGAGGGTGGGTGAGAGGTTGCGACGAGGCGGCTGGGGGAAAGGGTAGAGGGTAGAGGGTTTGGGGGTGAGCTGCTGGGCGTAGGGTTTGGGAGAAAATGAGAGGGTAGAGGGTTTGGGGGTAAAAAAAAAAAAGATGAAATTTTGGTTGAGGTGGGATTCGAACTGTGGGTTGGTTTAATGAAAACAGGCCCTCAACCAGTAGGAAACCCGTGTAAAACAACTACAAGAATCAGATCCAAAGCAATAAATTGTTGTTTCTCTAATTTGGGCACTGTTGTGCAAATCTGATTCACAACAAAAAATAGAAACCCAACTAAACATGTTTTTTTCCCCCTTGGTTTCACCAATCTTTAAAAACACAATAGGAAACAAAAACAGACAACAATACTAAACGGGGCTTAACCATAATGAAAAGATTGCTACAGGAGGTAAAACTAACCATAATGAAAAGATTGCAGGTTAGCTTGAAAAATAATAACTTTGGAAGAGCAAGAGCTGTCGAGTCCTTTTCATGACCTTTTCATTATTTCTATCAGAGAGCGGTAGAGTATTTTATATTAATAAAATTGTCTATCAGTTGAATTGAATTTTGATAAAAAAGATCTATGGAAATGTTTTTTTTTATGGTTAATCAAAAATTGACATTAAGCACTAGGGTTTGCAACCTGCAAATACCCCTTCTCCAACTACAAAGTTTTCAATAGAACTCTAACTCTATTACATGACTAGAAATCAAGCTATATATGGAAGAACTGAACTGACTAACTGCAGGTTGTTCTGGACAAATAATCGGACCTCCTCTGTGCTCTGCTTGACAATTTGGTGAGGCAGTCTAATAATTTTAGTACCATATATTTTCTGACATCATTCTCTCCAAATGTAGTTCAATAAAATCAACCAGCACATCCTTCCCAGCTTGGCTCTATCCGACTTCCTTGTCCAGTGTCCTTTCGCCCATGCGAGATGAGCTTCCCATGACATATGAACTGGTACTGGAGTTATCCTCCGTAACATGGAGGAAATCACACTTGCTATAAGAACAATCAACAAACAAATGGTCCCTCGTTTACTCTCCACCAGGGCACAACACACAACTCCTATCAACCATTGTCCCCCAATTCACTAGCTTGTCTTTTGTGACGCTTCTATCCCAAATAATAAGCCAAACAAGAAAACTATGCTTTGGTATGTACGGCTTCCCCCCACAGCTTCACTCCAGTCAAATATAGGGAAAGTAGGGCGGATTGATTTCCAGACAAATTTAACAGAGTAACGAGCAAGATTCTTATCATCCCATGCCAATGCAGCTCCTGCTCCAGACAGATAAGGTTGAGCCTGACTTCTGCACTTCAAGATACGACGCCAAATCCAGGAACCTGAGGATGTCCCAGACAAATTCCAAATTGATTGATTCATAACTTTGTATTTAAGAATCCAAGCCACCCATAGAGAACCTGCCTCTGCAAGTAGATTCCAGAGATGATGTATTACATACGCTTTATTCCGTGATTTGAATTCCTTGATGCCTAGACCCCCCTTCTGCCTTGAGCCTAACCACCTTCTCCCAAGAAACCAATGCTCGTTTTCTCTTTTACAGACCCCCTGCTCCCCATAAGAATATGTTACAGATCATTTTCACCTCCTTCAATACCTTCATTGGTAGTAAAAATAGGCCATCCAGTATTGCATTGTGTTGGTGATTACAGAAGAAATAAGCTGCATCCTGCATAACTCAAAAGATGTGTTTGCCATGTTGTTATTCTGGCTGTTATCTGATCCACCAACAACTTGCAGTCATGAGATGAAAGCTTTCCAGTGATAAGAGGGACCCCAAGATATCTTACAGGCAGCTCACCTAATGAAAACCCCGTTACCCTCGAAATCATACTCTTTTCTTCATCTGATATCCCCGCACAAAACAGTTGGCACTTCTCAACATTACACCTTAAACCAGAGTCTCTATAAAAACCATAAAGCAACCTTCTAATTCTATGGAAATGTTGATACGATACAATTTTGTAAACATTGATATTAAACACCTTTTACAATAAGTTTTTTTTCACTCGGTTTAACCTGTTGGGCCAATGAGCAAGATCAAATCTCATCTAACATATGAGTAATAACATATAACATACCAAAGTAATAGTTCGTAGTTGGATCCAACATATGATAAAATTCATACTACTCTCATATTACATCAATATTCAAATGTTTAGCTAAGAAATAAAAAAAATAGAATTAGACAAAGAAGAAAAAAAACCCCGAAAAAGATGCCCATTCGCAAATCAAAGAAAAAAGCGACTCTAGTTCGAGATTGTTGTTGCAGGCCGACAAATAGGTGTGTGGTGCTCGTATTCCTCCCCTCCTCCAGGTAAAATCGGATATGTAGACTTGCAGGTTGACAACCTTGCGTTTTACAATCAAAATATATTTGCATGACAAAAGAAAATAAAAATAGTTATAAAAAAAAACAACGGATGGATGGATATGCCATTTTTTAAAAAGGGGGAAAATGAAGGACGGGAAATGGGAAAGATGAAAGGAATCTCAGGACCACGTGGCAAATTCACATGACGATGGGCCAGCATGAGAGAGAGTTGAAGCTGTCAGTACTTGGGCCTCTGCTCCTCTTCTCCCCATTTCTCCACCTTTTCTTTTTATTTTTGAAATTTCCCCTGGAATTAAAACGATTCCAAGGCCTATAAGACCGATAAATAAATTGTTTTAAAAAATTTAGGTTTACAGAAAGAAAATAATAATATGTAAATATATTATTTTTTTTTATAAAAATGATATAGGTTTACTCTTCGTAGGTACTATTTAATAGATTCGAATTTGAAAACTTCAAGTGCAACACTAATGAAATAATGATATTATCACTAGAACACGCCATAGTTCGTAACATGTAATTAAAGCTTTGATATTCATTTTCCATGGCAGAACAAAAGAGTGAAAACAACAGGCAGTCATTCTACCATAATTCATCCCCAAATTGAAAAAGAAAAATAGTCACATATTAATGATATTATTCTCCTCCGCCGGCCTTTACAAAATAATTATTAATTACAAAAACAGGCACCAACCAAACGGGAAAATGGGGAGATCCGTAAAAGAGGAAACGGCGTTAACATGGGGAAGCCTTTCATTTTGACGTGGGTCCCCGTTACCGTAAGCGGAGCAGGGTGTGGTGGTCCAAATATCGAGGTCGACGTCTGAATGTGGGGCCGTCCATCTCATCTCCAACTCCCACCCATCTTACTATACCAATGGCGGGGTCCCCCCTCTTCCCTTCATGTAGGTCTTCCAAGAATACCGATTCGGAGGCTGTATCGGAAAAATTAGCGAGTATTCTATACTAAAATCGTGGTTTAATGATGAATCAACCGTTTTATATCGCTAAATAACGTTTGCTGGTTTAGTCTATTGTAGGAGATTTTTTAAGGCTGAACCGTCGGTACGGTACTGTATTTCAATCCTTGAGGTCTTCTGATGAAATAAAATGAGTCGTGTTGAGTCGAGTTTAGTCGAGTTTTGCTTTGTTCGGGTTTGGTTTGTTGATAAACGAAGCGAACGTTTATTAACGAGCTAGTCGAGTCGACTTTGATACGACTTATTTTGTTAAGAGTTTGCCTCGATAGTTTCTTTTCAGTTAATTACTTGGACTATTGACCGTTTCTCTTTATGACAATATAACTTTGCTAGGACTATAAACGTTGAAATACCGCCTACTGTGGTTTAGCCTCTAGTAGGAGATTTTTTTAAGGTTGAAATGTCGGTATGGTACGGTATTTCAGTCCTTGAGGTCTTCTAATGAAATGAAATGAGTCGTGCCGAGTCGAGTTTTGCTTTGTTCGGGTTTGGTTTGTTAATAAACGAGGTGAATTCGTACTAGACTCGTTTATCAACGAGTTGGTCGAGTCGGCTTCGATACGACATATTTGTTAAAGCATTGACTCGTTATTAAGATCACGAGTTTGCCTCGATAGTTTGTTTTCGGTTAATTATTTGGACTATAACCGTTTCTCTTTATGACAATATAACTTTGCTGCACTCTAAAAATCACGATTAGAATGACCAAATTACACAATGGAAATTGTGTACACAACAATGCAAAACCCAAATGTTTTGGTAGAGAGCAAATCATGCTGAAAAAAAGGATAAAAACAAAGACAGGCAAGAAACAGATTAATCGAATTCGAACTATTATTTCTATGATTATTCCTCTTATCAGTTATTATATATGTTTTCCTAGCTTGAAACCTTGTTCTGATCTTGGTAGTGATCAGATTGATAATAATGATTACTATTATTATTTGATAAGCATTTTTTTAATTTTGTGGTAGCCGGCCGCATTCTAAACTTTTGTGTCTGACAACCAACAAGATTTGGCATTTGAGAGGAGTGTATTTGCATCTAAACACCAATTATTAATTAAGTATTAACAGTAAAATACGGAAGAAGAAGAGAAAGAACCTCACGAGGAGCGATTATTTATATATATAATGCCTGACTCATTGTCTGATCGAGGTGTGTTCGTGAAAGTAGGAATGCAATTCCACTTGATCTATTTAACTAGATTTGTGTAACTTGTTTTCTGTGGGCGAGCATGTGCTCTGATCCGTCCTTATTAGTGTTCTATTTTTTGTTAAATAAATTTAATTTTACTCAAATTGTTTATGATTTTACTTTTATTATTTCATATATTTTGAGCTATAATGAAGTTGTAAACCGTTGAGAACCTCAATTTCATGAATAATTTAAGTACATTTATCATATAATAGTTTTGTTTCAAAGCTTGTTAACAAAAAAATTAATATTTATAATATTTTTTTCATATAAATTACATACCAATATAAATCGACCTGTTCTGACCCGCACTCCATAATAAATTACTCGCCCTGCCACAGATTGAGTATGAGTATAAGATACCTGCCTCTAAACCTACTCCATTGACATTCCTACGTGAAGGACTGATCGATGACTGGACCCTTCCTCTCATCATAGCAAATCAAATAACGTAAAAAAAAAAATCTATGACGTAATAATAATGATAATAATTTTTCTAGAAAATCTTCTCACAGTAATTCGGAGAAAATTTTACAATGCTCATAGCATCAATATTTTAAGATACAACTCAAATTTGTACAAAATATTATACGTACAAATTGAATTTGATTTTTTTTCACATCATTAAATATAAAAGTACACTTTATATCATAACAAAATTTCGATTTTGAAAACAAAATCACCCCAATCCTTATTAGCGCAAATGGTAGACCTCGAGTTCTTTCAAAGGTAGAGTCCCGTGGCCTCCGAATGTGTGTCAACATACCTATAAAGAGCTCACTGAATGGAATTCGTGTCCGAGGTCCCCACCTCCCCTGCCTTCCCTTCCTACTTAGCTCAGGGGAACCCAGTCTCATACGAATCCACCGCCAAGTAATCAGTCTTTGATGATTCACTATGATGGGTCGTTCATTAGCGACTCCCAGCCGGCGGCATATGGTGTTGTGGTTGTTAACCACCATGGACAAGTGTGTGATGGGAGAGCTGAGGATCTTCTTTGTTCCACCCCAATTGAAGCGGGAACTAAGGCCCTTCTCGAAGGAGTGAAATTAGCTCAAGAATATGGATCCGAGTGTACGGTTCAATCCGACTGCCAGGTGCTGGTGAAAGCTTTGGACAACGATCGCTCTCGATGGCCTTGGAGGTGTGCAGCCTGGATCGGTTCGATTGTTTCTATCCTTCAGACAAACCCTCTCATCAAAATCAAAGAAGTGCTCAGAACACTTAATGTCAGAGCGGACTGAGTTGCACGTTCTAAAGCTAGAGCGTCTCTGCCTGATAATTGGATTAATATTCTTGATCTCATTTCTGATCTTCTTTAAAGAATTGTGACCGAGTTTCTCAGCTTTCATTTGATTTGTGGAATAAAAGTTGGTAGAGCCCTTCTACTATGCTATATAGTATTGGTGCTTTAATGTACAACTCAAAGTTGTATCATAACATTAAATGTATAAGTTTAGGTTGTACCATAAAGCAATTTGTACCATTACGTTATGGTACAACTTTACAACTTGAAGTTGTACCATCACATAAAGGTACAAGTTCAAGTTGTACCATAAAAGAATTTGTACAAAAAGTATAGGTACAATCTAAAATTGTATCATAACATAAATGTACAAATTTAAGTTGTACTATAAAGACAAAAACCTATAGCACCAATACTATATAGTATTGTAAAATTTCTCAAGTCGGTACCCTTTGTAAAAAAAGAGTTTGCCATGGTTTAAGAATCATATATTAAAAAAAGAGATTGTTTGTGGTCCGTATGGGATATTTTTGAGATGAGAAGAAGAGGGGTAATAATTTATATTCCCGTTTCGTGTTGGGAGAGTCGCCCACACGTGCTGCGAGATGGACACCCACGTGGCGAGGGGGGAACACTAACTGAGCTGCGATTGGCGACTGTCCCCTACTTGCGGCAGCCAGCGCGTGGTTCCGCTACTCTCTCATCTGCTCCTCTTCTTCAGTAAAAGTTGACTCCTCTTTCTCTCTCTCTGTCTGTCTCCGTCCAGGGGTGGTGGGATCCGCGTTCATGTGATCGTTCATGTGCTGTGTTTTTGCGTTTTTTGCCCATCCCATCCCCACTTTTCCGTTCTCTCACTCCGTTAACCAAATAATAATAATAATAATAATAAATAATGAAAAAGACGTTGCTGTCCGAAACAGTAACCTTTTTGCGCTTCAGTCTCTCTCTCTCTCTCTGGTGATTCAGAAAGATTTCGTTCGACCGAATTAGTATGAGAGGAGACCACATTGCTCACTGTCTATCCTGCAATGGCTTGGGACTTGGGCCCAATGTTTCTTTTCTCAATGCTAAATCTGAATCTCATCTCCTCCTCCTGCAGCAGCAGCAGCCCAGCAATCCGGCTATTCTTCTACTAACAACACTCTCTCTCCCATCCGGCTATAATTAACATAATATAATGTAATTATGCAACCACTCGACATGAGTAATGACACGATATTCAGCCTCGGTGTTGGATGGTGCAAAAAGAGATAGATCGACCCGAGCGACAAAGGAGGAGCCGTTGAGACCGAGTGCCATGAAGATAGCGTAACAGACGCTTAACAGACTGTCGGTGATGTCTTGTATAGGAGCATGCATGGGATGATATAGTTTATTAACGATATAGGCTATGGCAGGACGAGTGTTGTCGGCTAACTTGAGAGTGGCCGAGGCAGGGTGGAGATGGGTGGAAACTGGGGGCGACTTCCGAAATATTCGAACCGAGCAAGAAGGTCACCAACATATACTTGCGTTGCGAGACAGTGAGAGAACAAACCCAACCAAGGAGCTCTTGAAACTAAGAGGGAGCATCTAATTCATTCCCAATAAGAAGAAGATCATCCACATATACTAGGAAATATACATGATGAAAGTACCACATCGGTAGACAAAAGAGATGCATACGATTGAATCTTTTGAAAATCGACAGATTTTGGGAAGAGACAAAGGGCAGTATACAAGGACCGAGGAACCGGACATAGACTATAAACAGGCGTTTCAAGCGAACAATATTAGTAGCTAGGAGAGGTAGAGTCATGAAACCCAGGAGGTTGTGCCATGGATACTTCATCCTCCAAATGTCCATTTGAGAAAGGCGTTGTTAACATCAACCTTAAAAATGGGACACTACTTAGAAAGGGCGGTGCTGAAGATAATGAAAATAGTGGTTGGCTTTAGAACTAGACTGATGGTGTCATGAAAAATCAATCCTTTGGCGTTGAGTGAAGCCTTTGGCAACAAGATACACCTTATAACGCTTGAAAGTGCCATTAGCCCGACATTTAACACGAAATATCCATATACAACCCACAATATTCTGACCAGGAGTTCGAGGAACTAAATCCTAGTTCCCATTGGCACGTAAGGTCGGGATCTTATGTAACATGGCATCAAGTCAAAGAGGATCGACTAGAGCATGCTTAACCATAGTAGCAACTTGTAAAGAGAAAAGTCGCTTAGGCTTGTAAGTGCTATTCATACCTCAGGTGGTCATAGTATGAGTAGGAGCTGATGGAGGAGCTAACAGTGAGGCTTACTATGAAGAATCCCCTAGGAGGATAGAAACACTAGAGTGTCCGGTGCGCAAGGGTCTAAGGAGAAAGATGTATCGGTGGATGATGCAAACAACAATGTCGTAGTGGAGAATATCCCGGCCAAAACAATTCATCGGTGTTTTTAAGCGAGAAAACTTTAGTGTTTGATATTAATGACTTGCGTCTTGATTTTTTGAACAATGATTCCAAACATGATTTACACCTCTTCGAATAAAGTTCGAACGAGGGTGTCTGATGTTTTTTATGATTGAGAAAACTAAGTTAAAGTACACATACTCCTATTTGGGTTCAGTGAGAGATCCATAAACTAAAAGCTAAAATTAATGGTTACATTGAAAAAAAAAAAAGAGGGTAAAGTTTGACCTGAAGTATCAATTTTTGGTTTTGGGAGCCTTTCTACAGTATTTGTTTCTCATACTTATAGTCATCAGGTGTAACCATCATGGTAATTGGTAACCACCAACGTGCTGGTTGCTCCAACCGACTCAAGGTCTTTATTGACTCCTTGGTAGCTAGTTGAATATGGTAATTGAATATGAGAATACTTGATGTTGAATATGAGTTGACATAATCATTTTACAAAATGGATATGCACATTGGCGTAGCCAGAAATTTATTTAATGGGTAAAAAATGAAAAGAAAAAAAACATAAGTTTCAGAGTGTGTTAATGTTATGAAAATTTTCTAAAAGTGATCATGCAAATTATGAGGAATGTTCAGATATCACGAGTCATCATATTCTAAAGTGTTTCTTTACTTTAATTATTGTAGTAAGTGTTTTTTCAACACTAGGAATGGCAACCAATAGCAACAAATACTCTTAAGTTTCCTTTTTTTTTAATATTAAACTCACTTATAAAATATATGAATTAACAGTTAAATAGAGTCACAACACATTAATTTTTATAAAATTATCTACAATAATATGGAGATCTTGTCTTCGATCCACAATCAAATAAACAAATTTACTCTATATTTTTTGGGCCAATAGTGGTGCAAATGACTCACCTTGGTCTCAAGTGGCTCCGTCAAAGGATATGCAAGTACACATATTTGTTTTGTAAAGTGATTATGCCATGAACTTGTACTCGGTGGTATAAACTTATATTCAGTACAATCATATTCAGTGTTTGTTAAAGTCATATTCACTATCGCGTTGACTAATACTCAATGTTTACTCAAGAGGTATCTTACGAATATCCGTTAGTGTCATACGAATATCAGTTAAAACATAACTTAATGGTGTTTACTATGAACTCCAACATGTATTCTCATATTTCAACTGAAAAATTATTCATTTTTTTGGTACTAGTTGAACTCATATTCATACATATGTGAACTCATATTCAATACCTAGTAAAATCACTCGTATTCAATACCTAGTGAAATCATTTTTCATATCAGTTTAAGGTATATACGTAGTCATCACATGGTTAATATATATGCACTTAGAATGAAATTAAGTTTACTTAGTATTGAATATGAGCTGACACTTCATATGATTGGAGATGACACTTTGTATGAATTGACATGGTATTGAATATGTATTGAAATTAGGAGAAATATGGATTGACCTGATACATGGTACATGGTAAACTCGTATTCAATGTCAATTCAAGTCATATTCAGTATCGCGTTAACTCATATTCATTTTCAATTCAACTCATTCAGTTTCATTTCAAGTCATATTTCACAAGTATCTTTGGGACCATATCAACTTATATTTATCCAGATGTGAACTCATATTCAATACGATATAAATGCAAATTCGTCCAGATGACAACTATTTCATTACTACAAGTTGAATTTAGAAATAATACCTCATATATACTTAATACATGACCAAATTGTATTTCATTACTACAAGTATTAAGAATGAAGACCAAACAACATGTATCTAATAAGTTTATATCTAGTATTCATTGCATAAAGACATGCTGCAAGTTATATTTGACAAACAACACATTCTTCGTAAGTTTACAACTAGTATTATGGACATTCCAAACTAGTATTCATTACATCAGTAATGTTAATTTTTGCGGGTACATGTGAATCGCAACCGCCACCGCCACCGTATCTCCTTTAGGAGACAGATATGTGCAACTATCCTTTTCGAAGCTCTTGCTTCTGCTGACCGTCACGTCGACGTCGACCTACTTATCTCATCTGCCTTTGGACTTGTCCTCGACGGTATCATCCTCTTCTCAAAGGAACCGAATCCAAGCTCATTTTCTATCCTCCTCCTTCTTTCATGTTTAACCACTAATTTAAGATTGGAAAAATAGGCTAGACTGTTTGGAAAATTTGTGGACCCAATCGGACTGCATAGTTTGGTCTGTACTGTTGACCGTCAAGAATGGTATAGGCTGGTTCATAGTCTCTATTATAGGATGTATTGATCTCTTGGTCTAGCCCACACCTTAGTTTACCAGACCAAATCATGGATCCAATCCACTTACCAATTCGTGTTAGCAACTCATTCAACCACTCTCTCAACTCCTCAAAGGGATCCAAGTCTCAATGCTAATTTTGCGAATCTCGTCCACTCCTTCATTCATAAACCATACTCCTCCATATAGTAGAGAAGATCGTGTCTCCCTATGACATTATGTTAATATTTATGGCATTACTGTGCAAGCTAGGTTGCCATAAATTTGTGATTTTTTTACTTACTTAGGTTTATGGTGCCAAAATTATGCAGGTGAGTCAGAACTCATGTTTAAGGAGAAACTTGTCTTTTCTCTATTTGACTTTTCGTGTGATTGAGTAAACAAACCGTTCATTTTTTCTCAATGTGATCCGCATGATCCAGACAGTACCAAACCAGACCACGCAGACATGGTCTGGTCCGTACCGGGTAGTATTTAGTCTAGTCGGTGATCTATACTCAAACTTCTCGATCTAATTAATACATGAAGACTTCTTGATCACAACCAATATAAATGCTAAGCTAGCAAGTACCGAACTTGAGACTAAAAGTAGTATACTATTGTCTGTTATGGTCCGGTCTGAACCATACCACATCGTTTTCTAATCCTACATAAATTGATTGATAAGGAAAAAGTGTGATAGATCGACAGACTTTTTGTGTGTGGAGGGTTTGATCGTCTGACCCCTTCCTCCACAATACTCCACAACATGGCCAGTCGGACCACTAGACTCAATGTGCATATTACCAACTACTCTTACCATCTCCTTTCGAAGTTGGTTTGGCCTTGTCTCCCCAACAGCTTACAAATTGCAATGGTGGAGTCAACTCGTACCAAATAAAAACAATCTTCAGTAACACTTGATCACTATATATTACTATTAATGATAATGATATCAATAATCATTTTCCCACTTTATATCACTATATGCAATACAGAGGTAAAGCAGTAATTACTAATTAGCCTACTCCCTGACTGAGTTATCATTATTAATGTTATTATCATTGTCGTGATCTCAAGAACAATTGGCAAGTATAAGTGGAATTATTAAAGCGTGGTGGGAAAATCATTAAGGCAAACAGAAGCAATTCATTAGCAAGTATAGGTTTTTACTTTATGTGCATGTAGTAGCAGTACTACTACTAAAGTGGGATGAGTTAGCTCCACTGCCTTAAAGTGTTGGAAAAATGATCCGTCTTATTAATTATAGTTATTTTGGATATTAAATTTATTTTTCATTTTAAAATATTTGAGAATTAAAAACTCATAGGACTTTGCTACGGTGACTTGCAAGTTACTGTGACTTGCACAAATAGGTCGACCGCCAAATAATAAAGGTTGATTGAATCTACTGTTTATGTTTTGTTACGTTCAACAAAGCGGTCGACCTTGTACATGAAATGGTTGACCACTTTTGCAAGCAGACAATAATAAAGGTTTAGCTCAACCTTAAAGCGGTCGACATTGTACATTAAATGGTCTACCTCATTCTTAAAAGGGTCGACCTCTATTGCATTACCTTATCAACATCGAACTCGAAATTATCTAGTGGTGGGCAACGGGAAATGAGTATTTGGGTATACCCATACCCGTCCCTCTTTTTAGGGTTACGGGTACCCAAATACTCGTAATATTTATCACGGGATGGAACTTGGGATTCAGAATTTTGACATTAGGTACTCATGGGTTATCCGCTAATACTCGTTTTGGGTAGTAGGGATTCCCGTAATAGCCATTATATTAATTCCATAAACTATACAATAGCTCAAAGCCCAGCCACATGAGAAACTACAGGTGAGTAATAGAAATGCGAGATGAATTTCGATCTTTCAGTGAAAGATACATGCATCTCACCACATCTGACTACCATAATGCCAACAACACCAATGAGGAAAATGTGGATGAGTGAGAGAAGAGAGGTCTAGGAACTCCATGATTTATATTGTGTTTTTTTGTTGTGAACTTTGTTAAGTTTTAAAGATGGTTTGGTTTAAAGTAACTATGACCGTGGATTGATATTAAGCCGTTGTGGGTTTTGATTTTAGGTATGTGTGAACTATTGTGAGGTACGTTTTATTGTATTTGGTGTAAAGTAACTATGCATCTCACCACATCCGACTACCATAATGCCAACAACACCAATGAGGAAAATGTGGACGAGTGAGAGAAGAGAGGTCTAGGAACTCCATG